ACTCATTGACAGGTGGGTAAAGATCATCAGAATTTCACTAGCCGACTGAGATTGGAACCACCATTTGTTCAACATAACCAAGCAAATTATGTCATGACATAAAAAACCAAAGCTCTTACCAACTGTGCTAACGAACCTTATGAGGCATGCTTGATACAAGTATGTTCTTATATCACTTTCTCTGAAAGACACAAAACTTTTCTATCAACCCTCCTACATCAGATGTCACAAATCATATCTCTAATTTACAATAGAATAACTGTGAACTATTTTGTATTATTTTGAATTTCCTTGAACCTCATTGACTTCTCAATAGGCTAATGATAAAAACAAACACAGTGTGTGAATTGGATAGTGCTTGAGTTGTATCGTTGATGTTTAATTCAGTTTCAACCTTTTGTATTGGTTGTGTTGGATTTCACGGAGACGACACGAAAAGGCATGATATTTTATTTTGAAAAACTGAATAACTTTTCTTTGTTATTTTAAACATGTATTCAAACAAGTGACTTTAGAACGTTTTCTTTCAATGGATTTATCGTGAATAACTGTAAGTCAAGTTTGAAGTTTTTAGAAGTAACACTCACCATCATATTTTTAACATGAACTAGATTTGATTCAGGATTTTTTGGTAAAAAAATTTTTCCCAAAAAGTTCTAATTTTAGATTGATATAGAAGTGGATTAAAATACAACGATTTCAAAAAGAGGAGAAATTGAATCTCAAAGATAAGATCAGGTATTTGTAGATTATGAGACATTTTTTATTTTTTAAGGATTGTAAAGAGGTTTTCTAAACTTTTTATGTGTATTGGGGAGACTGATAGCATCAATTTGCAACATTCCAATTTTCATTCTGACGTCTGTGGTTCTTGCAATTCCTCTAAAACTAACACGTTTTATGACGTCACTAGAGGAAAACTACATCTATGGTATTAATAGTAGCTAACAGTAGTTCTCCTCTAGTGACGTCTTAAATGGGAATGGTTCAAATGGTCATCAGTGTTCCTGATACATATGAGTATTACAAAAGGTTAATAAAAATATTTTATGATTCAAAATTCATTTCCTTGTGTTAGTTAAAAAAAACTTGAATGGTAAGATCTAAAGAATTCCTATAATTTATGTGGTTAATTCAGTAGAAATGTAGCAGAAGTACAAGCTTACAATTTTTAACTAACTTATTCTACCAGTTTTCATATCTGAATTTGACCGTCAAATTAAAATACATTATAACTACAGTGTATCTAGATATAGTCAATGTGAACTAGTGGTATTTTTCTGGCCTTGTTTTAACTAGGTGACTGTGTATTTATTGTGACCCTGTGCCTACAAAAACTTGTTAAACATTATCAAACTAGACAAACTGTCAAGTAATCGATGAGAAAGTGGTCATGTTGTTTCTCTATTGTCTTTATTACATTTTATTATAATATGTTTGTCTCTCTGTCTCAAACAGGTAAGTGGTGTATTATTTCTCTGATAGTTTCATATCTCTGATGGTGGATTTTCCTCTGATACTTTCATATCTGTGATGGTGGATTTTCCTCTGATACTTTTAGCAAATCGGGTTCTTTCTTAAATTATTAGAAGTGACTAAAATGGATTTTTGTTTTTAGTTTTAAGAGAGATTCTGAAACAGGCAGTGGAACTCTTTGATGATGTGTTTTTACCACATTTTTGGATCACATGGAGTTTTCTGTATCAATCCGTCATTTTCTTTTAACGTTTGGAATGTTGATGGTATGTTTGTGCTAAAAAAAATAAACAGATTTTTGAAGTTGGGTATTAATGGAAATCATGATTTTTTATTCTCATCTTCAGACGGGTTCTGTACATGTTATATTCTAGGTAAACTATAATTTATGACATCTTAAGGGATTTGACTTCTGATTTGTCATTTTGATATTGATATGAAGCCAACTCAGCATGATGTTGTCTCATATGACCAAAATGATATTTTAACCAGACAGTTAATTACTGGTAATAGGATATTATAAAATTAATTAACGTTTCATTTTCTTCTTACATTGATCTTCGTGGCCATCTTTGGTTTGATCTTCTGCTTCTTTTGGGTTATTTTTGTACATAGTCTGCTTATATGAAATATGATTAGCAGTATTTGATTTGGCTCATGAAGATAAGCATAAAGGAATTATGGGATTTCCAACATTCTACTTCCGAAGATTATTAACATATATTCAAGACTAAAATCAATACCCCAAGATGGCGCATCTGTCCCTTTAAATTAAACACATAAACACTGCCCAATATGGTAATAAAAGTAAAACAATACTGATCAGTTAAATCCTTACCTTAGATTTGAATATTTTCTTTCTTAGAAACAGGTCAATCTCTTATCAGTTTTTCTATGAAAGACAAACAGAAATTATCCCATGTGAATTCTTCAGCAATATCTATTTGTTCCAAGTCAATTTATTTTTCCAATTTCAACATTTCATTGTTGAATGTTGTCTACAAATATCTGACTTAATGCATGGCTGAAATTTATATTTTTATGAGGTATTGTCCTGGCAATGCGAAATTTTTTTTTTATTTTTTCTGTATTTTACGTCGATAAAAATATACTTTTTGTAAGTTTACATTGAAAAGAAAAACATTTCCCTCCTAGAACTATTATCCAAATATGTCCCAAATCTCGACAGAAAATTGTCCTCTGTTAAAACAAATTTTGAAGACATAATGTGTGTTTATGTTAATATTTTTTATAACAGTACTATTTTGAGGCTACTATTCCAATTCTCAAAAAAAATAATGGAAAAAATTCAAAAAACTTTTCTCAGGCAATAGCTAGCTGTCATGAAGGGAAATGTGGCTTAAGCTATGTTAATTATACTTCCGTGTTAGTGGACATTGCTGTATTATAATATGTAAATTAAACCCTAAAGTTAGAGTGTCTCGAACTATAAAACATGTGAAGTCTGTTCAAGTCTGTTCAAGTCTGTATTTGTGTAGTCTGTTCAGGGTTTGTTGATAATTGAACTGCAAGAACGGAGCAGGTGTTCTCTTTACAAATGCATGTCAAAAAGACTTAAAACAAATTGACAAAAAAATATAAATTGACTCTTTCTTGAGTAAATTTATTTAAAGGTAAATTTGCACTATTATTTTTAGCAATTTCAAGTGGAATGTTCAATGATGTAGCATAATATACTCCATTCAGTCCAAAAATCTGGTTTTTTTTTACTCTTGGTCATCTTATGAAGGGTGCCAAAAATTCACCGATCAATTCTGGTAAATTTACCAGTTGATGAGTTGTTTTATGAAAATGAGAGCACTATCCTTGAAAAGTTATACATTTGGACAGTAGTGTAGTCTCCACAAATCTTTATAGCAAAGATTTGGCTTCGTTAATAAAAGTTCAGCACACGACGTTAGGGCTTAGATATTTTGATTTCTTGTTTAGTCTTGTGGAACTGAAACTTTCAAGGTTTCATCCAAAAAATGGTTTATGCTTGTCGTCGGTTTTTGGTAATTTAATGTTATCTTAGTTGGCAGATCAATATTCTGATAGCTTGCCTCTTTAACAAATCAGTTCAGCTGTAAATAGATATGAAAAGGGATTTTTGTCATGAAGTACAACTTTGACTAGTGGACAAGATAAGCTCAGAATTTGCAGTTTTTTGAAAAACATTTCCTGATGAATTACTTTCATTATTTGTGACCATCATTTACTCTGAAATTTGACCTTGTTCAAAATACATCAACCATGAATTTTATTTATTTATATCTGTTAACCAAAGTTTGAAATATTTCCTTTGTAATATGATTCTAATACCTTCAAGTAATTAAGAGCCTTTTGATATGTTGAAATAAGGAAGTCAAATATTTACTATTGTACAATTTCCCATTAAAGTGGCACAAGCATGAGCCATCAAACATCAACATAGAAGCTATGTTTGATCTGATTATAATATGGATGATTTGGTTCATGTTTTACACCTGACGAAATATTCAGATTGATTTTAATCAGATTGTAATGTGTTATCTCAGTGCAGTTGCTAAAATTTGGCTAAACAAAGGTATATTTTGGGCACATAACATAAAATATGGGTTTTCTCTGATAAAAATTTGAGTTCTATATGTATGATTTGAGTTCTATATGTATGATTTGAGTTCTATATGTATGATTTGAGTTCTATATGTATGATTTGAGTTCTATATGTATGCTATCAGATGTTTGTACAAGCGTTAAAATGATTGGAAACTCCAGTGTAATTGTTTGAAAATTTAGATTATTTATCGATTGGTCGATTTGAGTAACTTCCTTCAACTGAGATTGAAAAATTAGGATCAGAAACATTCTAGTTCATCGTGTGGTAGAAGCATTGGCAGAGCCAGGTTTACATCCATGGGGGGGCCAAATATCTGAGATTGCACAAATTAAAAACCTAGTTATGAGATTTTTGCCCGAAAAACTGTTGGGGCTACGAGGGTGGAGCCAGCTGCCCCCCTCTTTGGCTACGCCACTGGCTGGAAGGCTTGGCTACACAATCCCCTAAATTATCCAAACATGTCCACTTTAACCTTTAACCTTCTTGACATAATGTTCACCTTATTTATAACATGTTGACTTAAATTAACAATCCTTCTTTAATTGGTATCATCATCAATGATGTCAGCCATTTTGTCTTCTGTTAGGTTAGATATTATTGTCTCATTGAGGAAAATAATTACCTCCATGTCAAAAGAGTTAATGTACTATGACACACTTATGAGTGTACTTTTTTATGTTTCCTCAATTTGTATGAAAACCATGAGTTTCCTCTTGAATTTTATTGTCAAAAGGTGTGTCATCTTCATGGGTTTTTGTTGTTTTATGTTTTTCAGAAGTTGAAGTGAAGTGATGACCTCTGGTATTCTAATTAATGGAGTATTGTTTTAAATGTTATAATTGAAAGTGTTTAAGTGTTTTAAGTGTACTATGTCGTTTGGATTATTTGTTATATTAATGGCTATACATGGAGTATATGATACGTGATGCCAGCCCCAGCCGATTCCCCGTTTTTGTCAGAAAATCAGACTGGCACAGTTTATATTCGGATAGCTATACCAGAACTTAAAATACAGGTAAGACCCTTTCTTTTCTTTCTTTTTTCCTTTTTTTTTTGGAAAGATTCCAACAACTAGTCTACTGAGGATTAAAAGAAATAAACTTTGTAGATTTATATGCTTAATCAAGTATATTATTTCTCTGGAAGTTTATTCAAGCCCATATCCTTTTTCGAAGTCAAAAATATTTGGCATATAAGATGATAAGATGATCCTAGAACTTTCAAGATGATATAAAACTAACAAAGTGAATTTCAAGTGTCATTGAACAAAAAACTAATTATAACATTTACATCTGACAGTTTAGATTTCTTCTACTTTTGTTTTCAATATAGTAAAGGATTCATTGAATCAAGATAATTCTCATGGAGTAAGCAGGGGCAAAATGGGTGTAAGACGGTGTGGATGGGACCTGTTGGATGCCCAATGAACATTTTCAGGGAGCATTAAACCACTTAACTCTCAGATAATTAAGGCTTTAATAAAATAACTTACTGTCTTCTTTTCTATATTGTCCTGTTATAACTTTGAACATGATTTGTTTTATTAGAAATGTCTACAGTTTGAATTAGATGATACAGTATGGCAGGCAAAACAACGAGTTTTAGCAGCATTTTCAAAGGTCAGTACTCCTTCTTAGTTACTCAGATTCAGTTCTAAAACTTGTACAACTCATGTGGTTAAGGTGTTTATCCAATTTTAATAGGTTGACGAATTGCATTGAAAATATGCCCATGAAAAATTCGCCAAAATATGTTAGTAGTCTTTCTGAATAAGTTGCAGATTAAGTTGTTTTAGTTTCTCTGAGAGATATTGCTCTCACGATCCATAAGAGACACGATCTATCTAAGAAGCATGCAATGATGGAAATTTCAGAGAGATTTAAGATTATAGGATGTCTTGTTTATTTTGTGAGACAATTTGACCATACATGTAAGTCCATGGATGCTTAGTGCTAAGTACTAACATGTATCTGAACTTGCTGCCATGAATTGACTGAGCTAGCAGAGTCTTCAAGAAAAAGGCAGTCTTCTATAATGAAATCTTTGGAAATTAAACTAGTTCTAAAATTTGGGTTTTCTTATGGATGTGTTGGTCAAATTTTGGATCTCGAGGTTGATTGAAAAAGTTTTATTTGAATGTTAACCCCTGATTTCAAATTGTCAGTGATAATATTTTGACAGGAAAAAATCATTCAAAAATACTGTCTGGGTGGTAACAGTTATCATGTTCAAAAAAAAAAATATATCCATGGGCACGGATTATCGAAACTATCCTAGCCCTAGGATGCCCTAGGTTCTTATCTTCTAACATTGTTTCTTGGACATCCTAGCACTAAGATCATTTCGAGAATACGTGGCCAGGTTACCAAGTTTAATTGGCAGAAATATTTTTAGTCTTTTTAGGTTTGTTCCTAAAAATTGAGCCCTCATGAAGAATGATATTTAATCTTTAATTCTGTAATTTAATCTTCCATTAAGACATTATTTAAGATGGAGAAAACATGTTTTTCTACCTCCACATAATGAGAGTTAGATAATGTTAAACTAACTACTTGATGATTTTTCGATTGTTTAAACTTTGTTATTCCCAAACCATTGACATTACATTTCATCCAAATTACAAGTTAAAAATAGATTTTAATTCATTTTGACCATTTTAAACAGTAACAATTCTTGAATTGTTTGCAAGAAAAACATTATTTTAATGAACAACTGTTAGATTCACAAAGATTTGGTTAAATTTGGAAGAAATTTCAATTGTACACAGTATTATCGGAATTCATATGTTTGATTTGGAAAATTTGAGTGTTGTATCCCACGATGGATTATCAATATTATAAACTTGTTTTGTCTCTCGACAAATTGAGGCCGTTTGGTGTGAGTTTGGTTTTATTTAAGTGTGAATTTTGTTTGGAGAGTAAGCTTATATCTTGTTGACTGTTTTTCTAGGATTGGGTTGCATTTGGACAAAGCCAGATGGAGAGATTGGCAAACCAGCAGCTCTATTGCAGGTGCATAACTGATTGTATCAAAGACAAAAATAGCTCAATTTGGTCCTTGTTTCTGGCATTCTCATATTAATCTTCAAACTAAACTGAACAAGAGAAATGTTTTGGGACCCTGGTTGTTTGGAAGTTTTCGTATTGATTTTCGTCTTTCAATGATTTAGTTTAAATCACTGAAATGAAATAAAAAGCGTTGTTTGAAACAATATCCAAGGTCCTGTATTTTACGTACAAATTAAAAACAGCCATCTTTATATAGTTTCTATCTATTGACGTTAATTTATTTTTACCATTACAGGATCTGAGAGATTCATTAAATTATGGATTATATTTACCACCAGTAAATGGAAGAGCAGGGAAGTTTCTTGATGAGGAAAGATTTCTTAAAGAATATCCTTTACAAGGGCCCATTGGTTTTCTAGAGGTAAGAACAAGACACTTTCCCAAATCCCAACTTGATTTACCAAATGTTCGCCTCGCTGTATTCGAAACCGGCCATTTTGTTAAATAAGGATATATAGCAATCTGATTTACACAAATATCATAAAACTCTTCCATTCTGTTTAAACTAAACAATATAAGAAGTTTTTTAAGGCAATGGTGAAGCAAAATGTGAATGAGTCAGCAATTTTTATTTAGAAATGCTGCCATCTTGTAAGGGGAGATAAGATATAACTTTACTGTGGTCTGGTGGTTGTTGGTTACAAATACTCTTGTGAGAGCTGCATCATTTCTGGTTAACTCTTTTTGAAATTGCACGGACCATAGGCATTAGACTAATAATTGAAATGTTCTAAATAGAAGTCAAATGTGTCCCTGATACACATAGAAAGGCTAGAAACCTCTTTACAATCCCTTTAAGGATTAAACAGATTTATTTGAAGGGCACCATGAAACATGAAGAATATTGATTGGCCTAAGAATATTTGATAGATATGATTAAGTTTTGTAACACAAGGGTAATGATTTTCGAGATAAAGTCTCAAGTGGCTTCCAACTTATTGAAACCGTTGCCTAACAACTGCTACGTCGTCAACTCATCATGTACTTTAATGTTTTGTAAAATGACCTCACAGTAGCGCGTGATTAATGTCACACACTTGAAACGAAGGTGTCAAACTTATTTTAACGAGAATTCTGCAGTAGAAGAAATAATGATTATCTTGTCGACACAAGAAGGCTAAAACTTTTACCAAGATATTGCACGAATGTAACCACTTGGCCCTAGTCAATGAGCACTTGACGTTTGTCAATAAGGTTTTTTCATGTTAGTCAAATGTCAGCCTACCACTTGTTAATCAAACCAAACTTTCAATTTTAAAAGTAGAGATAGTCAAAGTCAAATAAAATATTTAAGGTACCCTCACACTTTAGTGAACCAGAATAACGGTCATAAGTTTCGAATGCAGCATTCTTGCAACTAGGTACTCATGACCACTTTCATTATTCACAACCATACTGGTAATCCTTATGGTTAGCTATAGTGTGAGGGAACCTTTAGATATCATCTGGGTGTTACAGGATTCAAAAGACTTAAAACATCCTAACTGCCAGTCTGATTAAAATGAAGGATGGGTTTATATGCAGGTTACTACATTCATCATCATTGATCTGACAAAATATTTCTTTCATTTGTGTTGCAGGTAAATGTTTAACAAATTATGTTGCTATATAAACTTAATGTATAAAGTAGACAGGATTTTGTCAAAATTCAAAAGACAATTTTCTGATCAGTTTTATTGCAACCTCTGTTGTACCCTGCAGCATTGATTGGATAATGCACTAATTCAAATTTGTATGACACGTTTGATAAAATCACAAAACTTTTTATCAGATCCCGTAAAATTATTAACTGGTCACTGATCAATCTGCCGTCTGATTTTTCTGAGCTAATTTGGGACCGAGTATACTGAAAATTTTATCATTTAATTTGTTATACCAGTAATGTCACTAGTTTTTTCATTTCCAACATTTTCACAAACTGACATATTTTATTAATTAACAATTACACTTAATATCACAGCCAGACACTTTTGAACATCTATCAGACATGGCAGGCAACAACCCTGCTCTATACATCAGTGTGAATAATGCATAACTTGAGGTATTTAATACTAATCGAAATGCCTTTTGGTTTCTGAAGTGTCAAGTTTATAAAAAAAATGTACAAGTTCTTTCTTGATGAGTCAGTATCAAACACCATTGTAAATTTTTTTTAAAAGCCATTGTTAGGAAAGTACAATCATCAGCTTTATATATTTCTATGTTTATTTTGAAGGAGGGTATCTGTTTGTCATCTGCTCATTACCCTGATCGTTTTTGCTGGCACAAATCCTATGTTGCACATGTAAAGAATTTGAAAATTTTGTTGTATCTTGTGTCTAGATTTTGTGAAAAGTTGCACAAAATTGATGTCATCGCTCATTGGGCTTTTTTGAAATCCTTCAAAATTCTTCAAACATTAAATGGCTCTCAAAGTTTATTTCCAATTTGAAATGAGTTTTTGGGTTAAGTCTTAATAAATTTACACAAAGATCAGAATGACATCCGCAGCTTTAAAAATTTCTTGACTTGTGCTGTTTGGACGTCCATGTTTGTAATTCAAAAGTACAATGGCACACACTTTAATGCTTGATTTCCTACAAAAAAATTTGCTTTTACTAGATCTGAAATGGCCAAGCTTGGGTGCTTTTCTTTGGCCTTATTTAATTCATTGCTTAGAAATAACTCAGCCTTGATATTTGCAAAAGGGCTACTATAAGGCACTAAACTGTAGGTGTTCACTATATTTTTTCATTTACTTTCTGAAGTACTGGACACAATGCCTGGACTTCGGGGACAAAATATAGGTGTATTGCGTATACCCTAAATCAGCTGCTAAACAATTTCAAAATTCCAAGATGCCACATAAACATAGAAAATGAAGAACTGGATTATTCTTAACACCTTAAGATGGGTGGAGTTTTTTTAATATTCAGATGTAGTCTTAGTGTACATACATAACATAATGTTGACTTGAACTCTTCTAAAAAGAGATTTTTTTTTGTCCTTTTATTAAATCAACAAAACTTATCCTTGTGTTACCTCTTTGTAACTTTCTGTGTACATTCTCTGAAGAGGACTTTGAGGTTCAAGAGCAAGAACAGAATTTTTCATCCATTGCAAATATTTTGCCTTATTTTTAAAAGAAATCTAGAAACATGCATAGCTTGACATTTAATGTTTAATGGTTGTCCATATTTTTTGACTCGAAATGGAAGTCACATGCATAGTAAAACCAATAAAAAGTAAAATCAAAATGAGTAAAACCCCTTGTATCCTAGGTTTTGGAACCAGGGGCATGACTGGGCACTAACCAACATTCAACAAAAAGCATAGCCTTTTTTATTTCTTAAATATATCCTTAATTTCACTTGGTTTTTATTTGTCACTTAAAACAGGAATGCAGTTTATGTGGTTATAGTCCGTAAATAAAAGAATGTGGTAAAAATAAATTTAAAGTAATAAAAAAAAATCGAGGGAAACTTGGTTAATGTTTTTATAATCTTAGTGTTTTTTTCAATCCCTTGTATATATTGAATGGAACCAATCATGTGGATGTACATTTAAATTATCTATACTAATGTCCATCAATATAATCTTGAAAATTAATGCTTTTAATGATGGTGTATGATTTATGTCTATCGATCTCTATTAAAGAGATTGTAAAGATGTTTTCTAAACGTCACAAGAGGGGAGCTACCAGAAGCTACTATTTATATATGCAGTGATGTCATAAAACATCTTAGTTTAGTGGAATTGCAAGAATCGCAGACGTCCGAATGAAATTTGAAATGGGGCAAATTGAAGCTATCAGTGTCCCCGATACACATGAAAAATTTAGAAAACCTCTTTACAATCCCTTTAAATGCAGTATTTTATCCTTATTACCTTATGCTAAAGTGGGTGATTTGGATGGATCCACTGTTTAATAATTTGACTTTGTGACATTGTGTCATGTCTTAAAACGATGATTCCGCAATTTCTGATGATGACTTTAAAAACAGAAAATGTTCTTTACTTCGAGTTTTATACACCATTGTTCAATTTGATATCTTAAAATGTCTGATGATGTACACTGCTGTATTCATCATAATGGCCTCTTAATAGTAAACATAATATTTAGCTTGGTACAAACTTTGTCAGAATGTATAGACAACCACTATCTCTTACTGTAATTATAATTTCTAGAAATTTGGTTGAGCTTATGATGTTTCCTTCTACAACAATGCCTTATAATTGACCACCTGTCTAGACTCAGTCAAGGTCTACAAGAATATCTTAAATCTGTGATTCAATATTGCTACTCAAGATTAATAAGTTTTGTGTTATTTTGTAGTTTAAATACAAGCGAAGAGTTTATAAGGTGATGCAAATTAATCCACGTAAACTGAAACAGCTTCACACCAAGGTAAGAATTCTGCCAATTTGTATTACAAAATGGCCAAAAGAATATGAGAATCTTCCTTACTTATTACTATAGGACGGCAATACTGTTTAGTTTGTTTGCTTGAAAATATTCATAGTTTCAGAAACAGGAATTTTTTTAGTTTACATAATCAGTAATAGTGTTCACAGCTCATCGTCAAAATTTGAGCCTTCAAATCCATGTGTATTCATAATTATTCACATTTGAAAGTTAAAAATTGGACTTGAACTTTAGTGAGACTATGCCATATATTGAAAACATATACATATAGAAATAGACAGTGAAATTTCTAGTTTAAGGTTTATTTGAAGGGATTATGCAGTTCTCTTTCGTCTTAGTACTTCTTAAGACTATTAAAGCACAATAAAGACCCAAATCAATTCTTGAATCCGACTGTTTCCCTTTAACTGCATCAAATGAGTGATGACACATCCAAATTGTGGCTTCTTTTTTAGACAAAAGTATTATAACAGTAGAACATAAACCTCTTTCACTTTGTTTTGTACATGTTTCTTGGTATTGGTATACCAATACATGGGTGGAATGACAAGCAAGTGCTAAGAACTGCATCTATTCAAGTAAACACAAAGAATGACTGCAAATCAAGTAAAACTAAATGAGATTGTGGTAAAAAATGATCGTCTAGTGTTATTTTGTTTCTGGAAAGCCTTTGATCTATGTTGTGTAGATTAGTACAACTTTGGTGAAGATACAGTTTAAATGTTGATGTAACTTTAGAAGTATTTGACCTGTTGCCATAGCAATGGCTTGTAGTAATGTGCATATTACTAGTAGACTTGCTACTTATGTAAGACAGTCATCACAGGTCATTGGGAATTGGTTACTGATATCTTAATTGATAATATCTCATGTATTTGTATAAATCCTATGATCAAAATTCATTACTATTTATTAAGTTTGAACACATTTTGAAAATAAGACTTGGGTTTCAAGTCAGTCATTGAACATCAAAGGGTTCGTATGAAACAAAATTTATTTTTTTTATATTTTCAGACCCAGTTGAAGAACTTCCTGGAACAAGTACGCAATGGAAATTTAGATAAAGTTGTCAAGTTAACAAATAAAGGTTTAGATCCGAATTTTCATGATCCAGATAGTGGTGGTAGGTGTATTAAATTAACGTATGAAATTTCACTGAATTTTGAAAATTAGTCAGTTATATTTTGCTGGTGCCCTTGTCTGTCTGAAGGTTTGATTATTTGCTGATTGAGGCAGATGTTTTCATGTGATTCAGGTAAAAACCTATGATTATTGCTGTTGTGTGCATGTATCATCTATTCTGACAATCAATTTTGATATTGAGATTTGTCTTTCAGAAACACCATTAACCATGGCAGTGACATTATCACGTGATAAATGTAGAGAAATGATAATGAGTATTGTAAGTGGTGGAGCTCATATAGACTTCCGTAATAAACAGGGCTTAACACCCATGCATCAGGCAGCAATACGAGGAAATTTAGAAGCAATCAGAGTAAGTGTATAATATATATAATATATGAAAACCAAGTCTGACAAATCACTCTCCACACAGTTCCTCAGAAGTGATAAAACAAATTTGATATTATCACTGTGTAGGGCCATTTTATTTTGTTTCATTTTCTGAGCCATTTTGAGGAATTTTCACCCTGACAAAACCCCTACAATAAACTGAGTTCATAAAGTTGTTATGCTACCATCAACCTTGTAAAGCAGTCTTATGCCAATCCTATGGGCAATTTTAAGAAAAATTTAAAATGTGATATATCAATTAACCTTATCAATAATAGCTGATTATTTGCAACGTGGACTCTCTGAAAGAGATATGACATCACAGATATTCTGACATTCATTCTGAGCTTGAAATGTCATGTGACAGTAACACTTTATAATGCATAGCAAGCATAATTAGATCTTTGTGCTTTTGTTCAAAAGATTAACACTGTGCGTTACAGCATTGTCTTCGGATGAATATAATTGCAAAATTGCATGAGTAACAACAAACTTCCAAGCTCTGTTGTAGTATTTCTAATTACTTTTTTTATAGTAACTAACATTCAATGTTCTATTCCAGGCATTATTAGATCTTGGAGCATCACCTGATTATAAAGATTATCGGAATTTAACGCCATTATATTACTGTGTGTCCAATGATACCAACGCTATGTGTGTGGAAACATTGTTACATGAAAGAGCTGTGATAGGAACACATGATGAACAAGGCTGGTTTGAGATACATCAGGTAAGCTAAAGACATTTTAAATCTATTTCAAGCACCAAATTGAATCTTTGAAATGGTTGAGATGTATATTTATCATTTATTTCCTTTTAAAAGTTACATGGCGCTGGAATGCTTTACAGCCCTCCCCAATAGTAGAAGAGGTCAGAGGTGGGGATAAGATATCGGTCAAAATAGTACCAAAATTTTCTACCTAGTTTCCCTTATCTGAGAACCAAAAATTACCCATATCTATTTTGCTTTAAAAGCACTGTATGATCATTGCTGATAAAATTGATAGTTAAATTTGATACTGATCTTTGAAGCAGATTATATTAAGTGAATGTTTTGATTGTTTTTTTTTCAGGCTTGTCGCTATGGGCGAGTACAACACTTAGAGCATTTATTATACTATGGTGGTGATATGGATGTTCAGAATGCTAGTGGTAATACACCTCTACATGTGTGTAGTGTTAATAATCAGGTAATACACCTCTACATGTGTGTAGTGTTAATAATCAGGTAATCCACCTCTACATGTGTATAGTGTTAATAACCAGGTAATACACCTCTACATGTGTGTAGTGTTAATAATCAGGTAATACACCTCTACATGTGTGTAGTGTTAATAATCAGGTAATACACCTCTACATGTGTATAGTGTTAATAACCAGGTAATACACCTCTACATGTGTGTAGTGTTAATAATCAGGTAATACACCTCTACATGTGTGTAGTGTTAATAATCAGGTAATACAATGTGTGTATCTGTCAATATTGAAAATGTAGCTGTAACCTTGCTTTAATCAGAATGAATTTCTATATTTGACAGGAATCTTGTGCTAGAGTTTTATTATTTCGTGGTGCTAATAAAGAAATCCTCAACTACAATAATCAAACACCATATCAAGTATGTATGGTGGCTAATAATCATGATTTAGCAGATATGATTAAAAACTATAGAACAGAAGATGTGGGTAAGTGAAAATTATGTCTTTATTTGTATACAGAGCTTTCTTTTCAAACCACATTTCAATCATCCTCTATTGGTTGTTTGTGATACCACTCTCATAATTTTATCATATTGATTAAATCTGTGGTGGTACACCTGGAATTTTAATTTTTCTTGTAGAGAATCTGTCTGATAATCCACTGTTACTTCTCCTTTACTCTTTGCATTTTGAAATTTACATGATAAATAGTGATAATGACCTGTGTTCACTTCTATTTTTGTTTGTATCGATTATTCTGCACCATATACCATATCTCATTTATTCTCAGCTTTTAGGATCAATCTACAATTGAACATCATTTCATACATTTCATCTCATATAATTTATAAATAAGTGACAGAATTAAATCTGAATATAAGATATCTGGATTTGAAAATTTATTTGTCTGAAAATTGATGGTGACTTTTGTCAGTAATAAGACTAAGAAATAAGAAAATGAGAAATGCAAAATGTCAATCATAACAAATCTAATCTTTTCACCAGAAGAGTTCTAATTCTATATCTATAACAAAGCTATTATATTGATATTAATGTATTTTCTACTTCATTAAGAAAATTATATAGACCAGTAGCATCATTGATTACAGAAAATCATTAATCTACCCCTCTAACGTCTTATTACAATCTTTGAGAAAGTTCTAATTAGGTCATAATGAACCCAGATAAAGTTTGGATACTCGATGATGATATTTAAATATAGCTCTAGATGTGTACAATATATCAGTCTAGTTGGGATACGCCCTTCCACAATTTATCAATAAATATCAAGAAACAGATCCTCCATGTCCCTTTTTGATTGGTTTTGAGAATAGAACAGGACAGGGATTGCAAAATTGTTTGATTACAATTGACCCAGAGACAAAAAAAAAGAAAACAAAATACAGAGACTCAGAATTTTAAAAATATTGATATTTAAATTTGAATTAGACTAATAAATTCAGCCATTTCCCTCATATTTCTTATTTCTTTCTGGCCTAGCTGGAAACTATAACTTCAGGTGTTAACTGACACATAGACTACATGACTTCAGTTCAAACTACAGGGATTGGGTGGTTTTTCAAGTTGGACAACAAGTTTATGAAATTAGTAATTTTCTATTTTCAAACAATTTCCTGAATAAAATTTGACGTCTGTTCACTCTGTTGAAACAAAATGGCAGACATCAGGAGAGAAATCTGCTTTCACTATTTTGATTCCTATGAATTCTCTTTTTCAGTTCCTTTCCGAGAAATTCCTAAGTATAGTGATAGGAGAAAATTGACCACTATGCCATCTACCATCAGAAATTTAGTAAGATGTCGAAGTGATCCTAGGTTGAATCTCAGTATGTTGGAAGAACAATTTATAAAATCGGGAATGTCCAACCATAGTTTACCCAATAGTGAACATGATAATGGATCGTACACACTGTCAAGGGAATATAACTCTGATTCACCTAGATCTCTCAGTATCTCCAGTTCCAGTTCTGGCCCAGGTAAGAATTTTTAGCCTAGAATTTGTGTTTGAGATTGTTGAACTTGCTTTGCAATTTTTGATATCTCAATTTTTGAACTTTAAATGCTTATCAAGTTCATTTAAAAAATTTGACAATGACGTCCCATAATTTTCAAAATTTACCCAGTTTACCATTAAACTTAAAGGGACATTCTGCTTTTTTTATAGATTGAAAGATTTTTTTGCTCAAATTTATGAAATCTTTATACATCAAATTGAAATGTGTTCTTTAACTTGTAGCCTTCAGCCTCATTGATCAAAAATAATGACTGTATCAAGTCAATATTCAGAAAGGGATTTCTGGAAACCTCTGAATTCCAAATTTGATGGTTCTTAAAAGTTAGATTTAAGCTTCTGTTGAGATATCAAATATTGATGAATGCTTTCTTTATTGTTTGCTTTGCTTTGAGTGTTTATGCTTTACTTAAGACTGTTGTTTCATATTGTCTAATTGGCTTCTTGCTGGTATCACATAAAGGGAAATAACTCTTTTTTTCATGTTATTTGAATACAGTCTTGAATGGGCAAATGGAAGCAAATTTCTTGATGAATGATATTTCAGCATGTTAATTCTGTAACTCTTTAGAAAATTTTCAATTATGAATTAAAGGCAGAGTGTAGAGCCTGTTTGTTGTGCTTAAGCGCTTGGCAATATTTTGTTGTATGGCATAGAAAGGGAACATTACCTCCATGATTTTCTTTCATTTAAAATCTAAATAAGTACTAATAAATACCCAAATTCTTTGGATAGATATTAATATTTATTTTTGTGATATATGATATTATTTTTTGAAAAAAATGTCATGACTTTAGGTCTAACTGCGGCCTCTGGTATAAATCATTTATTTATGTGGCTGGAAGAGACGTGGCTAATTTTAAAAGTAATATATATCACAATAGCCACATTACAAAATATTGCCTAGCTTTGTTGTATTTCATATGATATAAGCTTGTTGTATTGTTAATTAATTGTTGTGCTAACATTTTTTCTAACAGCTTCTAAATATCATTACTATATCAATCAAAAACCACGCCGCCTAGCCACAGTATCTGGTAGAGTACTAGTCAATGTTCGAGATTGCCACCATCCTTGGTCAACTCGTCATCTAAATCATGTCAAATATCTTCAACGTAAAGGAGATTTCATTGAAGGTTCAATTATTAAATACTCTTGGCATGTCACCAACCAATCTCTTGTATCATTTCCCACAAGATGCTGGATGCAAAAGTCTAAGAATTTTTATTTGTCAAAATTATATTTGAATATCATAAAAAAGTACATTACACAAGACATAGCACTGTGCTTTTTATAGAATAAATTTTCTTGGATTTTTACAAAAGGCATATGAAATAATTTTTCTCACCTTTCTTTAACCACCTTCAAAATATTTACATTTCTGTTATACCTAAATTGATATAAATATAAAAAAAACTATCTTTGGTACTGGTATATATCATTTCACATGCATGATCATTTCTTGATATTGATAGGCCTATTTGCATTTATAAATATATTTCTGTATACATAAATTTGGTTCATTTTTTCCTGTTATATAATTAATTGATGCTTAATCTAATGATAATATAAATTCTGGTGATGGGTGATCTTAATAGTATTATCTTTAAAGAATAAACTTTACATTTTTTGTCAATATGATTGAAAGTTGTGTGTTACAAAAACTAAATTTATTACAGCTTTGTATAGTTGAGTTAAAAAGAAAAAAAATTAAACTGGCATATTTATTAATGTAAAGAATCCTCCAATGCCCAAAATCTATAAATCTTTCTTAGATACAAATGTATCAAAATACAAAAAAGAGGTAATTTTCATCATCAGTCAGTTTATCTGTGTGTTATTTCAGTGTTAAGTAATGATCAAGGTTTCTATGAAGGCAGAAGTGATGGTAGTTATTTTCCTGGTCAGATACAAGATTCACAGATTAGAAGAGGTAAAGTTGAACTTAAATGACAGTTAAGGTTTTTTGTAAAATTACTTGATAGTAGATTTTAGAAAAATAATTTTTAATGGTTTTGTTAATTCAGTGCATTTGTATATCTTCATTATCAAAAGTTTCAATAAGGTACTGAAGAGTGGAATTCTAAGCTAAAAATTAGACTGTCAACTTCTTGGATTTCTCCACATTTCAGTTGAATTTTCATTTAAACTTCTGCTCAATTGTTTTTTCTTTATGTCAATGTTTTTTTAGCTGGTTCAATGGGAAATCTTATAGGAGACACTGTCACTTTAAATCGGAATACATTAGCTGCCTTAGTACAACAACAGAGTCATGGTGGAGTACAAACTACAGGGTAAGTAAATAGAGTTATTTCCCTTGGCACATCACTTCTGCTGGGTTTCACTTGAAGCTGTTGACTTTATTCATCACTACACTTAGATTTAATGGAAACATTTAATAATGAGAGCTATTTCATGATTATTTGATCAAATGTTTTGCATGAAGATTCCAAGATGTTGAAATTAGTGCTAACAAAACAAATTTGTTTTATTTAAAGAGGAAAAAGGTAGGTTTTGTATCTGCCCATCATGTCCAAAATGACAGGGTTTTTTTTCCAAAGGGTTAAGCTGGATGCTTTCTGAATATCTAGAAATGTTATTTTGATTTTAACAAATGTTTTTGATTGGATTGTCAATCTAAAAAGTGATACAGATGGCTGAAGTAGAGTTCAATCATCTGATAAAGCTATTAATCTCTCACATCATACATGACTTTTTGCCTTAAATTTTATCATTTAAAATTCTTGATGCTAGTGTACTGCAATGCATGAATAAGTGAACTAGGTCCTTCCCATACATGTGTGCAGGTCAAGAAAAAAAATCTGGAGATTTTCCTTGAAAAATCTGGAGATTTTCCTTGAAAAATCTGGAGATTTGGTGAAATGTCGGGTGATTTTTCCGAAGTGCATAAATTCATGATTTTTTAAACTCCAAATTGATTATTTTTTTGTTTAGATAAGCCTTAAGCCTTGTAAATTAATTAAATTGATCATAGGCCTACATGACACAGTTAACTTAATTAAAATTAACAAATCTATCATAGGGATAAGCCTTCTCAGGCAAAATAACTCTAGAAAATAAACAATGTGAAATTTACGAGCTTCAGTAATCTGCTGGTAGTTGGTAGTAGGACTTAATAATTCATTGCCACAATCAATTTTGCACGGCGCAATTAATTTCATTATTTAGGCATTGTTTGATGCAGCTTTTATTCTATTCTTTTATTGTCCTGAATAAGAAAAATTGTCCTGAATAAGACACATTTTTCTGATTAAGACGCATTGTCTTGAAAATGACACATTGTCCTGAACAAGGGGCAGTCCTATCAGATAGGTGTACAATGTACACTGGTTTGATATAAGTTTGTCTTGAATGAATTATAGTCTGTTTTATAGAATTATCTGGAAATGGAAACAAATTTTACTCCATGTCTGATGTCATCAATTAGTGTGTATCTGTATCATTGTTTGAGTTCTTTTAGCTGTATTTGTATCATGGGTATATGTCATGATTTACAGTATTTAAATGTTAGCTTATATACCAACTTGGTATACCTAAATTATATCTTGTATAAGTCACTTGACCTTGTTCATATTTACCACAAATCTTACCAAAGTCAAGCAATGAAAAAGGAGTTCATCACCTATTTTAATATAAAATTATTTTAGGAGAAGAACATTTATTTTAAAAAGAGAAATTTGCTACATATTCTCTTAAATTTGAAATGAGATATTCGTTGTCACGATTTGTACCATCATTTTTTCCATGATCAATCTCTATGTGGGATTTATGTATTAGTCAAGAAATTTGTGCTTTATGTGTTGCTTGGTTCTTTTAAGAGATTCATTAGATATTTATTAGAATGATGGTACAAGGGAAAGATAGCCACAGAAACGTCGTTAGGGTGGGGTACGTTGGGGCTGGGCCCAGCAAGTGAAAATTAAGCAAAAAGAAAAATCAAAAAGATATAAATTTTGATACATTTTTGGCTCCTCAAAATTGTCAGAAACGAGTTCTCTGTGCCTTTTATTTTTCAAATTTCCTGAGTACAAAATCTGAGCCCCAGCTCCAATTCATTCCTGGCGACGGGGCTGGGTAGCCAACTTGAACTAATGAATCAGTCAGACGTTAAGTCATTTGAAAACTCAGCTTAAAAAGAACCATATATATATAAGATCCGTGTGCCTGACATAAACAATGTAATTTTAGTGCTTTCAGTCAGATATTAAAAAAAAAAAATCGTAGTTTGATTAAAAGGTTTAAAAAAATGAACACAGAAACAATGAAAAAACCTAAACCTCTCATTTGGTCCATGTTTGTTCAAGTATGATCTATATATGCCCTTCACCCAAATTTGAATATGATAATAGATGTCTATGCCCCAGATCAGTTAAATACCAATATTTAAAGGTTATAAAGTAGGTATTTGTTAATAAAATATGATCTATATAAGTAATATATTCTGATATAGGTATTAGATATCACATATTGACCTATCTTTTTGTATTATCTCATATCTGACGGCTATAAATTTCATCTTGATTACACAACAATAAATATTCTTTGGTATTAATATTATTATGGCTAGGATTTCCCATTCAAGTATTCAAAAATCTTTGCAATTAATGATAAATCAGTTTTAATGTCCATTTGGGAATTATTTCATTTAAGGGAATGTCAGTCTTTCTCCTGGTGATTTAAAAATTCATAGCTTTATTGTGAATGGAATTTTGTTGACCAAAGAATATTTGTTATACTTTTATGAATCTGAAAGCTTTTTCAACTCTGTGTCTATAGCACCTCTAGATAGATCAAAACTGTCTGACAGTTTCCTTGAAAATATCAGTGATTTCTCATATTATGCACGACAAGAATTCATGGTTATAATATCAAAACTTGATATTCTCTTCGTACCTTGCAAAAATATATTGACATCATTAATGATATAAGCTTTTTAAGCTTCAAGCTTGTTATATATACTTTTGTTACCTTCTATAAGCTTGTGTTTAAAGAGTTAACATAGCAAAGCTGATGTGAAAATCTTATACTCACAATCTTGAAGTATACTTAAATGAAGGGAGTATACTGTATACCTTTTCATAACTCTATCTTGAGTGCACATTTATATGCGTTTTTTGCATTCAAAACAAGTTTCATTTCTAATGATCAGACACTTTTAACATCTAGTTGTCAAGATTCTAAGTACATGTGCCATTGAATTTGAATTATTTAGATAAGAAAATACTTGTCGCTACAAATGTTTTGGGTGTCAAAGTTTCTTGAACAGAATTAAAAGGAAGCTTTTAATTGAAGGGCAAGCTGTGGGATTCAGTGTGGACCGTGTGTGAAAAAGAAATTGGTTAATAAGTAAGATAGATACAATTTCTACGTCAAAATAAGACTACTTCAAAGATTCATGTGCCCTACACGTTGACTAGAGTATGTTTGTTCACTACATTGTCAATATCAGTTGATTATGGTGTTTGTAAAGGAATCGTTGGCTCTCAGTTGAACTTTATTGGGTCAAGTATAAGTGGCCATCATGAACACATTTTTTTCTCTTTTCAATTTTTTGTTGAAGTTACTTTGGAATGTATGTATAACGGTATAGAAATAGTAAAGTTTATTTACTGATGTTGAAGTGATACTCGAAAATTATATGATTTTAGAAAAGCTGACGTAAATTAAATAAAAGTTGTACAGGCCACAAATTTGTAGCAGTTTCTATTGTCTCAGTTAGTTAGATAGGTGGGTGGATATACCAAGGGGGAGAGCGTATTTGTCTTGAGTAATCCAAATTTGTCAGCAATATCATTGTTACAAACTCAGCTGTACATTGTTCCATACTTTATAATGATACGGCATACTAGTAAACAATGTAACATACTTTCATGTTGATAATGTAGCATCCTGTATGAACAGTGTAACATGTAATTGCAACATTATTCAGAACAATGCAACATACTTTTGGAATAGTGTACTATACATTAGAACCATGTAACATACTTTCATGTTAGTTATGTAACATACTTTCATGTTAGTTATGTAATATACTTTCATGTTAGTTATATAACAGTGTTACTTTACAGCAATGCAACATACTTTTGGAATAATGTACCATATTTTGGAACCATGTAATATACGTTCATGTTAGTTATGTAACATACTTTCATGTTAGTTATATAACAGTATTACTTTACAGCAATGTAATATACTTTTGGAATAGTGTACATACTTTGGAACCATGTAATATACTTTCATGTTAGTTATGTAACATACTTTCATGTTAGTTGTGTAACATACTTTCATGTTAGTTTCATAACAGTGTTACATATTTTCACATATTTTTAACATTCTTAAAAATGTAAATGTAACATACATTGTTCTTATAGTGAAACATTTTTTAAATCAATGTGTAGGCTATAGTGTAATATAAATTGAACTAAAAATGTCAGCAATATTTTTTTAGATTATCAAATATTGATTGTGTATTGTGAACTCGTAATTTTCTAGCTTTATTTGACAAGGGGAACAAAGGATATGGAAATTTTCTACTATAAATAATGTTAAATTATACTGAAATTGTTCAATAAATATTAGATAAATTCCAATTAAATGGTGTACCTTGTGACTTTAATAATCCTTACAAAAACACTGGCCAAGGACACTGGTTTATAAATTACAGCTGATCAATAATGCCAAATTTCTCGAAAATTTTTAAGATGTAAATTTTTTTTACTTGTCTTGAAGGAATTCAGGAACTAATCATCTGGTACATATTTAAGAAAATAGCTCAAAAGTAGCCCCATTTACTTAAACCTGTGATACTATATTTAGAGATATTTTGACCTTGCAAACAGAAGTTATACTAACAATTCTTATACAGCTCATCACAAAATGAACCCCCAATTGACTTTAAATAATGGAAAGTATGATTTGAAACACTGTTAATTCTATTTTATATACATATAATACAATATAGTCAATAGTTTACTTTTGCTATGGTAACCAAGCAGCCATATTGTCTACAAACACCATTCTTCCATCATAACTTGAATCAATTTACAGATCAATTTACTCATCAAACTCTCAATGAAGCTGAAATAAAAATAAATTATTCATTGATGCATGTGGAAATTGATAAATGACAACATCGTGTTTCATTCAAAAATTAAACAACAGCATTGTCAAACTTAATGAAATCTAATTCACCTGAAGCAATCAATTGTCATTCACTTTCTCTGCTGTAGCAATGTATCTTCTAATAGCCGTTTCTAACGTCCCATTAAACAGTTCTATTGATTAGTTATCTTTTTTACCTGTAACAAACTACGACTTGGTACCTGCTTCCTATTTTTACCTCACTATGAGTCAATCGCCATGGTGAGAAATACCAATATGTTCACGTTTGTTTTTCTGTTTTAAAATATGGCCGTTTATAGGACATGTGTTGAAGTTCTCATTTCGAAAATGGTGTTAAATTTATAACGAAATCAATAGTAAAGTATACATATAACTTGAGACGGATATGGAATGGAAATGTGCAATATACTTAGTATGTTTTGAGTTTAAAGTGCAAATCCCAATTAGTTTCATACAAAGGAATACAAAGTTGTCAACAACAAAAATAACAGGATAAATATGTAGATATAATACAGATGAAAGTGATAAAATTGTTAGTGAGGTCTCACACCTATCACAAATACACCACAGTAAATATAGTGTGTTTGTTCATCCATTCTTCACTTCATGTGCATTGTGTGTTTTTTCATCAGACGTACCTTTTCTTTTCATTAAATTCAATTGGCTAGTTGTTTTTGTTGTTTGTAAACTCATTGTTATTGCTTGATCTACAGTTTTCTTCTACGCCTGATCAAAAACTAATTGAATCAATCTTTATCTCAGACATGTTGTCCAAGTTGTTGATATTGACAACTCTTCACAGTGAAGTCCTAAATGGTTTCTTTTCTCTTGAATACATCAAAAATACCTTGAGCTTTGTGAATTTTTAATGGCCAGAAATATCAGTGTCTAAAAATAGATTTAAAAGGAGAATCAATTTTCATTCCCATCTGCTGCATAAATCATACTGTTGTGTCATATGTTCGAAAAGGGACGATTCAACACAAAAGTCATTGATAATGTGGGAAAGGAAAAAACACACCTGCAAGTTTTTTGGTTCAAATCAGTAGAATTTTAAATCAGCTCTAGTTGACTTTTGGTTTAGTCTTGGTAGTGATGTAGAGTTTGGTATCATGTGATCAAGATAGGGGGTGTTTTTTAAGAGATTGGAATAAAGCTCACTAGATTGACACTTAAGAAGAAAAATATCAACCTCAAGACCAACCGCCATCAAAGTCTGAAGAAAATCCTCTTTTCTTAATATTATTGACAAAAAGATTGAGGCTGAAACAAGTATCAACACCAAGGTAGAAAATGACCGATATATGACTAAAATCTCATCAACTTGACAGTCAAAGAACAGAAAAGCAAGTTAAGTGTCATATTTATAAACAATAACTGGTTTGTCTCAAGTGATTGTGGTTATTTTTGCAGACAGACAAACAAAGAAGTGAAAATAAGCCGATAGAGGGAATTTATTTATCACGCCTCTTCAACTCTCGTAAAGTAAAGGAGTCAAATGATATAGGAGAGATACCAAGTGAGGTAACAAAAAAAAAGGGGAAACTGAAACGTTGCTAAAACCTGATTTATAACATGGAATATGTTTATCGTGCATTTTAGTTTATGAGATATCAATAACATTTGATTGAATAGAAATTTAGCCCTGGGTCAAATGTGTTTTATGATGGATTGCAACATTAACCATTTCAAAATGACTAAAGTTAACCCTATTGATGTAATTTTAACTCTATGAGTAAGAAGGGACACTCTTTGTTAAAGTTTAAATGCAAGTCACATTCGATGACTTATAATGTTCGGTGAGGCGTTGGCCACGTAATGGGTTAATCCCTAATGTATGCAGAGTCACTGGTAGATAAAACTATGTGATAATATTGACTATATAGTTTATTTGATTATGATAACTTTGTGGACCAAACGATTAATTGGTATACTAGATATATTTTACTAAACACTATTAAACCACAAATATAATGAACTCATACCAAATTCCCTCCATTTTTTAACCTGGCCACAACGTTTTGAATACCAAACATGATTTAGCAGACGTCACACATTGAACTGCTGTCAAAGCCTAGTTTTGTCATTTACAAGTGAACTATACTAACATAATATTGAATGATTGAAATTCAATACCAAGCTATTGTGATTTGGATTTATTTGTGAAGGGTGATCAGACATATATATTCACAGATAGATCTAATCGGCAGATTGGAGATTCATTAGTTAAAATCAGTAAATATTAATTACTTAATAAGGTCACAAGCTGTCATCTTTGATAAACTAGATTGAAAAACAACTAAGCAATTAAATAGGAAGTTAGAATTAATTAGTATTGGAGTTGATTTACCTACTTATCTCATTTAGATGTGTTCACTTTACATATTGGATATCACCTGGGTAGCAGAAGGACAAGACTTCATCTGATTTCTTTTAAGATTTAGTCCCAACAATGGGTCAACACTTGTGTTATTGTTATATGGAAAGTGATTACTAGTATTAAGAATGGACTAAATTAGTTTTAAGTGGATTACAGGTGTGTGAAGCCAGGCTTAATTGTGTAACTTAAATCTAATCAAGTTAGCATGAGTCAAAGAGCAATCTATAGGAAATCAACAGGTTCACCCCAACAACAATTTACACCAACAGTCAACAATGGAGTTGGGCCTCAGGCTAAAGCATTTCCATTTAAACATTTTATTACCTTGCCCAATGGTGTTGTGAGAAGTAGTAGGCCAGCCCGAGGTGAGAGTAACTATCATAATATCTCTACAACGTCAGGATACAGCAGTGTACCAGTTAAAGGTATTCACAGTCCCCCAGTCATACATTATACTGATAGTGGACCTGAATATGATAGACAACAGTATCTAAAGCCACCCGACCAGGTTAGATACAACTCTAGAGTCAGTAGAGAAAGACACAACAATGTCAATATTGTATTAGATTCAACAAGCCAGCTAGAAAGTTCAGTGGGCAGATATCGAAAGCGATCCAAATCCACACCTCCAGTGAGTGACAGGTCTTCAGGTGATTGGGTGGACAATAGTTCAGTTAGACAGTCAACAAGATTAGTTAGTAATGGGAGTGTAAAAGGCCAGTATATCACCAACGACGAAGTTATTTACGCTAATGTGAACAGAGGATCAATTTCTAATAACAGACCTCCTTTATTTATTAATTCACCTGCTTCTAAATATGTGGTGGATGTGAACCATACTTATTCTTCTGTTGGATTAGTACATAGTAAGGTGGATTATATTAGACCTTCATCTCCTCTTAGTGTTTATAGTGATCGGGGATCGGATTATGTTAGTAGTGCTGGTTCAATGAGGGGTGATACTGTGATATATAACAGTCCGTCTGCTCGGCAAGACGTGATTATGATGGGCAATTACTATGACCCTCGTGATATTTATGTGGACAATAGGAATAATGGTTCCTTGACTCACTCTAGGGCTAAATTCTCCAGCATGCCAATGTTATATGTGGACAAAGCCACTGAGAAAAAAATTATTAAAGAGGAGAAAAAGAGAGTAAAAGAGGAGCGAAAGCGATTTGAGAAAGAGGAGAAAAAACGTAAAAAAGCTGAAAAGAAAGCAGCTACATTGAATGCCAAAACTTTACCGAAAAGTTGGGGGTATGATGTTGTACATAGGAATATTGAGAACACTTATCCTCGACCAAGGTTACGCATGAGAGCAGTACCAATAGAATTTGAAGATGGACCTTATGTACCTCCTCCTCTAAGGCCAAGATATGTGGTTAACCCTAACCCCGGATTACAAAAAAAGCATTTTTATACCAGTACACCCAATTTACAACAAGCAATATATGCCAATACACCTAGTATTCAGAGAGTTGAACAGGTGTACGGTACCTCATCAAGATATGCATTAAAACCACATATACCTCCAACTAATAAACGGTAAGTTTCAAATTGGGAATTTTTCCTGGATTTCATTCAATGATATTGTATTATAATAAATGTATGAATAGACCATCATATATTAATAATGATTTGGATTTGTTTTGTTTAAGTGTATATACATGTGATTCATATTCAAAATGTGGGTGTTTTTAGCTGCCAAGAAGTACACCCACCCTAGGTTAATCAATAATTATTAATATTCTTGGTTTAGTGATAAGTTCACAAGTTCCTTCATATAAGTTGGATTGGCACGCCTTTACTGTCTTGGGACAATTATGTAACTTACTTTTGATCAACCCTAGTTTTAGGCTATCTAGTTAGATTTATAACTTAGTTGAAACTCAAACATTCTGATGTTAAGGGAATTTTAAATATTAATGTCAACGAAAAGATGACATTTCAACAAAGTCTCCACAAAATTTGAGTGCATTAAAATGTGATGCTCTGGTTGGCTACTCTAAAATTGCAGTAAATCAAATAGCCCAAAGACAAAAAGAAAGGAAATGAAATAAATGTCTATGAATTGTTTTATTATTTTAATAATGTCCCTGTCAATCAAAGATTTATTTTAAGATGTCAACCATATTAAATGTCACTTAATTTCTGGGAGAAAATCTACTGTCGTCTGCTTAACTTTGATCTGGGAAAGTTTGTATTTACTATGTACAATAGCAAGTATCACAGGTCAAAAAACTATCATGTACATGTATTTGGCTGTGAAATATTTTTTTCTCCTAACTATATTGATACATTGGTTACTCTCCAAATCTACCATTTTTTATCCAAATCAAATAACAAATTGTGTAACATTTCAACAATCTTGAGAAAATTTGCTTAGAATTTGATTTTCTCTCCATTCGTTAAGCCCTTCTAACATTTGTCAAAAATATTTTTTATGCATTGTTTTAGTGGGTTGTAGTCATAATGGCCCTAAACCAAAATGGTCCCAGGTCAAAATGGCCCCAAAAGTCAACATGGTTCCAAAAAAATAGTCAAAATGGCCCCAGAAATTACTCTTTGATTTCAACCAAATTTTCAAGTCAAAATGGCACCTAAAAAAAAGTAAAAAGTCACAGTTAAGTTTGATTATGTAGAATTCTGTATATCAGAAAAAAAGTTCAAGGTTAAACTGAACATTTTGAATCTTGAAGATGAATTAAAAAGTCACTTAGAAAATGAATACCATTATGGACTTCCAGATTAAAATGATTCAAAATAAAATTGACTTTCAATGCACTTTTTGTACGAATACAAGAAAAGTTGATGTGTGGTCCAATATGATATATGTATATTTAAATATTCATGAATATAAAAAAGTGAAGATATTGCTTAACATTTTCTTAGATTTTTTAAAATGAACACATTATTCTCACAAATTTGATTATGAACTATTGAATTTTGGTGTCTCTATTCCAATATAAAAAAAATATAATATAAGAATTATGACTCCAACTTAAGCTGGGATTATCTCTACATAAATAATCCTAACTTAATATTCATCATCAAACCTACTTATCAATGTTAGGTGAAGTGTAAATTATTAGAATTAAAAAAGACAGGATAGAGATAGTAATATATAGTCAGAAAGTCCCCCAACAGAATGGTTATTAAGTGAATTTTGTGATTAAGTTTTCAAAAACAGTGTAAAAGACAATACTTAATTTTTACTCTGAACACCAAATTTTCCATTCACTCTTGAAATTCTTAAGTTTTTTGCAAATTCTTTTTTGCAAATATTTGGTTGGTGCATTTATTTCAAGAGGTTTTTTTTTTTAGGGAAAAGGGGATTTTACAAAATTGATAAAATCTTACTTAAAAACTATTCCAATATGGAATTCTTTAAAATCATAATTATATGATAAGCTTACTGATTTTTTCTGACATAATTTTTGAGCACGCTTGTGAAATAAAATGAGGACAACCCTAAAATACAAGTTAGATATTGATATAATTATATAGAAAACACAGAGAACAGGTGTATAATATAGTAAAAAATAAGTTATAGTAAAGTGTTTGTCTATGGTTGATACACTTGTTCAATAATAATCATACCTTATGAATGAAATACTTCAATAAATATTTGAGTAAGCATACTATTATAGGATAGGCCAATAGACTTTTATTCTAATACAATAGAATATGGGGAAATTTGAAAAACAACAAAGGTGTAACTTTGCAACGTAAATAGTGATTCACTTTTGAAGTATGTATTATTCTAATTGAGCTTGAAATATGTGACCCCATTAATTATTTGTTTTTATGTTTTAATCTTAATCATTTTCTACGCAATCCCTTACATGATAAGATAGAGGGCTAGTAACTATTAAAATTTTGTGTAGGCGATTTAATTTGTCTAAATTTTGATTTTAGACTATTAAACATGACCATGGATGAAGCTTGGGCTATTAATTTGTTCATGGTTTATTGCAAGATAAAAAGAATGATTTTCATTGCCCATGTGTGTGTGTATTTTATGGCCACATCTAAACCAGAAAAGCCATAGGACCATGAAACTTGTAGTTGGTGTATATTTGGGAAAAATTTCATTTTCTTTTTCATGTGGCTATAAAAAAAAATAAAAAATCCCAGTTCAAATAATCATGATCTGCAAAATGAAACTTGAAATCCAAATAACAGTGGCAATGTAAACGGCAAATGAACAAATCAATTATAAGTGAGTAAGTATTTTGTTATGAAAAGTGGTATCAGGTGTCTAAGAGGGTAAGCATACCCTGCCTGGCACCACACCTATTATTCCTCAATATTATATACTGTTGTATTATAAATATGGAAAAAAATGCTTGGCATGTTCATGAATGTGTTTCATGTATATATGTGAATTTCAAGCATATGTTTTGACGTCTAACTTGAATAATATACAATATACATCTATTGAAATAAAATACAAATTTTTGTGGTTACTCTTAAATATACATATATTCACCCCTATCCCAATGTTATGAATCATTTTAGATAAGGGTCACCAACAATGACTATATAAAAAACAATTTTAAAAAGCTTGCGTCAAATTGAATGAAAATAATTTAAAATTTATGTGTCCTATCATTATCTGCTTGAATACCTTTTTATAAGTTATGTTTGTTTTTTATTTGATCTTCTGACACGATCATTTTTAAATTTATCTCCTGTCATTCATAATTTTCTTTGACAATTTAAAGAATTTGTGTAGATTTATTTGCAGTTTGTAAAAGTTCATTTTAAGATATTTGATGTCCAATTTTGACAATGATATATATATCTGATCAAGATCAATGAGATTGACCCAAACGTTCGAATTGACCAGTTAAATTGACCAGTTAATTTGACCAGTTAAAATGATTTAAAAATATTTGAATTTAGATTCAACTTTGACCTGTACATGAAATTGAACTTTGATGTTGAAGATTTATAGATGATTTGTGGCTTCTTAATTTATATCAATACATAAATCAGGCTTTATACAATGTCATCAAGCTATAAGTTAAAGTAGTTTCAAATGTTCTAAACAAGAATTTCAGACCAAAAAAATTTAAAAATTTATAATGAAATATGGAGAGAAAGATAATTTACTTCATCTATTCCATATTCAAAATCCTGCAAACTACAATCCTGAATTTCTTGAACTGTTTGAAGTAAGACAACATAGGCCAACATCAAGAACAAGGCCATATTATTTTCAGCATTTAAATTTTTATACTAATAGCACATTGGTATTTTGAATTCCATGTTGTAATGAGAAGAAAAGATAAGGTTCATAAATAGAACATCTTTTTTCTGTTCTTATAATGTTTTCCATTAAACAATTCACTATTAAACAAACATGATTGTTCCCAGGAAGAAAAATTTGAATGAATTGCCTTTTGTTTGGCAAGTAAATCATCTAGTTGTTTTTACACTTAGTATATTTTTAACTTAGATTTATAAAAAGATATTTTTCAGCTTAATTGAAAACATTAATGCTTATTTCATTAAAGGGACAGAGGTGCCATTTTGGGGGGTTGTTTTTAGTCTTGTAAATATGTAAATATTCTTCAGAAGAAATATATGTATGAAAATCCTTCGTCATTTTAACATTCAATTGCAGATAATTCTAGACACATGTGGATTTTAAAGCTAAAATTGCGACTGTGAGCTGTGAACACTATTACTGATTAGCTTAGCTAAATAATTCAAGTTTCTGCTAAGACAAAAGAATGATTGGTCAAAAAAAATTTATATATGAAACAAGCTTGACTTTTAAATATGAAATTAGAAAAAAGATCAGAACCGCAAAACAAACCCCACAATTTAAATCTGTAATAACAATTTGAAAATATTTCAAATGAATTTCACCTAAAATATATTTTAATAAATCACCTTTTTCTATAGCAGAAAAAAGTCAATTGTTTTAATATTCAGTACAAGTTTGGACATGAGGTATCATTAATTATTCATTTCTCTTTGTTAAGATTTAAACAGTGAGGGTTAACTGAAAAGTTTTGAAAGTATTGTAGAGAACACAAAGTATTAATTTATAACTTTATAACTGTGATATTGAATAATATAGTTTTATAGCAGTGGTTAACGTTTACCATCTTATAATTAGTTTCCATCCATTTCAGTGAAGTCAAGTATCGATACACAATCTTGTAATATGATACGCGTATAGTGGTGTGTGGTATCGCAATACCTTAATTCACCTGTATATCGTGGCAGTACTAATATATAATGCTGTTACACAGAATATCTTTTTTACGGTTGGTACTGCTTTGCTGAACAAGGTGTATTGCAAAGAAAAAAAGCTGCATCACCAGCAAAACTTTTAATACTCCCCTTAAATATCCTTGTTTCATTTGACTGTAAATATAAAAAAATTTTTATTTCTTACATGACAAGTTTTGCTAACATTCCTGTACATATTTACCAACTCATATAAAACATTCACCCAATTACTGACCTAAGGCCATGATAAATATTTCTAGATATTTATAAAACTAGTTTTAATCTTGATTTTATTATTATTTAAGTATTTTGTGTTATTTGTGGACATTTTTATGACTATTTGATCAAAAAAAAAAATTGCTTGTGGAATGTGATCATAAAAATATTAAGATCTTTGATAATTTAAGGTGATTTCCCTTAATAATTACCAAGAAATATATCAATTTTTTTGTTAATTTTCAATATGCACTAATGATAATAAATGTCTAATGAACCTTAAAGGGACAGATGCACCATTTATATGCCCAATCATCTCTTAGTCTCAGAAACGCGATTTTTTTAGCTAAGCCAATCAATAATAGTGTCCACAGCTCACCATCAAAATTTTAGCCTTGGAATCCATGTGTGTGGAGATATTTGCTTTTCAAAGTTCAAAAGACGAGTCGTCTTTTTTTGAGACACTGCCATGATATATAGAAAAGACATCTATAGAAATAGGAAAAGAAATTCCTAGTTTGAGATAATCATAAGTATAAAGTGCTAAAGCTAATCCTAAAGACTTAACCATAACAGCTTTGTTTTGACCTTTTATAATAGTTTCTTATGGTATAATTAGTATTCATTGTTATAACTATCAATGATACTGTCTTTGTAGGTGATAATTATCTTGTATTGATAAGTCTTTATAATATACAATTATCATAACAATAACATTATCATTAAGTGTTACTTATCTTGATAATATCAGGTGATATATTGATTGTAATGGTCTTACTTAATACAGATTATATTGTACATGTCTGTATTTAAAATAAAACTTTAAGCTTCTTGAAGAAATAGTCTACATATTACGTATAAAAAAATAAAACTAAAGATATCATTTGGGTGACAATTTTGAAAGTTGTATGGAATTTTTCCATGGATTACAAAGATCTTTACCTGATCAACATTATTGATGGCTTTCAAGAGTATTTAAAGGGCCTTTTTAAGTTTTCAGAAGTACTAGAAATGTATCAAATGGCATAATTCCTTCCAAAATATCTCAAACTAGGAATTTCTTTTGGACAGATAAGAAAAGTTAAAAATTTGATATTAAATAAAAAAGAGTTGGTTACCTAAAGTATTTTATTTTGTGAGTGATATAACTGAAAGTGACATTTATGACTACCTATAACAGTTTATTATAATGATATAGTACTGCTTATATTTTATTAGTAGTGACATTTCGGTCTTGTAGTATTGTATATTTTACTTGTTGACTAACTCAAGTTGTTGAAGGTTACCTCTAGATGGTCATTTTTGATTATTAAGACACTCCAGAGTAACCAGTGTTGGTCTATCTATCCAAAACACCTGTTATGCATTTTTGTACTTGAACAAGGAAATGGAATGATTATTTGGCCTCAGTGGTTTACATTTTCTTAAGCATCATTAAAGTTACAAGTGTGCCATTTTAGGGGTTGATTTTAGTCTTCATGAAGATAGTCTTCAGAAGTACTAGAAATGTACAATAATCGCATAATTCCTTTAAAAATACTTCAAACTAGGAATTTTACTCACTATTTCTATATACATTTTTTTATATATCACAGAGTATCTTAAATTGATGAGTCGTTATTTTAACTTTCAAACGCGGATAATTCTGGACACACATGGATTTGAAGGCTCATATTTCGAAGGTGATCTGTGAACACTATTACTTATTGGCTTATCTAAAAAATCCTGGTTCTGAGACTAAAGTAGGGCCTATAATTTTTTTTTTGAAAAATGATGCATGTGTCCCTTTAAGCTCAACAAGGACTTCATCACTGTAAAATGTAGTTATATATGTCTGTGTGCACTTGTGGTTCAAGGTCAGTTTTGTAGCAGTGTTTTTTTTTGACTACATGTACAGGATGACATATTGTTTGCACTGTCTTGTGTTTTCATCATTACAAGATGTTATAAATCTCATTTTACACTTTACATTATTCTTAGTCCTTGATGACCTGAAATAGAACTCAAAACAGCGTAAAGAAACAACATTATACACAAATAAACCATACTATATCAATGCTTGTTCAACATAACACAATCTGTTAATTTTGACACCTTTACCTGTTCAAAAAGTATTACATAATATGAAACAGATCATTGACCAAGTTTTGTTGACTAAGTAAGATCTGTTGACATGAAATTGTTGACAAAAATTGACAATCTTATATAATTTTAGAACTTCATTATGACCAGTCATTACACCATTTTCCTTTTACATTAACATATAGAAAAGGAAATTGGATTTTCACCTTCAATATTTTGATTGGTTATGAACCGGACGTATTATAAATTATCAAGGGTTGTCAATATTAACACAGAGTGTCTGGTATGATAAAGACAAACAGTAGACTTGATTATCATAGCTATTGATTTATTTATGAGCATTGATTAGGATTCAATGAGAATTTATTGACTAAGTATGCTATCATTTCAAATAGTTTCAAAGATCTATTCTTTTCAAAGGAACTTTAATCATGGTCTATCTAAGTTCTGAATATATGTTTCTGTCTGTGCTTATGGTGCTGTGGTGGCCTAGCAAATAACAATGTTTGCTCTGTTAATAAGGAAATTAAATGAATGAATTTTTCTGCACTAGTTTGGGCTAATAAAAAGAGAAAGCATTGTGCAATGTAGGAAATTTTGCAAGGACATCAGATAGTGCCAAATCTTTTGCAATCTCCAACTGACACAGAGCATTGATTCATTGTCCCTTCTGAACAGCTAGAAGTTTTTTTTTCTGTATCGGCATCACCAACAAGGGCAAACCATGTATTAAAGATCTGAAGGCCTTATCTCAACCAATGTTAGGACCTTCAGGTCAGCAAGTCTCCTAATAAGAGGGTTTGATCCTGTAAAAGGTAGAGATAAACTATCAGATTTTGAAATTCCATGTTGCATCTCTGCATCTCTTTGCATCTCGTAAATGTTGAAAATTGCTGACATAATTTTTACGATTCTTAAGAAATGAATTATTTGTTTGTTCCAGTAGCATGTTCTGGAATTGATTTGGTTCCAAGATATCTTGAGAATGTTCCGTCTAAATAATGAATGAATCATGTTGTACTGTCTAATGTATAATAGATTTCTGATTGACATATCCTATGTTTTTATGATCATTATTTTGATCCCAGAATAACCTAGTATATTGAATTCAGATTAACCTTGGTCTTTATGATTGATATTTTATCGTTAACAATAAGGGTTAATTGCATGAAAAAAAGAGGTCTTATTTGCAGATATGATTTTTATGTGAAGTCCTCAAATACTGTTCAGTTATTTGGCAGATTTGGGCAATTGCACATTATTTGTAAAAGTTGATTTTTTTTTTTTAATAAAAAAGATGTTACAGATAGAATAAAAATCTAATACTATCATATGGAAATTGGAATTGATCTTTCATGATAAAAGTAAGCAAAATTATTGATAATCTTGTCTTTATGTGGGATGTGGTTACTCAGTAAGTAAAGATGCTTGCTTGCTTGCTAACCTGAATGTCCAGGATTCATAGCATTGAAAGAGGCAAAAACTTTCGATTTAACACACAGTTGGATATAGTGGGGTAATTCCACTGTCCTTCCAAAACTTCTGCCCTTGCAAACTGCATGACATTGCCCATTTTTATTTATCTATGAGATTAAAAGCAGGTTGTAAAACTTCATTCTCTATAACGCATATTGGATAGCTATTCATGTTCACCTGTTTCACTGCACTTAGCATAGTTAATTCAAATGTCAGAAAGCATGATTGTTTTCAAGAATTGAAAGCAATTTTTTCAGGTATGATTGTCCTGGTAAGACATTGAATGCAATATTTTAGGGTTAGATATATAAGCCAAGGCTTTATCTGAATAAGTAAATAGTAGATTATGATATATTATGATAAGTATAATACCACACCCTATTGTTAACGGTAGATCTTTAGTTTACTTTACCTACTGGTAGGGTTACCCAGGACTAATACCCATTGTTGGTAGCTAACTCTTAGTATTTATTCTGTTTAGTCATTTTACTCTCTCAGTAAATGTACCTATTAGAGGTGTGACATTGAGCTATTGTGTCATACCTTAGAAGGGGTGACTTAGGGCTTAACTGTTACATTGATAGTCACAACTTTTATTTCTATATACTCATAAATCCTATGACCATATGATTTCATAAATTAAAATACTTTAATTGCTCATATCTAGAGTATCCTTAAAGTATATATATAGAAAAACATACACAAGATTTTAATGTAAAAACAATTTTTGGCAAAAGTAAGAAAACAAATTTGACTAAAATGGCTATGAGTAACATACTATTTGTAAGGCATTAAAAAAATATTTAAGAATTAGAATCAAAGTCCAGAATTGTATTCATTAACTTCCATTTATGAAATTGTTGGTAAGTTTCAAGTAAGTACAATGTAAGTGCTCTCATTAGTAATATAATCTGTTAGGCAGAAAATAAATGAGCTTACCATTTGGAGATTCTTTAAGTTGAGTTTTTTCCTATAGATGCACACACCTGACTCTCACCTTTTGATCCTTGCTAACCTAAAGTGCTCCATTTTCATAAATTACTACAAAAAGTCCACCTGTTACCAAGTCAACAAGATTTATTATCTTCTTAACGGTTTTTTTCTTGAAGAAAGAATAAGTTGAACACCTTACTTCATACTAAATATTGATTAAAGTTATTCTAATCACAACTTAATTGACCATAAAATATAAATATATACCTAGAGTTATTTTCAATTGTTTGTTCAGATTTTATATTGTGACCAGTTGTGAGTTAATTTACCAGTAGAGCAGAAGGCTATGTTGTTTCCTTGTGACACCATTTCAGTTCTGTGGAGATTTGACTGAATGTGTATTTTCTGTAAACTGCTTGAGTTTGGGTTTGTTGTGGTTGTAATTTGTGTATAGAACTAGGTTTCTGGTCATACCATTAAATTTCTGTGGAAATTTGACAGAATATGTTTCAATTTCATGTTCTTTGTGTTGGGACTGTTTTTGGTACTAAGTAGCACTCTTTACAATTTGGACGATGTTTGGATGAGTATGCTTTTGGGTGTGATTTTTGGTGCAACTGTAAAATGTGTTTATGTTAAGAAAATTGTATGGATTACTGTGTTTCTTGTGAAACCACTTCAATGCCTTGAAATATTTGGATAAATTCTGAATTATAAGATTTTGATGTGATTAATTCTGTTTTTATTATGGACTATTACGTACTTTGACTTTGACGAAATTTGTTTATTTCAGAAGGGTGTTGCAATGTTTAAGAATATTAAGATATCTTCAGTAGAAGATGAATTTTGTTTTGAGTTTTGAGTCATTATCACGATTTCCTTATTTTAATTAAATTCCTGTATCAGTTTTCTTTCTAAGAATGGGTGTCAATTTTATGGCAAGACGTTCTGACAAAATCTTGGTGAATATCCTGGTAATTTATTACCGGTTCCATTATCATAACAGGATGCTTTAAATAACACATGGTAACAACTGAGAATTTTGAAATTTTTATCATTCTTGACTTATATTTCATTTCCATTTTGAATTTTATAAATTAATTATTCTCAAAAGAATCAAAATCAGGCAAATCTGTCAAAAATGTGCCACAAATCACAAATGCTATCTTCAGAATTGCAGCCAGACATAACTGACAAACCAGAACCAAATTCTAATCTACTTTCAGTTTATGAAATGTAAGCTTGCATACAGTTATATTATGGTGTCAACTTAACATAGATTGACAATTTAACATGATTTTCTCTTTTATCTCAGTGGCCAGAATTAGACATTACGTTTGCCTGTGTTATAGATATCCCTAACTCTCTAATCAGTAAATAAGGAGATAAAATTACACGGGTAATGTCACTCAGAGTCTATAAAACTACTTTTAAAATTTGATGTGAGTTTTGGATTCAATTCTTCTTCCCTGTATGGCTCAGAATTTGAAACATCGGATTTAAGAACAATTGTATGGATTACATGTATTCACTGTGAATTTGGGAGTTTTGATGAAAAATAATCATTTGAATACAAATTGAAACCTTCTTTCCATGTATCTAAATTACTTCTGCCATTCAAGGGATAACGCTATACCCTAACAAATTGGGATGATTATTGTTGAATTCATGTTATTTTGAAAATCAGTGATCAAGTTTAGGCAGGATAGTTGTGGATTAAGACTTCCATACACATACACCTCAAGGATTATAAAGTTTAAAATCAAAAGGATTTACATCTAGGTCCCACCCAGTGGTATGATTTGAGGACAATAAGTCTTTATAACAGACCTATATCCATCATAATGTCATACCCTAAGTGATCTATGGTTAAACTTCTAAAATCATGTAATATTGTGTGAGATCTGTCAGACTGGACATTGGTCATTATTCAATGGTCATCTTATCTGAAAATTTGTTTTAACTTGATGCCCTTACCAAAGGAAAATGGGTCAAAAGAACTCGACTTTAAGAGTAAAATTAAAGGAATCTAAGTACAGGTAAGAAAATTTCAGATTTTTTTCAGTTTGAGTAAGGCTGCACATTTTTCAGTAATTTTAAATGTATTAAGAATTGGTTATTGAATGAAGTACGTGGTGTGGTCAAATATTTGGATATAGTTGTTATGGCTTGACCAGCAGTAGAAAAGTTAATTTAATGTTTCTGTACGATTTTCAGAATGGAAACTGTATGGTGATCTTATGATAATATCTTATGTCTTGGAATTTTTCGTTCCACTGGTTACAGCATTTAATTGGAACAAACTTGGAGTTAGAATTTAACTTCTGACTAGTGATGTGGGTTCATTGAAAACGTCCTCTAATTTTGAGTATCTTTTGCATCAGAATCTAAAAAATTATTCTATTTTCTGGTAGATAACTTCTACTTCATTAAGTAGGTGATATCTCTTTGCTTAAGGCAGTTTGATTAATTATCCTGCTAAAAATCTGTGTTTTTATGATTAATACTTTAGTTCATGCAATGTTCTCATATATTTATCTCTTAACCTGAACAGATCTATATTTAACTTGTTTCATAAGCTGACTTCGCATTCATACTTGATGATAAGAGAATTTTGATGGGTTTTATTTGAATATTCTGATATGGTATAATTAATTCAGTTTCACATCCTACTTTTTGTAACCTGTTTTTGATAATAATTGAAGATGGGCAAACATTGTGAAGTGTGCAATAAGGGAAATTTTGCCAGGCCGGCAGCATTAGCTTACTCCAAAGAAACCTCAACAGACAAAGCCTGTAGCACATAAGGCCTGGGTTAAATGTCCCATCTAAAGGACTAAATGCTTTTTATCAGGAAAAAACCTGCTCTAGACTTGAAAATATGACACACTTTTACTTTATCAAAAATATATAATCTGTCAACAAAATGAACTTTACATTATGTAAACAGGCAAGTATACTGAAAACGATTCAAATTCTGGGTTCAAATGGGTTGATCTCAACTCTACAGACTAGTGTAATGCCAATGGAAATGTTAACCCTTTCAACTCGGTCCATCTCTAGGAAGATGCCTTCAAACATTTGGTATTAGACTATAAATTGGTGTAAAAGCATAAGTCATAACTGACCTTTGGATCATCATTTGACAAAACATGTGGGATTTCAAACAACCTATATTGGGCTTAACGAGCACTTTAATTTGAAACTGATTCTTCCTTGCTATTATTCTCATATGACAATATAGGATTCACCCATATATACAAATAGAGCATTTTATTGTTGATAGGACTTATTGTTCAATCCTTTAAAAATTTTCTTTAATTTTCACACGTGTATTTCACTTAATTCTGATGTTTCATTTCTGCTTTGATCAAATATTTGATGGTGTCATGATTTGTATACAAAAAGTGTTTTATTTTGATTTTTTTCCCCTTGAATTGTTTGATCTGCAATGTTTTGATAGTTAAATTGTTCAGGCTTGCTATTATTGCAAAATGTCTATGGTGTTTTGCACCAGGGTGACAAGTGCAGCTGCATGCACTGATAATAGGGAAAAATCTTCCCTGTTCTAGGTGCATCCAAATTATACTAGAAAGAAAAACACAAATATTGGTTGAGCGAACCAAATCTTTCCTAGATTCATTAGACACTGATAACTTTTCAAATAACAGTGTAATTATAATTAGACCAAACTTTCGTTGTTTTTTTATTAGCTTTTATTTTTAATAAAGCCACTTAAATTGGATCTATTGGACAGCCCTCTGAAATGTTGATCAAAATATCCTTTTGACCTCACTCAATGATGTCTGCTTTAACCAATCAAATTTCTGTCCTCTTCAGCGCTGGTATTTTGTGTCTATCAGGTTAAGTCAAAAGGTTAATTTAACGAAAGTTCAAGAGGGCTGTCATTAGACCCTAACTGAAGTGACTATATTAAAAATAAAAGCTTATAAAAAAAAAACAGACTGAAAATGTGGTCTAATTTTAATTAGACTGATGAAAATGAGAAATAAGCTGTGGGTGAATCAATTGGAATCTGTTAACCTTACTTGGAGGGCATGCCTCTTTTGAAATGTCACATGCTTTCAAGGAAATCTTTTTATCACAAGCAGAAATCAAGGTTTTATGTCATCAAAACAGTCGAATGAATTCATAGTTTAAAACATGATAGTTTGAAGGAAATTTCCCTTTAAAATGTTATAAATATAAGTGTCAAGGTATATATGTAATGTGTTGGCATTTATGTGTTCAAGAATAGATATGGCTATCCATATCATTGTACTACTGCCCCACTTTTGAAACTGTTACAGAAATGTCTGTGCTCATAACTTGAAAAAGACCTAGATGAGTGCCCAGATATGCACTATTTGTGCTTTCATTAATCTGTAAGTGCCATTCTTTATTAAGTGCTTTTTGTATTCACATTTTGTACAAATAGAATCAAATTGTGTTCCAGTGGTCTTATGTGAAACTAGTACCGATATGTTCTGTTGCATTCGTTTCAATCAAAGTTGCATTAACCAGGATGTCTTGGCAAAGGATTTGTCCAGCATTGCCTGGTAATCTCAGAATGTATTATTGTGTTGCATTGAACAAGATTATGATGCATTTGCCTAGGTGAATCGGTCATAACATGATTTTGTGTTGCCTGAATCTCTCATGACATAACTTGGAATAGATGTTGATTGTTCTTGACATTCTTAAAATGTCTAAGTGTTTAGACAAGGATTTTGTGTTTTCATATTGAAATATATGTACATGAATAATAACCCTAATCATTAGAACATAGATATTGATTGACATTTGACATGATAGATTGATGATTCAAATATTTTTTTTCACAACACATTTACTTTATCTTCCTTATTTATTCATCTGTAAAATTTAAGTTAACTATATGCAGTTCAAATGTTATTGAATTCATAGGTTATTGCTGATACATTAATTTGAAACAATCTCAGGCATAAATTTGATTATGGTTTGCAATAAAACACAATATGCGTTCTGCACGACGCAATATTTATGTCAAATTAGATATAAAGCCCTAAGGTTTTTAATTTCATAGTATATATGCTTATCTATTTAGAAATTATGTTATATTATGCTCTATGCGTTAAGATAAAGAGTATTAATGATTTGCATTGGAAATATTTATGTACGGTTTACACTGAGTGAAAATACTCATGAAAATATTTTTTTTAATATTGCCTACATTAGAAATATTCATGATTTAGTGTAAAAAATACTCATGGTTGTGTGGAAATATTTATGGTTTAGTGTAAATGATGATATAGTGTAAAAATATTTATGATTTAGTGTTAAAATAATGTCAAAAATATTTATGATTTAGTGTAAAAATATTTATGATTTCTGTTTGTCTATTTTCAGTGAATATTCACCCAAGACAGTAGTTTTACAACGAAGACCAGAAGGCTATGGATTTGTTTTACGTGGAGCGAGATGTAAGTTGAAAATAAAACATTAAATATCTAAAACCTTTAATCAGGTTTAATCAAACACATTAGACAATGTCAAACTCATGCCAGAATAGTGTAACCTTTGACCTGTGTCAGTTCTGACTGAAACAGATTGAAGAGAGAGTTTTAACAATCATGTTTTATTCAGAGAACAGACTGATGTTTAAAAGATGAGCTGAATCACTAATTATTCTAGATGTGTCAATTGTTTTGTACTAGTTATATTATCCTTGAACCCCATTGTTTACATCTTTTGCTTCAAGTCAGAGTTTGAAAAATTATCTTGGAAAGATGTATAAGTAAGTGAAACTGCATGCTAATAATAAAGAGAATTGCAATGTGTTAACCAGCATGTATATAAAAAAATTAAAGTTCTGCCACCCAACCCTATGGCCAATATGCTCTTAGCGAATGATTAATCATCATTAACTACTTAATAAGAGAAAAAAAATGATTAAATTAAAAAAAAACATTCAATGTAGCTGTTGAGTCAGTATTAAAGTATAAAAATCATAAGCCTATCTATTCCTTATTTCAATTCTTCTTCTTTAAATAGATTGTAAAGAGGTTTTCTAAATTTTTATGTGTATCAGGGATATTGATGGGATCATTTGGCACCATTCCAATTTTCAATCATACGTCTGTGGGTACTGCAATTCCACTTAAACTAAGTGTTTGATGACGTCACTAATCACATGGTCCTTATGTGAAAAAGAATTGCAATTAGTGATGTAATTTAATGGTAGAAATTGATGCTATCAGTGTCCCTGATACACATGAAAAATTTAGAAAACCTCTATGATTAATTCATTTAATTCCAAACTGACTCTCAAGGGAAGATGAATAACCTAATTTACCTTCTAAACTAGAGATCATTTCGATTGATATAAATATTGTTTATATAATTATGTGATTTATAATAGGCTTATTATAAACGAGATAAAAAAAATACAACATAATAACAATATTGATAATCTTGTCATTGTTTATTGACTTTTGGAGTGAAGTGAATTTGGTTTAAAGAGAAATTAATTATTATTAAGTAATTGTTAAGTTAAAGGGCAAAGGTATCAATAAAATCAACACAAAAATAAAATTTTGAAATATTTCTCAAAGCCTGGCTGGTTTTGATGTATGTTGGATTGGATTTTGAATTCAAAGTTATCAAAGTTTATATCCACCATCAATGAAACTAAAACTTTGGAATGTGTCGAATTTGTGGGGACCATGTTATTTCAAAGTGGTCAACATAGCTTGTGTGAAATACAAGTCAGATAAAATAATAGAACAGTTTGTTGACTTCCATTTGTCACCTTGTTTTGTAGTGTTTGTCCAACTGTTAACTTGTTTCATCAATTGTTTTTACTGAGAAATAACTCTTAGCTATTTTGTCCCGCAGAGAGCCAAAAAATTTCAGAAAGTGTTCTCTTATAAATCGAAAATAAACCAATATGATGGAAGACTTTGGTCGTGCTGTTACATGTACTTCTAAATTCTTACAAATTCTGTTTTCATCTGCTCTAGACAGTTGGAAAAGTAGGCTAATGCCACAGTTCAGGCAAAATTTCCCTCCTAGTACACTGCATGGTGTTGCCCATCATCATTACCCATAATAGATGCAAAAAACTCATTCATTTCACCTGTTTGAATTTCAATTTTAGAAATACAAGAATCTGCAGTTTTAAGATTTCCTTCAATTTTAACCATCAAAACTTCAAGTGATTCTGTTTTATTTTCCAGCTCAATCTCACAGTGCAAGTTTGGAGTTCCAACCTACAGCAGAGTTTCCAGCATTACAATATTTGGATAGCGTTGATCCTGGTAGTCAATCAGATAGAGCCGGATTAAAAACTGGAGATTTTATATTAGAGGTAAGTTTCTGTCAAATTATGTCTTGGCATATATTGGTTTGGGTTCAATTTCGTTCATTGAGTGGCTACGCATACATCTGGAGTATAAATTGAGGCAGGCACATTGGGGTTGGAATTCAAAATAGGGGCAATTCATTGCATTTTGGTGTTCTCTCTCATCAAAAAATGTGAAGAATTAATTTTGTCATTCAAAAATGACACATTTTGGAACCAAAACTATAAAAAATCATATTTTGAAATTTCTGAAAAATAAAGTGTAACCTCTCTATCTGATCTAAAGGCTCGTGTGTATTCAACAAGGTTGAAAATCAAAATGAAGAAAAACAAATGGATATAAGAGGATTTTCTACATTGTATTATTCACAATTGTTTATTTGTCTAGGATAACAGTCTGAAATAAGCATATTCATGACCAGTATATATTTGAGTGTCCTTGACTTATGAAATAATTTTGATAACCTCTAATATATAACTTACAGTAAATAAACCTCCATTAGAAAAAGATTATATCATTGTATTTTTCCAACTTATTGTCATTATACAGTTTTAAAAATTGAGATTTCCTTGACACAGGGTGTTTATTTTAAAATGATTAATGTGACATCTTTCCAAATAAATGTTTTTCGTGTAAACATTGCATGTCATGTTCTTAAGGAGAAAACATGGATTAAGAAGTGTTCTCAGGGCGTCCCCCTCAAAATTTCTTTCATAGCTTGATATATCATGTCGTAATAAAGCATAATATCTGATTACATTATGGTTTCATAAGAACTTATTTTGAGAGAAGCAAAATCAAAGAGAATCTTTACTGGTTGATATTTACTTTACTTTATTCATTAAGAATACTAAAACTGTTTTTGGCACAATTCAGACGAAATTGTGATACAATCAGAACTATACAAATACTATATTGAAAATTACACAAAATAAGACTATTGAAAATTGCGCAATATAAGACCATTAAAAAAATTACACAATAAAGGACCATTAAATATAAGACCATTAACAAATTACACAATATAGGACCATTAAATATAAGAAAATTAAAAGATTACACAATATCAGACCATTGAATATTAAACCATTGAAAAATTACACAATATAGGACCATTAAATATAAGACCATTGAAAATTACACAATATAGGACCATTAAATATAAGACCATTGAAAATTACACAATATAAGACCATTAAAAAATGACATAATATAAGACCATTCAAAAATGACATAATAGAAGACCATTGAAGAATGACATAATATAAGACCATTCAAAAATGACATAATAGAAGACCATTGAAGAATGACATAATATAAGACCATTAAAAAATGACATAATATAAGACCATTCAAAAATGACATAATAGAAGACCATTGAAGAATGACATAATATAAGACCATTCAAAAATGACATAATAGAAGACCATTGAAGAATGACATAATATAAGACCATTCAAAAATGACATAATAGAAGACCATTGAAGAATGACATAATATAAGACCATGGAAGAATGACATAATATAAGACCATTGAAGAATGACATAATAGAAGACCATTCAAAAATGACACAATATAAGACCATTCAAAAATGGTTAGGAATATTAAAAATTCCAATAAAAAAACAATTTTGCGGTTAAATGTAGAAAGCAGGAAATAGACGATGACAGTTGATTGATTTAGAATAATACTACTAGATGTTAGTGTGGTGTGGTGGAAATAAGTCTATACTTGAAACAAGTATTATCCATTATTTATCCATGAACAATATGCTTATTATTTTAATTCATGTACAGTATTGTAGACAATCTTGTTTACAATATAGTATCTTTTTATATGACCTTCACGAAGAGTAAACTAGAAATATCTATTTAACTTGGTTAATACATTGTATCTTATCATGAAAGCAGCTTAAAGAAGAATTAATACTAGAAATTTCTATCCACTTGTTTTGCCGGTTTAGTTTTCTGCTGAAAAATGATGATATGTATGATCTCTTTATTTTCAAAGTCTTTGAAGAAAATTAGTTCATATACACTTTTATGTACGATAACAGAATATTTTCACTGTTAAAATAGTGCACAATACATCAATTGTAGAGTAATATAAAAATATTAAGACAGAACCTGAAACATGCTCAGAGTTTCACATGCTCAAGACACCTGACCTATTTCAGCCTGGGTCCCTACACTTTTATATATTGATTAAAAGTAAATCTTGTATATGTGGCTTTATTTTTTTATTTTCAATTGTAGATAAATGGAGAGAATGTAGTTAAAGCTACTCATGAAAGAGTTGTACAGTTAATAAGAACATCTAAAGAATCGTTGATTATGAAAGTGGTAACAGCACGACCAGTGGAGAAATCTTCTGATTGGTTTACGCATCAAGATGGATCAATGACTTTGCCCAATCGTAAAAAACAAGGTATGTCAGGTCCTTGTTCTTAATTTTGAAAACAAAGAATATCTAATGTTATGAATGCCTTTTTTTCGTTGGATGTTTTCTGCATTGATTTTTGATTGTCCACTTTAAGATTGTATGATCAAAGCTTTCAAATGTGTGTTAAATGGCTATAAATGGTGATCATGCTGTGGTGTAAGACAGTAATTTGGACACATAACCATGAAAACTCAATATTCTGTCAATAATTGTATCAAGGGAGGTAACTATATGTTAAATGTTATTTCAGCTCCACAACCACCCAGACGTAATCCAGATACATCATTATCCTATAGTAAAGCTACTAGTAAGTCTATGGCAGAGGGATTAGCTGAAATAGGTAAATATTGTCTTATATACTTCGAAGGTCAAAGTTAAAGAAGAAAATTCCTAGTCATTTTAATGTTTGAGAATTTTCAATAAGGAACAATGGTGGCTAAGTGAAAAAATTACAAAGTAAATTACCACTTGATTGTTAATTTGCCAAAAGATAAGGGGCTCATCTGTTAAAAATTAGATGCAATGAAAGAAAGTATCTGAACAATTCCCGGCAATATTTTCTAAGGGTGTTTTTTCTTACCAATTTTCATATCATATGTTTGTCTCAACCAATTGTTTTTGCACTAGCATAGCATAATATATATATACTGCAATGAATAAATATATAATACACAAGTTTTTACTAAGAGTATACGAAATTAGACTGATTATTTATATCTTAGACAATGGATTAAATTAAATTTCTTTATTTTTCAGAAAAACTGGATCAGACACTAGCAGAATTTGATTTAAGTGGTAACAGACGGAATTCATTAACAGTCAATGAAATTTCAAGTGAACAGAAGACAGCCTCTGTTCGAGGATCCCATGCCATGAAGAGATTGTCTTGTGTAGATATAAACCATATAGTAGTAGGAGATCATGTAGAACCAGCTGACCCTACTTACGATACACCACATAAATCAAAAGATTACATGAGTCCAGCTGAATTACGTATCAGAAAATACCATAAAAAACAAAATGGCATTATGGAAAGATCAAAAAGTACACCAGACTTAGCTGTGCCTGATGAAGTTGTTTATGCCTCTACAAATCTTCCAGGGAGTGGAACAACTTTATATGATCGCTCAGCTGTCACTAGAACCCAGAAGATCTACCAAAAACCAGGGTCTCCAGGTCATTATCGACAAGGTCATATGGCTGATGTTAAACGACCTATGTCCCAAATGAACCCTGATAGACTTAAAACATCTGTGTATGCTGGTCCTGTGGTAATCAGATCTAATTCTGAAGAAAGTGATCCACCCAGTATTCCTGGACGTGTTCCAGTGCCTGCTCCTAAAAAGCCTGCCCCAACTCCTCCAGGCAAGTCTGAAGTTGTTAGCATCAGTACATCCAGGAATGATAATGTTTATGCCAATGTGTCAGCAGAAATTCAAGCTCGCAAGAAAGAAAAGGAGGAGTCTCCATATGAGTCTAGTTTCAGGCCTGGTACACTTGCCAGATTGACAAATCAGCCAAAAGTAACAACAGCTTCTCTGGAACAGGCCAAGTTAAAATCTCACAGTAGAAGTAGTAGTTATGGTGTCATGTCCTTGCCTCAAGATGAAGAAACCAGTGATAAAAATGTGTCATTTGCAGATGATAAAACCATGACAAATGCAGCTTCCTTCATTCAAAAACACCCTAATGCACAACTGTTGGTGACAGCAGACGTCCACCAGAAGAAAGATAAGAAAGTTTATTATGAACCAGAACCTGATTATGATGATAGTGATGAAGACAAGCGCAGTTCAAACACAACAAAGCTGCAAGTTCCTGCTAATATCAGTCGGCAATCCAGTGTGAGTTCCTCAGGTTCGAAGAATGCTTCAGAAGACACTAGAAAGGATGTTCGTCCAAAGTCAACTTCAGTTACTGTCATTGCGGTGGGTGATACAACAATGAAAAGGAAGTCTCCGGTTACAGAGCGCCATTTTGCTATTCATTCTGATATTCCATCAACTAAGAAATCAACACCACAGTCTCAATCTGGTGAAGCAAAGATTATGATACCACCTAGACCTAATGAACCAGCTCCTCATCCACCAACAGTCATTTCCAACCACTATTCAGGACACAGATCTTCTTCTTCACCTAACTCAAGTAATAGTTCTAGAAGATCTTCGGTACAATCTAGTCAAAGTGGTGGCAAGGATTCATATGATGGTTCTCCAATGAACCAAGCACCAGTCACGTTCCCTAAACCTCAGATACAAGAGAGTGTACATCACACACCACCACCCCAGGCACCTCCTCCACCCCCACCACCGCCTGCAGCACCGCCAGTTCCCTCAACCTTGCCAACAACACCATCATTTCAAGAGTCACAAATGAGGAGTCCACCAAAACAAGAAACTCCTCAAATCTCAGCTTCTGATATCATGAATGCTGTAAAGCTGCGTCAGAGTAGAATTGAGACTGAAGGACCAAGAATGGTTGAAACAACACCTTCACAACCTCCACCACCTAAAACACCTATTGATATGAATCAATTAGCATTAAAGGCGGCAGTTGAAGCTCGTAAACAGAGATTAAAACAAGAAAATGACACTGCTGTTGTGGATCAAATCGAATCTAGACTTCACAAAACCAAGAAATTGCAGTCAGCTAAATACTTCTTTTCAAGTGACACAATAAAGAATGAGAATAAGAATACTGAGACCGAACAGAAAAGTGAAACACCTGAGAAGACACCAACAGCTAAAAAGACACAGGCACCACCTCCTCCAAATGTCAAACCAAAAAGTCCTCAAGTTGCACCTAAAACTAAAGCACCAGCTACTCCTCTCAAAACAGAGGTTAAATCATCTCCAGTTCCAAAACCAATTTCTAGCTCCACACCTGTTCAGAAACCAGTCTCCAATACAGTTACTAGTCAGAATGAAGCCAATGATTTTCTTGCCATGGCTGAAAAGGCAAGACTGGAAATTTTACAGAAAAAAGGTGGTGGAACTAAAAGCTCTTCAGTAACACCTATTTACAGCTCATCAAATATTTCAAAATCAAAGAAAGCAGATTCAAAAACACCTGAAAAACCAAAAGAAGATCCAAAATTGTCAATCAAAGATAAAATAGCCGGTTTTGAGAAACAGAAACAAGAGGCTAATGGAGTTACTAACGGAACTAATATTGAGTTAGATGGGGTAACTGAAGATCATTCCCATACTGAAGCTGGTAATACACTCACACGCAATGGAAATAGTGCTTATTCCCCCTTTGTGGCCCCACCACCAGGATTTGGTGATACTAATACCATGAACTTGGAAATAATTCCACCGCCAATATCATTTTCTAATGATGCTAGTGTAGATAGTGGACAAGGTTCAGATCATTTTAATTCTGCATTCGGACATGATGATTCTGCAAGTTTAGTGTCATCAGCATCTACTTTAAGTACATTATCTAGTGAGCAGGGTGAAGGGAAATCCCATTATGAGGATATTATTGCTCCCCCACCCCCGGGATTTAGTGATATTAGTGAATATGATGAAAGTGATGTGATTCCCCCACCCCCTCAGTTTTCAAGCAACGATAATAAACCCAAACCTTTGAGACCCTATCAAACAAAAGGTGTGGACACATGGTTGTGTACAGATGTATTAGATTGGTTGGAAAGTTTAGGGATGACCCAATATAAAAGTAGCTTTGCTAAAAACTGTATTGATGGACCTAAGCTGTTAATGTTGGGTCGAAATGACTATATCCAATTAGGAGTTACGCAAGTTGGACATAGAATGAACTTAGAAAGATCGATTAAAAAAGTGGCTTTGGGTAAAATAAGTACAGCAATGTGAGTTTGTCATAATGTGAACTTCTAATAAACAATACATATTAAAAGGATCCAATGATTGTGCGTTGACAATATTCTTATTGCAGCAGATGGCTATTTTATGGTTTGAAGAGTTTCCAAAGGGGAATAATTACTATTTTGCTACAAGTACTTAAATCACTTTTTTGCTTTGAAATGATACATATATTATGGTATAATCATGGCTAATGTATATATACATATTATATTAATAATCTGAAATTACAGATTTTGCCAAAAAAGATATTTCAGCACTGCACAGTGTCACGAAGCACTCTTATATTTTTGTATGATAGTTTTGTAGATTGAAAAGATGTATTTATTCATGATATTATTATCAAACTGTATATTATGTAAGTGTATATACTGGTATTGTTTAGTTTATTTGATAACTGTCATATCATTCATAAAATATCAAATTGATGAGAAATTATTTGGTATTTTTCCATATCAAACTTAAATGAAAAATTTGTTTTTATCCAAATTATTACGGCTTTTTCAGTATCAAATTTAAATGAAAAATTAAATTTTCTGATGTATGTCTAGAAAATTATTTGAATTCAATTGTAACATTTAACTGGTTGCATCATGTAACTATTTGTAACATGTAACTAATTGTAACATGTAAGTAATTGTAACATGTAACTAATTGTAACATGTAACTGGTCCAACATGTAACTAATTGTAACTGATTGCATCATGTTACTAATTGTAACATGTAAAAGGTTGCAAAAAGTAACTACCAGGTAATTGTAACACAAACATATATAGTTGCACTAATTCGGATATCTAATGGAACTTTTTGGTTGATAAAAACATGTATGCAGCCAGTGGAAACATGAAACAAAACTCAGACTCTACCTTGAAAAAGCATTTAAATTTCTGTATAAGTAGAAATATCTGGTTGAATTTTATATAAAGATGAGTGAATATCTAGTTTTATATTTTCTACATATCATAAACTTTGTCCCTCTCAGTACTCTATGCAACTATTTATATCAAGACAAAGATGCAGAAATTTTCTCTTTTGTACATAATGTAGACCTGAGCTTTTATCCTCAAAAACTTAAAACTTTATAAACTCAAAATTTGAAGAAATACAGTATTCAGAAAGTTTAAGGCATGGATATATAAATGCATGGAAGCAGCTGATAGACCTTATCAGCTATACATTTCACTTCTCAGAACGGAATTTCGACATTTGGATAGAATTAACAAAGGAAATAACAAGTGTTAAGATTCATTTATTATCCTGCATGAATTATATTGCAATATTGCAGACAAGACTCGAGTTGAATTTCGACTCTGAATAGTGAAAAGGGTAGTTGATATTGCGTTCTATTAGCTACTTGATAAAAGAAAATTTCTGCACCCTTGTTTAAATCGTCTGTCCAAAATTGAAATTGGTTGTTATTTTTTACACTTGCCATTTTGAATTGTTACCCATCTGAATTAGTTAAAATATCTTCTATAATATATTATAATCCAGTTTTGCTGTACTTTTTGCAAAAAATACTTTCATATGCTTACATAAAATATGCATTCCATACCTTAAATTGTGATCAATATGTTTCTTGTTTTTTTTTTATATTAAATAATCTGAAATTTTTCCATTTATTACTTAAATATGTGACCATAAAAGATGTTTTTTGATTATCACTGGAAAAAGAGTTACAGCCATACAAATTAAGAACTTTTGCATGTGGTAGAGACAGTGAGTCTGTCTTTGCTTTTCTTAGTCATTCCAGCAAATAATAAATGCCATTTGTTGATTTGTAAATAGAATATTTATTTTATCTAAAATACTTTGTTAAAGCTATTATTATCTTGTATGTTTAAATGGAAATTATTTTGTTGAAGTCAATATATTGTCTTAATAATAAATTCTTCCAGCTAAATATTGATTTTGGTTTTAGAGTTGTTTCAACTTCCACATTTTCTTTACTGTTTGATGATTCAACCTGTCTGGATATTATCTTTCATATCTCTTGATAAGAGCTATACAAATCACTGTTTAGAATAAAGATTGAACACCTGGTTTGTTAGCAATTATAGAAATGGACGTGAACTAATTGTGATCCTCAGGTGCAGCTATTTATTAACAGATGTCAGCATGGAAGATGGTTAAAGGTATACTACCTCTAAGAATCACCAAAAATAGAAATGTTTGAATTTGACAAAAATTTGTCAATGTTCATCAGTGGACTTACCAAGTGTCATAACTATACAACAGAATCACTCTATAATCCAATAAATTCATTAAACTAAGTAATAATTCATTAATCTATGTAATAATTCATTAAACTATGTAATTTTTGTACAGCCTTAGAAACGTTTCAATATTTATTTAGTTTAATGAAGATATTGTCTTTTAAAGATACTTGTTGACCAAGTTTAGACTTTTTGTCCATTCTAAGAGGCAGTAATCGGTTAATAAGGCCCTGTCTTCAATGGACACCTTTAATGGGCTTCATATGGAGTATTCAATTGACATTTATGCTCAATTCCTTGATTTTCAACGAACTATTTGAAGATTTTGAATATTTATTGCTGTAAGAAATGTGAATAATATACAACAATATCTTACAAATACTGTAACTGTGTATGACATAAAAAATGACAGAATTGTAATAGATATACATGTGTTATTGTAAAATAGAAACACTTGTTTCATAGAGAGTATCGCCTTATGATGCACACATCAATTATTATCATAGCTGTCTTAATATGGTTTACCATATATTTTGAAATATTCTCAGCCATTTTCAAAATTTGATTCTGATATCTGCATTAACAGCCTTAAACCTTTTCACACTAAAGTTTGTATAATTATAGTGCCTGAAACAGCTCTACATCTGCACAAGCTGGTAAAATAAATAGTTATATCACTTTACTGGCATATGCTACAAACATATATTTTGTGAACCACAATTGATTAATTAACAAGTTTACAATATTTGAAGTTAGATTTTTATTACAAGATTCACTATAGTTTACACCATGTGACTATATGGAAAGGAATTATGAGGTACTTAGATTTAGATAATGAAATTTATATATCACAGAACAACAATATATACACAATGACTAAATTATTATATATACTTTATATCTTTGGCAGATATGAATCAAGTCTGCACACCACAAGGTGTTGTTACATGATTTAAAATGGTATTGAAACTACTGTAGATCTACATAGTAAATACTTTAGGAAATTTGCATACTACACATTACATTGGACAATCAGTTAGCATAACTTCAAAATTTTGATCTATTAAGAAAATTACATTGACACGTATTAAAAAAATATCTTCAAATTTCATTATTACATGCAGAACCAAAAGTTCCCTGCCATAAATTTTGAGTTGAGTTTAAAAGGTTTTATATCAATACAAAAATCACCACAACATCATAGGAAATTCGTTAGATGAAATTCAAGCTATCATGATTCTTTTAATAAAAAAAGAAAATTCTTGAATCTGAATATTTGCTATCCAAGCTTGGTTTCCAATATAAATATAACCATATCCATCTAAGAAGAAAATATAATAGCCAAAGTAGTCATCACATCGACATTAGTGATACAGATAACTTATTTACCAATATCAGCTCAATAGCAAATAATCAGACAATAAGGAACAAAGAACCCTTTGACCGATGGCATCTAAAAAATATTCAGTGACAGGATGGTAGGCAAAAACCTGGCTACATTTAGCAATTTAAAGGACGGAATTTGTGAACCCACAAACATATAAAGCTGGAATGAAAGATATGCTATATAAAATGTGTTTCAAGAATTAGGTTTATCATCTGTACTATGAGGTGAATCTAAGCCACTGTCTGAGATCTCTTCTTTCTCTCCAATATTCTTATCTGTTTCTAACTCAAAATTCTGAAATTACAAGATTATGAATCAAATTACTAAAATAGCCATTCAATCTCTGGTGTGGCTTAAAGGGACAGGTTCATCATTTTTAGGGGTTGATTTGGGGTCTTTACAGTCTTCAGAAGTACAAGAAATGTATGAAAATCACATAATTCCTTTAAAAATATCTCAAACTACATACTTTCTATATGACACAGTCTAAGAAAAGATATGTTGTCATTTCAACTTTCAAACACACTTAATTCTGGATACACATGGATTTGAATGCTCAATTTTCGAAGGTGAGCTGTGAACACTATTACTGATTAGCTTAGTTCAATTTTATGTTTCTGAGACTAAAGTCTGATTGAACGATTGCATGGCGGAACTGTCTCTTTAATTGTAGTTTCATATACAGAAAAATTTACCTCTAATTCATTCATTATTTCATCCATAAAATCAGTAGGATTATTTTTATAGGCCACTGCTGCTTTTATTGCATCTTTAAATAACTACAAAATAAGCAGAGTTATTTCCCTTTAATTATAAGCTCATCCCAAAAGCAATATTAAGTTTTGCTTGGTATCTTTTTAGAAGAATGAAGTTAGGCAATGTCATGCACTGTGTACTGATAGATAATCTCCTAAATCAAACTGGTTTTAAAGGCGGAATAGACAAATTGAGATTCCACACAATTATTAACTTCCTTAAATTAAATGAAATTTTTTTTACTTTTGTTTTTAATTGCAGGTAAATCAAGTTTACATTTTAAAACTGCTATGACTGAAATTCTACTGGGTCGCCAATAAAATCATTCAAGGATTTCTTTGGTATGAGAAAATTTTGTTTACCTTGACAACATTGGTACCCTCTGAGGCAGAAACAAAATAAAAGGGCATATTGTGCTTCTTAGCAAAACCAAATGCTCTTTTTGTTACCCCAGGATCAGCTGCAAGATTCAAATAAACATAATATCAAAGTTAAGATCTGGATCAAGATCATGAGAGAAACAACATTAATTTTCAAAAGGAATTTAAATTCATGTTTAAGTGAAAATTATAATGCATTTTCAAGAGAAACATGAGATAAATGTTCAAGGGAAACTTTAGATGTTCAACAAGAGAAACCTGAGATAAATGTTCAACAAGAGAAACCTGAGATAAATGTTCAAGAAAATCTTGTGATGAATGTTCAAGAGAAACTTAAAATAAATGTGCAAGAGAAACTTGTAATGAATGTTCAAGAGAAACTTGTAATGAATGTTCAAGAGAAACTTGTAATGAATGTTAAGAGAAACTTGTAATGAATGTTAAGAGAAACTTGTAATGAATGTTCAAGAGAAACTTGTAATGAATGTTAAGAGAAACTTGTAATGAATGTTAAGAGAAACTTGTAATGAATGTTCAAGAGAAACTTGTAATGAATGTTCAAGAAAAACTTGTAATGAATGTTAAGAGAAACTTGTAATGAATGTTCAAGAAAAACTTGTAATGAATGTTAAGAGAAACTTGTAATGAATGTTCAAGAGAAACTTGTAATGAATGTTCAAGAGGTATTTGTTCAACTATGATATTGTTGCATACTTACCATCTATTTTATTGGCTGCACATAAGCAGGGTATTTCAGGCCTATATTCTCGTAACTCTTTTAACCAATCTGGTAAATTTTTATATGTCACTTTCCTCGTTGCATCAAATACCTAGAAAATAGATTAATGATTTTTTTTTAAATTAATGATTATTTGTAAAATGAAAATAACCTGATTCAATAGGAATCTTCATTGCCAAATTTTTTAGTTGGTTAACATATGCTTTTGAAAGTCAAACCTAGTATTAAATAAATGACATAGACCTTTAAAGGGATTTTAAAGAGGTTTTCTGTTTTTTATGTTTATTCACAGACACTGATAGCATTAATTTGCACCATTCCAATTATCAATCTAATCCACTAAAATTGTGTTTGATGACTTCACTTGTCGCAATGGGTCTTTTGTATATTTGGCAATTAGTGTCGTTATCAAACAATTAGTTTTAGTGGAATTACAGGAACCACAGACATCTGATTGAAAATTGGAATGGTATAAAAATTAATGCTATCAATGTCCCTGATACACATAAAAAAATTAGTCTGTCTTTACTCAGTAGAGAACTAGATTTTGTGGGATTTTTGTTAATTACTGTACTGGCCCTATGAAATGACTTGGCAAGTTTTTTTTCTTTTAAAGAAATGGGTCCATTATAATCACTTACTATGATACATGCATGTGCTTGATGATAATAAGATGGATGCATATTATTAAATCTCTCTTGACCTGCAGTATCCCAAAAATCTGAAAAAAAATGAAATGGCAGTTTGATTTGTTATGGACAATGCTAGTGTTATCTTACTTATGGAAATGAGAACTTTGAAGCATTTAATCGGCTGACTCTCGAAAGCACTGGCTGTTTATTTCAACTTTTACCTTGGGTAGGATTCAAACACACAGCACCCAATTGTCTGGCAAACAACAATCCGAATTATTCCAACCCAGCACTACAGTAAAGTATTTAATTCAGTTTGGAAATTAAAAAAATATCAATGATGATAAAAATAAATAAATTTCTTAAGTGTCAATCTGCCATTTTTTAAATTTTTTTGTCATGCATGGAAGATAGATATAAACAGTGGCAGTATGTGTAACCTACTAGTACTTACCAACTGAAATTGACTGTTTATTGTGTTCAGTTTTATAATTAAATAATGTTAAAGCATAAGTTGATAACTGTTGAGGTTTGCTAATTAAATTGATCAAGGAAAATGTAGCAAGTTTACAAACTCAAGCAAAAAAAATATAAAAACATGTTTACAGCTGCTCAATAACTTCCACTGAAAATATGAATCTTAAGAAGATTTCTATGTTTATGTATTAGAGACTGTAAGTAATATGGTATCCAGTTAAAATGGTCACAAATCTTGATAGTTGAAACAGTAACAGATGAACCTAATAGGTAACATAAAATTGGTTAAAACTGTAACATATCAAGCTGAAGGGTTTTAGGGTTGAAGATATGAAAATAAGGAAGTTAAATTTCAAAGGATACTATCCATCCATCAAGAACCTTTCAACCAATCTGAAATATAATTCATACTAATTCTTAATTAGGCCTGGACAGTGGAGACTTCTTATAACATTACATCGTTACAAACAGGACTTATTTTAAATCGCAAGATCGTTGGAATTATTTGAATGGCATTACCAATAGTAATACTAGGCTATTGGGACAAGTTTGTATAAATATTAAAATACATTCATTGAGTGAACTATTAATTGTGAAGGAATAACTCTTTTAGAGAAGTCCAAAATATCAAAAGAAAGGCCGAAATTTTAAATGTGGCAATGTGAGACATAGCAACGGACTTCTTAACAGGAACTTTATGTACTTATATTGCAAAGTACTTTAAGAATATACTTCATCTACAAACGGATCCTTCATACTTTGATTTCCCAACTGCACTGTCTCCAAGACATATGATTTTGACCTTAACATCATCAGTTCCATCAGTTTTGTCATAATCCGGCATTGAAGTAGTCGCCATTTTCATACAAAACTATGTGCTTCCGCTTTAGAATTGTGGGAATTCACTAAAATGAAAATAACATCTTCATAAATCAGTAAAAGCCTATATAAATTTGCTCAGTGGTGCACAATATAGTAAAACGATATGATTATTCTGACTTGCGAAGATGATTGAGTTATATATCGGAAGTAACAGGTGCCCGTTTCTGCGCATGTGTGAACTAGACTAATTCCGGATGCAGACGACGAGCAAGCTCTATGTAAAGATTCGATTTATTCCACTTGTAAGTTCTAATGTGACATAATGTTGATTTGCAATACACGTCGGAGTAACTTATCATGTTCTATGGATAAATCACATAAATGGATACAAAATTTAACTGGATAGTTATAAATTCATTGGTTTTAATGGATACTGACTGGTGCTGACAATTTTTATCTTCGAGTTTTTTAAAATAGATCCAGGCCTAGATTTTGACATTTGCCTGATTTGGATTATTTCGACTTTAACTCAGCGCTGACCAGTCACACTTATACAACTGTAAGTACTGACAGAGAATAAAAATATAAACAAACCATTGACAAGCAAATGAAAACAGATGTCTTGTCTTTATGAATGAAGCATGTTTTGCTGTTCTATTCTAAAACTAAACTAGGTGAAATTTTCATTTTATTTATAAAACTTTTCGCAAGGCCTATGTATCCTTTACCAATTTTTTGGTATCCGCGACCTAATAAAATTTCTCAAATGAACTTAATTGGGCTATCAATTAAATTACAAACGTCCATTAAGGTAATTATGACAAAATTATTATTATTTTTTTTTAATTTGTTAAGATTTGGTAATATTTATCCTAGCTAAGCTATATGCAAGTCTTTTTCAAGTGCAATTATGTTAACATTTAGACTGTAGGCAAGTTCTGAGTAATTTAACCTCTTGTTTCCCAAGAAGTAACCTGCACATTTAGATTTCATTTTGATCTCTAAATATAATTTGGGAAATGACGGACAAACTTCAATCCAAAAATTCCATACCTTAATGAGTAAAAATGGAAATCAAATGTGTTGGCCTGACTAAAATGTTAAGCATTCATTAATGTTGTTTCTCTATTTGTCAGCTGAAGTGTGTGTGTGCAATTTGAAGTTTACAAAGTAGCATAAGTCTGGAACTTGAAAGTGGGATCAATTGATAGTCCACTGGAATAATACATGCAATCTTGAATTTTGGTGGTAGTTTAGTTTCATTTGTGAAAGGAATAAACTTTATTAGTAATAAGTATAAAATGTGCTAAGATTTACTCAAGAGTAAAATGAAAATTGTCTTTTAGGATAGAAATTAATTCCACTAAGTTTTTCAAGTTAAAAAATTACGATTTTCCTTTGATTAAAAAAGATAGTTCAGTAGAACTTTACTTATTTGAATAAAAGATAAGAGAGAAGAGAACATAAAATTGTTATTTTTTTTGTACCGGTATTTAGTTGTTTATTACAAGTAATAATGCAAGCCCAAAGTTACCAATCAATTATAACTTGAGACATTATTAAATTTCACACTTCACCTTTTGTTTATAACTTGAAATGTTCTTGTTACCCAGGATACAATCTCACTGTTAGCATATACAAAGGAAATATGGACTAGTTAGCAGTATTATTTGTCTTGTTCTTTCCAATGGTTTACATTTATTCACCTGCTAATGATACCGTAAGCATAGAGCACAAAGGATACTACACAAACTGTGAACTATTAAGATTTAGAGTAGTTTAGGATAGATCATATTTTCTGTTGACATTGTGGTGGTTCTTTATTTAATATGATCTCCACTTCTAGGATTAAGCAGGAGAAGGTAGTACCGGTACTTTAGGTGCCATTATCTCTTTCCATACTGGAAATTAACAAGTTTTTAATACAGCGCTGTTGCTATTTGTTGAAAATAGTAAGTTTTTGATTTGCTAGTCAATCATCAAGAAAATACCTCCAATATTCAACAAAACGAATTTTTTTTTTAAGCCACATCAGGTATCGATTATTAACCAATTACATTTTAGATTATGCCTCTGATTATTTCGATTAATAGATCATTATTTCCTTATGATTGCCCATCACTAATTATAACACTTGAATCATGATATGTATTGTATCGTGGCATGATTGATTGGCAATAACCAGCACTAGTTGTACTGTAAAAAAAATGACAAACTATTTGGTTTCCATTAGCTCTTCTGACTAACAAATCATGACGTAAATGATTTAGCCGAGAATGATATACCGGTATTTTTTTCAGATAAGTTATAAGCTTACCCGAACCTCATTTCTGAAAAAATTCAAAATTTAATATTTGATGAGTAGGGATAAATTATTATTAAATTTAATTTGTTTTCAATTCTTTTTCTATTCTGCTATATAGATCAATTATTTCCATTAAGAATAGGATAAAATGAAATAATACGAAAACAGGAAGTTCTACTTTAAGCAGAAATAGGCTTTTGTTCAAGATGTGAACTTTCTGTTTGGTATCAAGAATACAAACTGTAAAATTTAAAGTAACAAATGAATTGTGTTCTATTGATTAGCTTTACAAATCTTAATGGTAGTTTGATGAACAAAGAATGTTATTTTAATTTTCTTAATGGAAGATTTATGTCTTTTAATTTTAGATAATGTAAACATATCAACTTTAAACTCATCACAACAAAGCTATTGATCATAGAGATTTATCACATTATCATCATAAGAATGGCTCCAGCGAACATGGCCTGATAAGTAAAGAATGCATGTCCATTTTGAACAAAACACCTCGACCAGAAATGATTCGACTATACATTCATTATCATGGATGGGAAAAGTTCCAGATGGATTACCAGATGAAGGTGGAGGATGGAAATTAAATAGATCTCAGTATTATATGGAAGGATGGCTAGCTAGTGGTAATGCTAAAGGTGTGGTTGGAGTTACCTTTACCACAAGCCATTGTAGAAGATATGAAGCACCTCCACGTTCTAACTTTAATCTGAGAGGCCATCGGAGTGAGGTAAGCATATTACACTAACCAGATACTATTAGGGCTGCAACGATGAATCGATGAACCGCGATTCTATCCTTCTTATCGATGCATTGCATTGGATAGAAATAATCGTGATGTATCGGCATGATTAATTCTTAGTCCCCCTTAATAACAAATGACACAGAATCCTTGTGTATAAGAAATTGTGTCATGTTTTCATTTTCCAAGTTTCACATCAAATGTTTCAAAAATTTATTCTGACCTTAAAAATTAAAATTTTTTTCATTCCTTAGTGACAAACTTGTTAGTAATTTTACAAATTTCTACTTTTTTTTTCTCTTTACTTCTGTAATAAATGAATCGCGATAGTTATCGAAATAAATCGTATCGTTGGATGAGTATCGTATGGTGTATCGAATCGCAACTTCAAGAATCGTAGCAGCCCTTGATAGTATATGTTTTTGCATGAGTTTGAGAAAATTGTTCTTTATGCATTAGTTCATGACTGATATGATATATTTTACCAAAATCTCTAGAGCTTATGACCAAAACAAGTTAATTACCAGTACTTTAGAAGAAAAATACACAAAAATCATTCACATTCTGGTAAAAAAAACTTGATGTTTGATTGTACAGATAAATCTGTTCTCAATATTTCCCAGGACCTGTTTGAGCCACATCTTAAGGATACATGTGTATATGTGTTTACATGCTTCTGACTTAGATCAGTTCAATCTATAATTAGATAAAAACCACTTTGGTTAATGACAGTTTCCTTAGATTCAGTGATTTTATCAAAAGCTGCTAATGCTGGCCACCTCAAGTCAATACAACTGTAAACTAAATCTAATAAGCGAATAACATTGATGGCTAAAGGGATGGGTGTGCCATTTTGGGGGGGTTGATTTGAGTCTTGAATATGTAGTTAGTCTCCAGAAGTACTAGGAATTCCTTCAATAGTATTTCAAACTTGGAATCTCTTTACTATTTCTGTAGATGTATTTTCTATCTATATGACAGAGAAAAGACAAGTCATCTTTTTAACTTTTTAAACACGGATAATTCTGGACACACGTTGACTTGAAGGCTTGAATTTCAACAGTTAGCTGTGAACACTATATAAGCCTATAGCTAAAACTTTTCCGTTTCTAAGGTATGATTATCAAACTGATGGCGAACATATCTTTTTAGAGGAAAGAGTGTATAGAATATATCACAAATGACTAGATTCTTTTTAAATACTTGTGTCCTGTAAAGTTGTCAAATTTCCCCTCTTACACAGTCTTTTACTACAGTTATCATATCTTCTATAAGACTTATTGATTATATGTCATCAATATTTGTGTTGGAGAAAGACAGTCAGGAACATGAGTTGTTGAACCTATGGAAAGGATGTGTAATAATTTAATTCCCTCCACTTGTTACAACTATTCATCCATCTCTTAATTGTTATAATTACATTGCAATCTTATTAGTTATTAATTCTGTGTTTGAATACTTGATCTTACTGGATTATGATATATGATTCAGGTGTATTTTTTGTCTCAAGTGGATTTCAATGACTTTTTCTTTCCTTCTTCAATAATATTAAAAAGGAATGTATTATAATTCTAACATGCTGCAAATAATTCAATTAAATTTGAGTACATCATTTTAAATTTTCAGACGATTTTGTCTAAGGCCAGACCAATTTATTGAAAAGTAGGGAAAAAATTTGAAGAAAGATTGGGAAAAAAAACATTACAAAAGCCAGAATTGACCTGGATTTTCCAAGCTTCTCAGTCTTGATTTAATCAAAAATCATATATTTTACTTAAAATGAGAGTTTCTTATGATGATTTTTGCTTTTATTTGGAATGAAGGTTTTCTTGTTTTCCAGCAAAGCTGATTTTTGTTTTTTATTCTTCTGATTTCTGGAAAATATAGGTAGGAGGATCAGTAATTGGGTAATTTAAAAAAAAACAATAAAGACATCTTTGCATGACTTGGTATTTCTTCTTTAACTTGTCCAAGTAAATATAACAGACCTCTGAAAATGCTTTTAATCTTTCAGAGATATCAATTTTAGGGCCCTTTTAAGTAAACAAGGGCCATTATGTCTTATATTTGCATTATTCCATTTTCCAGCAGACCTCTGTGGTTCCTGTAATTAACCATAAACCATCACTTCTGCTTATTAGCAGCTTTTGTGATAGTGTCGCCTTGCCTATTTGCAATTGCAAGTTGTCTTAGAACGGAAAATGATGCAAATCAATACAATCAGTGTCCCAGATACACACAAAAAGATTAGAAAACCTCCTTACAATCCTGAGAACAAAAGCTGTCCCAACACGAAAATTTCTAGAATGTCCGACCATTAATCTGATATAGTATCTAGTAACTGAGATAAAATCTTACTGCTTTCTTTTCTAATAACCAAGTAATGTCAACTTATTGGATCAATACCCAAGTGTCATCTCCTACTATCAAAATGAAATCTTTTCTCCGAAAGAGATCAGAGGTGATTTATTTAGGTTAATACTAATGTAAAGATTAACATATCTTGAGATTGACTCCATTGACCATTATGGTTCTAAAGATAAAAATTTGTTAGTTTGGTTTAAATCCATGTGATGTTTCTAATAACTTTCAGAACAGTTTTATCTTGAAAAATGGCATTTTGTCCAAAAAAAAGGTATAATGACAAAGATGATCAACTTTTGTAGATAATCCCAGATGTATGATTTAGTGATCACACCAGATTACGGTACAAAAGAGTATTGCGTTTTGAAATTAATGCAGGAAGCCTTAGTCACATTTAATAGTCAGCTTCTTCCATCTGATAATGTCTTGTTCAGATATCAATGCTATAGTATTTGAATACAAGCAGAAGTTTTTTTGTAAAACCTGTAACAAATGGGGGCAGACTAACCTAATAAGGGGACAACTGTTTCCATGTATCTCACTGCTGAAAAATGTTTGTACAATTTAGATCGCTGAGCTGTTGAAATTCATTGCACTCTACTTGGCATTACAAGTCTTCATTGGCTCAATCAGGAGCAGAAAATAATCTAGATCCCTTAACTGTTGAAATTCATTGCACTCTGCCTGGCAATACAAGTTTTCATTGGCACAATCAGGAGCAGAAAACAATCTTAGATCCTGGAGCTGTTGGAATTGATTGCACTCTGCATGACATTGTAAGTCTTTATTGGCTCAATCTGGAGCAGAAAATATGTAAAAGTCTACTTGACAAAGGTTAGTTCTTTTTTTCATCCATTATTTGAGACATAAACAAGGATGAATCAGAGGTTGTTAGTGTTAATATGTTTAACGTGTTCAGTTGTTAATCAATAATAGGCCAATTTTTCTTCTCTTAAACTACATCTGTTTTATATAATAGTCTTTATATTGATTTTAAACCTTACTGTCAACTGATTGCAATATTATATATCTTTATCGGAAGGTCAGGCTTGAAATATTGCAGTGATTTCTTTCTTAAACTGAGCCACTTAGAAAAAATGTCTTATTCGTACTTATTTAAAAGAGCTCAGTAATAAAAACTTTTGAATATTCTCCAGTGAATTGTTACTGATATCATGATATCATGATTATAATTACCCATGGAAATGTTAAGTACTCTCAAGAAGAACCAATTTGAATTCTGAAAAGTGAAGCATGAACTATAGTCACACTGGTTGATTTACTAATCAATTATATTTCCATGGTTGTCCTGGTCTAACCTTTTCCTCAACTTTCTTTATACAACAGATTCATTCAAGTGTAGAACAAAGGGTATTCACCATACTAATTAACTGATTAAGTGTAAATGACTTATGTTCAGGTAATTTGAACTTTACTCCATATGTAACACATTTTGAACAAGCAGTTGAACATAAATACCCAGAAATACATAACCAGAAAGAGAAAGATGCACAGTAACCTGTACATACATAAATCTTAGCTTTCATAATATTCTATGATTAAATGTTAAGTTGAAATTTTACAGTAGGTGAGTCTAAATATGTTCTTTACTGGCTATTAGTGCTACTATTTAGCTTTCCATTTCAATTTTCAGAATTAATTTCCTACAACCTTTTCTCCTGTAAATGTTGTTGCACCAATTAGATTGTTGTCATTTCCAAGATGTTATTGAATTTTTCACATGCAATTGTGACTGATATCATTCTGACAATGATGAGAATTACTGGCAAGAATGACACTAACTTTCTGTAAGTGACAACAATCTCAATGGGTTTGGGAAGTATTTGAATATGTGTTTTCAAATTGACAAGACCTGTTATGGCTGAGATATTTAAAGTGAATTTCCTATATACGATATCTTTTGTGCTCATGTTCATATTTGATAGAGTTTTCAAACTCTTAGAGAAGTTTATTGACAGGAGACTTGACATTTGAAAAAAGTAACATACAGGCCCTGTAATCCCTTCAGTAAGGACTTAGCGTACAATATATATACTGTACAGTACGCCTTTCTAATTTAATCTAATGCTTTGGCTGGTGATATTAACAGCAGCATCTAAAAGGATGAATCAAGATCTCCTAAGTGATAATACTTGTCGGAAAAATTTATTTATTGGTGCTAAATTGAGGGTTATAATTGAAAATCTGTGTTGCAATAATCCTTCATCTAATGCAGCGTAAAGCTTCTAGATGCTTAATGATGCAAACTTCACATTAAACAGCTTTATTTATTCTCTAGAGTTTTTACTACCTATCTCACTTATTTGATGTGCTAAATGGTTGCAGATTAATCTGTTTAACTCTTGTTTTTGTTCTGAATTCTATTGAAATTGTGCGTGCTGTGCAATGCAATACCAAAGATTTGTCTGTTTTAACAAATTTCTAGAGGTTCTTCTCCTGAGGAGAATAGGTTGTAAAGTGCTCATTCCTTTCATTTGATATTACAGATAAATCTTTGATTATCTCATTTTCTGTCCAAAAAATGGATTAACAAATTAAGCCAAAAAAATCAACAGCAATAACGAAAGAAATTTCCTAAAAGGGGTATTTATTAGGGAAAAGTTTGGTTAAAATTGTAAGGATCTAAGATTAAGAGTATTTGAAAGCAATTTTTAACTGATGCAATTTTAATATGGTCTAATATTTTTGTCAAGATCTGGAAATGTCTAAAATCATTGATCATACCATTCTGACTTCTTCAATCCAACAAATTCACTTGAGATTGAAAAATGCATGCTATGTATTTGTGAAATAAATCAATGAATGGCCAGCGTTAAATTAGATTGAGTTTCAGATGAGAAGTTTTGTCTTGAATTCCAAAAAGCTTGTTACGCACTATCTTGTGTCATTTAAACAGTGGCAAATTAAATTAAGTTTTTCTAATGATGAGTTTTTCAGACAGCACAATTTGATGTTGATTACTGATCTCTTTTTACTACTGACATCCAAGATTTCATTTTCTACACTCATCAACATTTCAATTAGAATTCCCTTAGAAATCGATGGAAACCTAGGTTTAACTTCTGAATCTGATTAAATTCTATATTCAATCTAATGAGGTCAATCAGTAAGAACTTAACCGACAAAAGGTGACGTTGAAAGTAGTGAAATTACACCCATATTCCAATAAAAGACCACAGGTATGTGAGCCAAATAAGAACACATACTGAATATTCAATAGGGGCAAAAATTTGAAACCAAAAATATTCCACAGCAGGTCAAAAATTTTAAACCCTTAACTCATTCTCCTGTCTTTATTAGCCCATATGGTGTAGAAAAGTAGGATGTAAAACTCCATTCATTTCAATTCATTTCAACCTACCACTACATTTCATATTCTTGGTTATAGATAAACCCAGCTCATCTCGTATAAAGGAGTGTAATACATTGACTTATAGTAAGGACCCTTTGAGCTTTAATAACTTGTCATGGAAGCAGTTATCAGGTTTTTCTCCCACAATACTTCTTTCAATTAGTTGTTTTGAGTACAATACCTTAATCATTTCTAGAAAATATAATGAAAGTTTATTGTTTTGAAAATTGTGTGCATATAAGCCTTTGCAATGAATTCAACTGATCAGAACTAGTCTTATGGGACATGCATGTCCATTTGGAAATTTGCTTTGGGAATTGCCTACAGCAGCTCAATGATGAATTGACAAATTTATTGCAAGTCAGGTTTCTTGCTTGGGAAAAGTTTCCTAAGAATAGAATAGAATGATTTGAATATTCTCACCAGTCTGTTTTGTTTGTCAGTGTGAAAAGTGAAATTGATTTTTAGGGGTGAACTGGCAAGCGACCTACTCACTAACTGACAGTATTTCTCTAGTAGTCCGTTTGGTTATCAGTCTGATAGATAGTTTAATCTCACACATACAATCCACTACAATGTAACACTGATCACAACAAATGATTTAATTCCTTGTGCGTGGTCATCCTTTCTTCTCTTTATTGACAATATCTTATTGGCTGTACAATGTACATCATGCTAGGAGCTTGGTAAGCTGATTAAATGTAACTCAAAGTTAAATCAGTATTGTCTGATGGAGAAGCTAGGTTCGTGATTTGTACCAGTGTTCTATTTGGGTCATCTCAGATGTAGGTCTTATCACAGAAACACCCTATTTATTTGAAGATTCTGACAGATTTTGCAGTAATTACATGTCATGTCAGCAGGAGAAGTCTAGAAATTTCAGAGAAAAAAAGCCAATTGAGCGAATTACTATAAGGTTCATATCTATTTTGGATTCAAAATGTCTACTTTGATCAATAATCAATATTGGGAACAAAAGAAGTGGTTTAATAGTCATTCACTTAGTCATCACAGGACTTAATAGAACTGATTCTATTAGAAATGTGTCTGATTTCTCCATTATTGAAGTATTATTATCATACCATTACTGTTTAAATATCATGTATAGCTATTTGTCATGATGAAACTGAACACAATAGCTTAGCAGGAGAGTATTTATCACCTTGTGAACTTTTTTCAAAAAACTAAATAACCTTTTAGCATTATTTTTCAGGATATATTTCAATATCCACAAACTAAATAGCATCATTATTTTTCATATCAAAATTGAGGTCCATAGAACAGTATTTGACAATTGTGTTTGATCTTTACATATTATTTTCTTGAAATGATAGAAATAGATTTTATTGCTGCTGTGACATCATATGAATTTTAAGCTTACTTAATCAATATTTTTATTAGTAATGATTAAACCTACTGGATAACAGAATGTTTTATAATGTTTCAAGGCTTTTGCAGTAATCATGATAATAAATGTTAATTCTGTTCTTACTGTCTTGTAATATGGCTTATTGTACATAATAACAATGATTATATACAGGTGCTGTTTATCTATATAGTTAGGATCAATAAATGTAATAAGCATATTAAGGTCAATATCGATATGGCACATTAAGCCTATTATGACCAGTAGGAAATGATAAACATTTTAAGATCTTCCATAATAGTCAAGCTTATTCTCATGTACTTGGAAAGCTGATATAATAGTAAATGAATTTGTTTAAATGGTGTTTGTTGTGTTCATGGCAGTGTGCCGCTTAAAACTGAGCCTTTTGCTGTGTTCATGGCAGTGTGTGGCATAAAACTACTTAGGCCTTCTGCTTTGTTCAGCATTTACAAATATACTGATAATGTGCTTGACCAGGTTTCACAAAATAGCTAAAGGGACAGTTTGGGGGGGTTGATCTGAGTCTTGAATATATGTAAATTAAATAGTCTTCAGAAGTACTAGAAAATGTATGAAAATCACATAAATCCTTCAAAAATATCTTGAACTAGGAAAGTCTTTTCTATATATATGGCAGTGCCTCATGAAAAGACGTCTTTCGATGTTGAGCTGTGAACACTATTACTGATTTGCTTAGCTTAATTATTCTTGTTCTGATGTACAATTGGTCAAAAATATGGCGCATCTGCCTCTTTAAGGATCTACATTTGTTGGAACTGTGTTTAAATGAATGATTAATCTTTTAAATGAACTTGTATGAAACAGGTAGAACTTCAAGACATAAATCTGTATTTCATCACTTTTATGTCTGTTGTGGTACTAATCAAATTGGGTACAGACTTTAAATTAAAAACACATCCATTATAAAGATGTAGAATGTTGACAAGACCAGGAAATCTTTACATTGTAGATTAAATCATACAAGTAAAGTTAATGGGTGAGACGCTTCGATTCCCTGATCTATGAAAACTCATGAAATATTGGTTATTTCACCAGTTTGATCTGACAAACACAGACACATTATAGGATATGTGGCAAGGAAATTCTCAATATGACTTGATTTGATTAGCTGATTAATTCACCATTGATTACCCCATTGATCCCAGATGAATGTAAACTCCTGACTGTGTTTCTTATAACAATACCACTGACTATTTCCGATTGACCACTTTCAGTACAACTCACGATTCATCTCTGATTACATTTCTTCTGAACAATACACTCTTCTGATTGCCTGGCCTGACTTCCCCTAAATTTAGTTTCTATGGTAATATCGGCAATATTCGTAGAAAGTGGCTGTATAGTTACCTATTTATTGAAGAAATTTGGCTGGTCATTGTCCAGTACCAATTTCATTATACCGGTACCTAAACCCAATCACACAGTCTACAAGAAATCTTTAAGTAATTGGTTACCTAAAGATCTTTTAAATTCTCATAAGACTAATTTGTTAGTCAGGGAGGCATGGGAAATGATGAAAATTGAAAGAAATGATGGGTTTTCAGTCTCAATTAGTGTTTGATAAAGAAAGAAAATCAGAAGGAAATTGAATGGTATATTAACGTGGAACTGAAGAGGTCCTTTAATACATACTTCAATATGACTTAGAACATCCTTTTATGTTTCAATGATTGAGATTTAAGCATGTTTTGATTCTGTCTGTAGTCTAGTGGATAGATAGTGATGCTAATATTTTTATTCAACAGGTACTTAATTTAATGTCTTTTTATGCATTAAATTACCTTTTATGTTTTATCTTTGGCCTTTTATGTTTCTTTTGATGATTAATCTGCTTGGTTAGACTAAATTCATACCTACATGGATAGAATGAATTCATGCATTTGCCTATACTAAATTATTACTTATAATATGGTTAAATAGACTTCACAAATACATGGTTAGACTGATTTCATAAATGATCAGACTGAATTCATACCTTCATGGATAGAATGAATTCATACATTTGCCTAGACTATTACCTCTGTATGGTTAAATAGACTTCACAAATACATGGTTAGACAGATTTCATACTTATATGAATTCATACCTACATGGATAGGATGAATTCATACATTTGCCTAGACTAAATTATTAAATAGACTTCAAATACATATCTAACTAAACTTATTTCATACTTACATAATACTTATTTGGTTAGACTATACTTACTTGATATGACTTTATACTGTATACTAATATTAATTTTCAGGCCGTGTGTAATTTAAGGCTTTGTACAATTTTTGCTTAAGAGTTATTTACCTGTCAATTAATTGATCCAAACTTTTAAATGAATTAAAGATTTGCCTCTGTATTTTGTAGGTAGTATTAGTGTGTTGGAATGAACCATATCAAAAATTAGCTACATGTGATAGTCGAGGGGTTATATTTGTATGGATTAAACATGAAGGAAGATGGAGTATTGAACTTATTAATGATAGGAATAATCAGGTGAGTAATGATGGATTACAAATGATAAACCGAAATCAACATTCAAATTGTAACCCGCAAAGGGATTGTAAAGAGGTTTCCTAAAATTTTAATGTGTAACAAGGACACTGATCAGTTGCAGTTACCAAAGGGGATGGGCAAGTTTTTTGGGCAAAAATCTCATAACTAGGTAAGCAATTCGGGCAATCTCAGATATTTTGCCCGAAGTCTTGGTGAACATGAACGCTTTCAGTGTTTCTGGTACACATAAAAAGGCTTACTGGGAATTTGAGCTACTTCTCTAAATTGTCAACAAGTTTGTGCATGAAGAGTTGCAGTTAACTCAGTTGTCCCATTGCTGTTATTGTGAGCTTTGCATCATTTCAATTTTCAATCAGTCGTCAATTGTTCCTGCAATTCCACTAAAACTAAGTGTTTGCAGGAACCACAGACGTTTGATATGATACTTAATGCAAGAATTACAATTAATGCTAATCACAGTCAAACTTTGATTTTCCATGCTTACTTCAGTACCAAACCTCACTATTATTACCGTCTTTGTGTTACTTTCATTCATAGAATGATTTATTGAAAATACCCAATGACTAGCATGACTAAGTAAGCGAGCTTAAGTTTCTACCCTGCAGATTTATTAGTCACTCTTTAGAATTCAATACATCATTTGTGATGTCAGTGACAGGCCAGATTAAGTTTCCTATCGACTATTATCCGTAAACTGGCAATACTATACAATGGACATAGAATACTAAACTAGATTAGTTAGCTACTGTGATTGAAACCATTTTATCTTTCCTCTACTGGCTATGAAAATGGAAATGAAGCTTTTATATATGACAGTGGAGAAAGAGGAACAATACCAACTAGTTGTCAAATTGAATATTACTAACTTCTAATCTCAGTTTGTTAGCTTAGCTCAAATTAACGCTAGTTTTATGATGATGAACTATAGTAGATAGATTGATCATGTATACAAATTCATCATCTTACTGTGGAGGTTGTTGAGTTTTCAAACATGATGTTCCTGTTTGACACAGTTTTTGTTGAAAATGCTTATGTTAAGCCTCATTCAAAACTTTATTCTTTAAAGTGGTCATTCTTTAATGACCAATGGACACTTTGGCTTTATTGGACACTTAGAATTTTTTGGACACTTTGACTGTTCTGGACACTTTAGCTGTTCATGCTGCATTAGACACTTTGAAGCTCAGACTGTCATGTTTCTAACAGATAAAGTCATTGACAAGCATTACCAAAGGCATTGTTATTCTCACAAAACTGGAAAATTGAAATTTAAAATTCATATGAAATGTATTAGAATAAAGATTACTGTAATTTGAATCAATTTTACTTGTAGTGACCACAATATCTACAGGTATTGTGTACAAAAAACATTCTGATTCTGATATTTTGTATTACATCACAACTCAGTCTCAGATAGTTTGATCTCTCTAGGTCACACAAATGATATGACTTCGATGACCGTGAGATTGAAAATGAGATTGACACACTTCTGTCACTGATAATTATAAGCCTTATCCTTAACATGTTGATTGACGCTGTGAAATAGATAGTCAACTACTATTTCAGTACATTGTCTGACTATTTCAGCCATTAGTATTAGTGCTGGCACGGTATTTCGCTGAATCAATGTATCATGATACAGCATGCTATGATACATATCATATCGCAAGGTAATTTATCAATACTTGACAAAACCTTTCATTTCATATAAAAAAAAAAAGCGATTTTCATAAGTCAACAAATGTGATGTCAAATATTTCTCAATGACTTGACTGTAATTTTTGTATAAAACAGTGGATGTTAAACATTCCTATAAAACTACATTAACAAATATCACAGTTATATAAAAAAAAATATTAAAACTATGATAATTTTGTTTGGATTACCCCATATTGTTAAATATATCGTATCGTGCCACTTGTATCGCGATACATATTGTATCATGGAATAATGGTTGCCATAATGAAGGTAAGGACAAATCATGATACCACATTTGAATTGGTGTTGATTTATATGATTGTTATGAAGTTTGATAAATTCACTTGACAGAGCTTTGGAAGTGTAGTCCATAAGCACTTACTAATAAGATTTCAATAAGAAGATTATATATTGTAAAATGAGTAGTGAATAGATAAATTCTTCGAGGTTGAGTTAGAATTATAAGTCCAAGTTGAATATAAATATCATTCATAAGTCCAAGTTGAGTATAAATATCATTTATAAGTCCAAGTTGAGTATAAATATCATTCATAAGTCCAAGTTGAGTATAGATATCATTCATAAGTCCAAGTTGAGTATAGATATCATTCCTAAGTCCAAGTTGAGTATAGATGTCATTCATAAGTCCAAGTTGAGTATAAATATCATTCATAAGTCCAAGTTGAGTATAAATATCATTCATAAGTCCAAGTTGAGTATAAATATCATTTATAAGTCCAAGTTGAGTATAAATATCATTCCTAAGTCCAAGTTGAGTATAGATATCATTCCTAAGTCCAAGTTGAGTATAGATACCATTCATAAGTCCAAGTTGAGTATAAATATCATTCATAAGTCCAAGTTGTGTATAAATATCATTCATAAGTCCAAGTTGAGTATAAATATCATTTATAAGTCCAAGTTGAGTATAAATATCATTCATAAGTCTAAGTTGAGTATAAATATCATTCATAAATCTAAGTTGAGTACAGTATAATATTTCAACTGTCCAAGTTGAGTATAAATATCATTTATATGTGCAATTGAGTGTAGATATTATTCATATATATAGTTGATAATGTCTTCTAGGTTGAGTTGAACCTATTTCTGAGTTGAGTTGAAGAAAAATGATTGGAATGCCATGGTATATAATTATTTGTCTTCATAAAAGAAAATTGCATATCAAAATGTCTCTCATTTCCTAGCCAAAAAGTTGACAAATGTCGATGATAATGGAAGAGATTATATATCAAAAGACAAGTGCTCATCTGAGACATGTATATTTTGTTTTTGATTGTTACTTCCAAAGCTGTATTTTTTTTCAAGATTCAGACAGAGATTTATTTTCTCTGATGTATAATCATTTTTCATACTGAAAGGTTAAGAATACATGCCAATTATATATTTCGAAAGAATAACTATCTATTGTCTACCTACGTAGTCATCTTCTTAATCTTCCCTCCAGAAATCAGCAAAACCAAATTTAATTTAAAAGAAAATCTTCATTCCTGAAAAAAAAAGGTTAACATCAGAAGAAACTCCTATCATTAATGAAATATATGATTTTTTATCAAATCAATACTGAGCTGAAAAAGTAGACTTTCTTAAATTTTTTTTTGTTTTTCAACCCTTAACACAAATTTGATCTTTCTATTCCCCCTTGCCTTTTCAGATTTTTCAAAAATTAATCTGTAAAACAAGAAAATAAATTGGTCTGGTCTAAGCTTATTTTATACATTCACCACACCATGTGTTCTATCATAAATTTTATATAAAAAAAGATCAAATAAGTTTAGAAACAGTGGCTAAGAACATGGGGAAGTTATTTAAATTATTTACCTGTTTTTATACGCCCACATGACATGCAGGTAATCATTCTACCAGGCACAGTATTTGACTGATTTCGACAAAACTTAGTATGGTTGTTTGTAATCACCCAAGGATGGACCCTATTGAAAATCAGAAAAATCGAAAAATAATTAGTATGAGTTATTGCCCTTGTTTTTAAAAACATGTTCAAGGTTTAGCCTGTAAACACTCCAGAAGGCCCAATTCTTAACAGATTTTTATGAATCTTAATATTATGCCTGGCAAGCTATCTTTTCCCATCCAATGTTACATTTAAGTCAGATGACATCTGCACACCAATTGGAATAGAACCCATCATGACAAAAAGCATTATTTTTTTACTTTGCAATTTTTCTTTGCAGGTGACAGATTTTGCCTGGTCTCATGATGGGAGAATGGCGCTTATTTGTTACAGAGATGGTTTTGTACTGGTTGGTTCTGTTGCTGGTCAACGTTACTGGTCATCTATGTTAAGTCTAGAGAATACTACAATAGCCTGTGGTGTGTGGTCTCCAGATGACCAGAAGGTATGAAGATCTTATTCATCTATTGCTTGATCACACATATTCCCCATAGCTTCAATATAATTAACTTTCAGTATCTTTTTGATTACTTTTCTGAAAGACAATATTCAGATTTTGATTATGTTTTGCTAGAATGTATCTTTTTCGTATGATTCAAGGTTGTAATAATACCAAGGAGAATGATATATTTACATATAGCAATTGTTCCATCACCTTTACTTGACCCAAATTTGTATGCATTAGCTTATTAATCCTAATCCGATTTGTTCTTGCAATAAAGTGTTTTGAGAAAGTATTTACTTAATTCTACTTCTATTATATATACCACAATGTTTTTTCATGTTTCTTGATTTCCTTTTTCTTTACTGATAATGAGGTTCTCCAGGGCAATTACATGTATTTAGTTGAACAAATGTGATCTTTTTTTTCGCAATTTGAACCAAAAAAACAGTCATCAGTTTTCTGAAGGAAATTAATGTAATTTTGCTGCCTGTTTTCATTAGCCAAATATAGTGCAGAACACAATAGGACATGAAAAAAAGCCAATTTTATTTCTGTAGTAGAGAGATTATCAATTACAAAATTCTGTTACTTTATTTACATTCAACTCATAAACAACATCCAAAAAATGTTCCATTGATACTAAATTGATATCCTGTGGCTTACTGGCCATAAAAAGAAATAACGAGTTTCATGTTTTCTACAATTAGATAGATCATCTTGTCAAAAACACTATTGAATATTACCACATATTTTTCTTTTTTACAAAAAAATCAGCTCATAAGGCAATAGTGAAAATGATAGAAAGTAATTGATAAAACTTCTTTTTCCCATCATTGAAAATGGTTTTTATAGTCAAGTGTTGACAACACAATCTATCTCCTTCTCAATAGAATTTTTATTTTGTTTCACACAACAAAAAATGTCATCAAGTAATGACAGAGAAATTTACAGTTGTGTGGCATCCTGTATTTTATGTCAAAAATGTAACTCCGTTAAAATTTATGATTTATATTGGCAAAATCTTTGAATTTAGACATGTTATAGTGTCTGCAAGAGACAATTTTGATGTATAAATATCTGCTTTGACAATTGAAGTACTTCCCATATTATTCAGAAGAAAAGAAAGACAATTGGTAATCTTATCAACTGACTTTACTCCAGAGATTTCAAAACCAGTCATTTTCTGAACTGAACTGTATAAATTCTATTTCTGAGTCAGAAATATTCTAATAATGTGAAACACATTGACCCAAATGTTTCTAAAATTGTTTTGTTTCTGAGCATTTGAACTAGATACAAATAAGTGCAAAAACAACTGGAAGTTATTCAGATGGAACTGGATAGAACCAAATTACTTCTGCAGTATTATTAAGTATTGTTACGAAGCCTTTCTAGAAAAAAAAATGTTGTGCTTTAGATTATCTTCAAATATATTTTGACATGCCTTAATCTATACTAGAATCAAATAAAAAGAATGTCTGAAAAGAACTCAATCTAACTGCAATTATCCCTTGAAGTCTGCTTCATTTCTGGTACATTATTAAGCTCCAGATTACTGACATACGAGCAAGTTAATTTGAAGTATTGTAATGTTTTCTTCTAATGAAATTGATTTTGTTTTGCACTTACTGTCATTGTGTACTGTGTTTTCTCAAACTTGATGATCAACAATGATCAAGTACAAAAAAATAGAAAAGTTTTCAACTTTTTTCTACCTTTGTAAATAAAAGGCTTTGGTTGAAATGACTGATTTTGCACCTCGTCAAGTTTCATTCTTGGTAAATACCGTGTTTTTCTATCTGACTTCTACAAATGAATAATAAATGTCAAGATAAATTGTTAAATGAGATTTAAAATTTTAGATAATTTTCGAAAAAATGCAGGGATAAAACCTGTGGTAGGTGATAAACAGTTTATCTTTTTTATAAATGAGAACTTGGTACTTCTAGCGATAATACAGCCTTGGATCTCAGATAATCAGATCTCAGATAATTAACCCCTTGGATCTCAAATAATTAGATCTCAGATAATTCAGCCTTGGATCTCAGATAATTAGATCTCATAATACTGCTTTGGATCTCAGATAATACAGCTTTGGATCTCAGATAATCAAGCCTTGGATCTCAGATAATTAGATCTCAGATAATTAAGCCTAGGATCTCAGATAATTAGATCTCAGATCGAACAACCAGTCGATTTCCTTTTAAAATATTGTTTCCAATATTAGGCAATGAAAAAAACTGAATAATCAATATCTGGAAAAGAAGTTTTAAGTATGTTCACAAGCTTGATGTGTTATAAATATTCACACTCCACATTGGGATATTGACAATTTATTTTCTTGATAGAATATTGACTAGATTAGCATCACAAACCTCTGTCTAATATTTCTCTCTAAAATGACATTCCCATGTTGTCTTTATTCACATTATTTTTACACGGTGACAAATTATCTCTTTATCATTAGTTGCTTTGAATATAAAGAGGTTTGAAGGATTTCCGATAATAAAAAACATGAAGTGCTGAATTTTGGATTGCTAACAAAGTTAAAGTTTTTATTAAAGATAAGATTCCCCAGATAAATTTAAATGTCAGAGAGTTAGAGACAGAAATAGTTAACAGAGCTCAATCTCAATTCTGTAATTTCAGGTTATGTTTGGAACCACTGATGGTCAGTTAGTAGTCATGAGTTCAACTGGTGCCATGATTATGCAGATATCAATAGCTGAAGGCATGGAAATCACATCAATGGCTTGGTCATGTGAAAAATTTAATATGGAAGAAGGGGAAACAACAGGCTGTCATCCAGATGCTCAAACAAAGACAGAAGGTATGTCAAAATATCTACACAGTGCAGATACTGCTATCATAATAGTGGATAGAAATCATGGCACAATCCTTCTGTACCACCAAGGTATTGGCATATATACTGACTTTGATATTACTGCAATGACAACAAGCCTTACATGAATGCTTTAAATTGACTTTTCAGCTTTTTTGTAGGCGGAAAATATTTGTGCTCAAATTTGTGAAAACTAGGTAATATTATTCAGTATTGCCTCAAACAGTTCAAAAGAAGAGTAAGACTGAAGGTTGAATATTTCATACTGGTAATTGTTACTGTACTGCCAAAATTTTTTATTTAAAATCAAAGCTGCCAGTAGGCGTATATTACCTTGCCTGGCAAGCTATCTTTGTATAAATAATTTTTTTGCTGATAATTTAAAAGAATAGTTTGATTAAAAAAATATTTCATAGCATTTAGTTTGAAACCTCAAAATTCTCAAAATATAAATTTTAGTTGGCACATATTACCACTTTTCTTTTAAACTTGGTAGTTTAATTGGAAACAAGGCAGTTAACCAGACTTTCCTTCACTTAGTTGACTAATTAAGGAATAATTTTCATGACTATGGTCATTAGAGTGAATCGTTAATTAGAGTCCCTATTATTTGTTTCTATTGTGTATGGTAAAAGTAGACCTATCAAATATACATGACTTTATTTCCAATACCGATCTGAACTTATTCACCTACCAACAATTAATCATGTAAGAATCATAGAAAACTAGACAATTACCAACTCTCTGGATAATGTTTGACATATAAATAACATGGAGTCAGATTTTTTTTTTGTCTGGTAAAATACAATATGTAAGCCTATTTATTTCTAAATGAAGTCCTCTGCTTAAGAGAGGACTTCATTTAGAAATAAATAGGCTTACTTGCAATTTCTTTCTTGACGTACTATGGGTAATTTGCTGATGGTTGTTTCTTCTACCATCTTCTTGTTGGTACCTGTATCCAAAATAAATCTCATCTGGAATGAGATCTAGAATATTTTGGCAGCTCTGTATATTTGTTTCAGAAAGATCACTTTGTGTCATTTGCAGCGACATTCTACTTCAAAACATTTTAAAAGCTTTTATTTCAAATCCATTAATAATTGTGTACCTGAGATCAAAGCAACAGAATTCAACATCTTTTTATACTGATCAGTGATGCAAGTTACAGAGACTGACAAGGATAAAATGCTTCAGATGAGATGTTAACCAAGACTGGGACCCTATATCAGTTTGTGTATATTAAATAAGAAAAATCTTGACAAAATTTCCCTCATTGTACACTGCACATAGTTGACAATCCTCATTAGCTCAATCAGGTGTAGAAAAGTAGGATGTAATTGTTTCAATGAGACTGTTTAGTTCTAGATGAACTATTAACCACAATCAATTCTTTGATCTCTTAACTTTAATATTGACCATATATCTGATAAATATAGTCATTGTACTAATAGTCTTAATTAATGTTTTGCCAGCCAATCAAGTTGAAGTTTTTATTGATTTTAAAGTACTAGGTTTTCTCTTGATGATTTGAGAATAATGGTATTTATATACAATTAGTTCTAGGTCCAATTATAAACTGTATTACTTACTTAGGTTAAAGAGACAGTTGCACCATTTTTTTGACCAATCATACTTTAGTCTCAGAAACAGGAATATTTTTAGCTAAGTAAATCAGTAATAGTGTTCACAGCATTGAAATTTGAGCCAGGTTGGGAATCAGGGATTTATATGGAAGGTTTAAAAGCACATCTAAAACATTTGATATGGGATATAATGAATGAACTTTTGGACCATGTCTTTTGATTTGCATGTTCTCATGGTATCTGTCAGTTATCTTTTTGTGTAAACTGAAAAGAAAAAAAGACAAATATTGATCAGCTATGTTTATAAGAATTTGAAGGATAAAGACAGTGATAGCTAATTAAAATTGATTCATTAATCAATATAAATTTACTAATTATATACACAGTTACAAGTCACATACTTCTTAAAGAGATAGTCATCTGAATACATGATTGACTTGAGCTCAATTTCAGCTATTTGTATTAACTAAAGGCTTTGTGGCATATTCTTGAAACAATCTTAGGGCTAGAATGTCCTAGGTTCTTATCTTCAAACATTGATTCTAAGACATCCTAGCGCTAAGATCGTTTTGAGAAAACGGGGCCAGGTTATTTGTGGTGGGACAGCCAGACTAGACGAGATGGCCACTTACATATAACCAAACCCATATTGACATAGGGAATGATAAAAACATCCAAATTATCCATCATTTAATTTATTTTAGTATTTATACGCCCACATCTCTCTATGTGGACGTATATTGTAGGCACCCCTGTCCGGCCGTCCATCCGTCCGTCAACGCTTCAAGATTTTTTGATGAAATCAAATGAAATTCGGTATGTGTATACATATTCATAAAACGAAGATCAAGTTCGAATTTGAGTTATTTTCGACCATTAGAAGTAGAGTTATTGCCCTTGCCCCTAAATCTTGAATATTTACCATCCGCATGCAATGGTGGGCGTATATGGCTGTGGTCCACTATCTTATATAATATTATTTGCAACTTATTAGGTTGATAAAGTCATACAACACTGTTTCTGACTCTATAATAAAAAATTAATAACTGTAAAAAATATGGAAGGAATGCATCAGAGCAAATTGAACATCAATTTGTAATTTCTATTACATTAGCTATAATGCTATATCAGAAAAAAATTATGCAACCACCTCCCTTTCTATGGACTGAAGAACTTAAAAAATATAAATTAAATTTAGCTAGCTTACATTATTCTTCCAGACATAAATAATGCTAATCTTTTTTCTCTTTTCATTTCAAGTGACTGAATGTAATTAATAATCTTTGACATGCCTTTTAGACATGTCTGGTTTGATTAGAACTAGATGACATATTAAAAATTACCCTGTTCTGACTGAAAATTGAATTGAATTTATGTTATGGTGTGGAAAATATATTTTCTTAGAGAATTTGTCTCCTATAGGAATACAATTCCATGTATTGATATTTTCAAAGGGCAAGGCTTAATTCTTGCTTCCACTCAAAAGGGTTGAAAAGAGACACAGGATCAATGCTTGAAAGCATAAGCGGTGTATATGTAGTGGTCATTGACCAAATCGGTCTACTTGCGTAGGGGCATCAGACTTTTCACTGACCGATTAGAACCACACAAATGATTAGAACCACACAAATGATTAGAACCAAACAAATGATTAGAACCACACAAATGATTGGAACCACACAAATGATTGGAACCACACAAATGATTAGAACCATACAAATAATTAGAACCACACAAATACCACACAAATGATTAGAACCACACAAATGATTAGAACCGCACAAATGATCAGTAGGTCTTGATAGCCTATTTTCTACCCACAGATTCATTCAAATTCAAATTAAGTTTTTTTGTAAAGAGTATGCTCAAAATTGAAGTAGTTTTTTGACATCATGTCATCTTCAAACTCTATGGAATACCTCGCTCTTCTTTATAATACAAGCATTCTTTTGTAATACAAACCAATATAGCCTATCAGAGCCCTGACAGAAAGACTGAAAACATTTAGGCCTTTTAACATATATGTAGCCCGATAAATCTGGCTCTATCTGTTCATGATGTATGGATGAGAAATGAGCATGCTTAGGCCAAAAACAAAAAAAATTCACTTTTCATGTAAGTGCCATGACACACTTTTGGGTCAAATTTAGCAGAACTTTAAGGGGAATACAAAGCTATAAAAATCCATTTATCACATCTGAGGAATTGGAAGGGCTAGGTTTGCCATGCTAGACATTATGAAGATGACGTCATGTTGGCTTTGTGATAGGGATTACTGTAAAAGCTCTCTTTGAATCTGACAAGCAAATAGACTATCTTATTTTTATCTCAGATTGAGTGATTATAGTTTGCTTCAAGTTTTAAAGGATGAAGATGGATAGCTTCTAGATCAAGAAGATGATTTTAAGACTATATTACTGTATCAGATTCATTCCATCTTATTTTTTCTGTTCTTAATAAATGAACTTCAGAAATAAAATATCTTTAAAGACGATGGCTCACCATTTTCAGGGTTGAGTCGGGTCTTGATTGTATGTAAATACTACCAGAGCAATATGAAAATCAATTGATACCTTCAATTTACCTGAAACTAGAAATTTCACTTTCATTTCTATATATGGCATAGTGGCAAGATAGGACAAACGATCATTTTAACTTTTAAACGTGGATAATTTTCCATTTTCGTGTGTAAATTTAATTGAGAATTATGAACAAGCTCAGTTGCAGTCTGACTGTTATATGAAAAGATAAGTGTTCTCAGTCTGGCTAGTGACAACCACCAATTTACCAGTTTTTGTAGTAGACATATAAAAAGAACTAGTTTGAAAGGTACAGGTTCGCCATTTTTTTTAACCAATCATGCCTTAGTCTCAGAAAAGTGAATATTTTAGCTAAGCTAATCAGTAATAGAGTTCACAGCTCACCGTTGAAATTTGAGCCTTCAAATCCATGTGTGTCCAGAATTATCGGCATTGGAAAGTTAAAATGACGACTCGTCATATCTCAAGAATCTGCCATATATAGAAATGAAATTCCTAGTTTGAAGGAATAATTTCAGATATTTCTGGTCCTTCTGAAGACTATTTACACACATTTAAGACTCAAATAAACCTCTGAAAATGACAAATCTGTCCATTGAATTGGACTAGTTTGATGTATAACCACAAAGACAGTCCTGTAGGAGACATTTACATAAAAAGGTCAAAATTCCAAAAACAGATAACAGAGCAAAGAAGAAATTTTGATTAAAAAACTTATTCAGATTAAAAAAAAAGCAGAGATATCTGGGAGTTTCTTTGTACGATCTGAAAGATAGAAGCCTTTCATGTTTTAAATTGTAGGGGTTTTTTTGTTGTTAACCATACTTTAAAAGGTTGTCTGCCATGAAGAAGTTAAAATGAAATTGAAAAACTTTAGAAGTAATTTAGCCTAATTTCCGGTGATTAAATCAAAGCGAGATCTAGAAACTTAATTTAATTTTTTGATGTGCTGAAGTGGTTTGGATTAGAACATTTTCTGGATGTGGTGTTTTATATTGTATAATAATATGTATGAACAAAGGAAGTTAGACTTTTCATTAGGACACCCTTGATCTGGTGTGTATGGCACGACAGGTTTCGTTTTGGTTGATCTCTTAAAGGTGCAACTAAGCAAGAGTGAATTCTTTACCTCAATTTATACTCAAAAATGCAGAAGCGCCTGTTCAAATGCAGAGGGGACTTCCTTGACTTGATGTAGGAGCAAAGTTGACTTGAAACGGTTGAGTAAACGGTCAAATGCGAAGGTGAAATTGACCTGATGTGGCAAGTTGACAGGGACACATGGGGTGTGTCTTGCCATAATAATATGTATGCATTTTAAGTGTAAAAATGTGTCTTGATGTTTGGGTAGGATGTAAAGCTGAGGCCCTGTGGATGGCATCATCATGTAGATGCATTTGACACATTATTGATTACCTTGACAATCTCTTACAGAATTGGATTAAATCCGGCTATTACATGTCACTCAGTAGTGACATTTCATTGTTAGTAAGGAAATTGGATTTGATCCAATATTCTTTAAGAGATTGTCAAGGTAATCAATAATGTGTCAAATGCATCTACATAATTTTATGTAATGATCTGGCCATGGAATTTCGATTCAATTTTAGTTATAGGGCAACATTATATGCAAGTTCCCTTGACAATTGTAAATTAAGCAAGGTTGCTGCTTTTTTTACCTGTAGAATTTAGGTGATTAAAAGTCAATTTATTTCATTTTATCATTTCAGATAATGAGTTAAATTCTGCCACACCTAAGAACCATACATTAGCTGTGTGTTTTAAATATGGTACAATATTTCTATTAACTAATTATGATGATTTTGATCCTAAAGTCATACATACTATGTTAACTGGTATGTATCTATGTTAATCTAACTTGTCTTATATCCTATGCAGTATCAGAGCTAACAGATGGGATAAAAAAAAAAAAGCAACAACACAATGTGTAATACTGGTGATTGTTACTGTACTGCTCAATATTTTTATTCAAAATCAAAGCTGCCCGTATATTACCTTGTCTGGCAAGCTAATTTTGTAATTAATTTAACTCCATTTCAACTAATGGATTACTTTATATTTTGTGTTAAACTTGTTAACATGAACTACATCTGATTGCCATTTTTTTGTGTTACTTCTTTTATTCTTGATCTGATAAAGTCTTTTTTAAAGCAATTTAAGCTGAAATTGACTGAAAGGGTTATTGGAGTAATATTTAATCATGCAAGCCTAGAAAAATTACAGTTCAATGCAGTTGTCAGTGATAACTATTCCTTATAGATTCTATACTATGTTATCATTGATATTGTAGAAACTAGAAGAAGTGAACACGCTTTTGGGTCAGGGTACGATTTTCTACTATATCGACAATCCTACAATGTACATCGCATTGGATACTGTATCTGGTCTATTAGCGACATAACCAAACAAACTTTGGTGACCTTTGTAATTAAATTTATTGTGTTTTTAGGAGTGAAAATGGATTGGTCAAATTGTGGTGAATATTTAGTAGTTGGTGGATTTGATAGATTACCTAACTTACAATGTCGTAATGAATTACGCTTTTATTCTAAAGATGGTACATTACGTCATGCCATCTCTATACCAACGCAGGTAAATACCATATCAAATCTTCGTTCATAAAACAGACTTTATAGATGCCTCAACATGCTTTATGTCTGACAACTATATTCTTCAATGAACAAATAGAGATAAATTGTACACTGAAAGCATCATTTTGCACCATTCCTCTTCATTCCGACGTCTGTGGTTCTTGCAATTCCACTAAAACTAACGCGTTTTATGATATCACTAGAGGGGAACAGCATATAAGGTATTAATAGTAGCTTATGGTAGTTCTCCTCTAGAGACGTCATAAAACGTGTTAGTTTTAGTGAAAAATTGCAAGAACCACAGATGTCGGAATGAAAATTGGAATTGTGCAAATTGATGCTATCAGTGCCCCCGATACAAAACCTTTTTACCATCCCTTTAAGTAATGACTACACATTTCTATCAGAATCTAAAAAGCTGTTATATTTGACAATGGGGGTACATTGGATGGCACTCTGCTGTCTGGTGCTCCTGAATTAAACAACAATATGTTAGAATATGATTTTTCAATTCCAGGGAAAGCCTTTGACAGCATTAAAATGGGGTCACAATGATAAAAGGTTATTCATAGCAGCAGGATGTAATTTATATGTAGCCTGGGTAAATAAACAAATAGCACCATTATACTTCCTATGTCAGAGAGCTACCCAGACCTGTATTCAACAAGAAAAAAATGCTGTTAAACTGCCATTACCATTGAGATTACGATTGGGTATTCAAGCTTTATTTTCACCCACTGTAAAGGTAAGTTATTTTTGTGAATTAACGATAACTGTAATGACTTCAGAAATTTTTAGTTTTTATGGGAATATGAGCATTTCCCATAAAGATAACATGGGATTATTGCCAAAAATTAGTCTATAGCGAATTTTTAAGTACCGTAAGTAACACTGTATAAGGCACAATTATTGATTAAATTAATAAAACGCGGATAATTTTGATGGTTAGCTGTGAACACTATTACTGATTGGCTTAGCCAAAAAAATTCCCGTTTCTGAGATTAAAGTATGATTGGTCAAAAAAAGTGTAAATCTGTCCCTTCATATGAAATAAATAGCAGGGATATGAAATAGATTAGTTTAAAGAATTAATTTGGTAAATGAATTGTGTAGGTGCAAGCAGATTATCAAATAAAAACATCATTTGCATATCTTGTTATTATTAATATAAGCTTATGGAGGTAGAGAATTATGCCCGAGTAATTATCTGGATGATACAAATCTTTTCAATTACATGTTTAGAAAAGATTGTATTCAATGTTATATAAAGATAAGGCATATTATGTTATTCATTTACAACTTAATTAGATTTCTGTATAGAATTGGATATTGAAATCTTGCCAAGACTTAGATTATCCTGTTTGAAATAATGAGATAAAGATGACAATATTTTAATTAAAAAAAGATGTTATTGAAATTTCAATACCAGATAAATTTTTTATCAATAAGCTTATTCAAATTTATTATTTTAAAAATGGGTAGTCCATTTCTTTATTAGCTCTTATTCTGACACAACCACTCAAGTAAGGGTCTAACTACTCCTCTATATAACTTTTATACTGAATCATAACACCGTCTCTATACAACTTAATGCCATAAACCAATCAAATTTATTCGCTCATCAGTCTCCAGCGCTGGACTTATGTGACACCAACAAGAAAACAGACTGGTATAAATATTCTGAGGAACATTAGACTAGTTCATCAAGTCTACATGGTGTTGAACATTGTTGGAACCTGAATTTTTAATCGGCTGTTCTGACTTTTACCAGTTTTGTTGGATTGGTTAAAGCAGGTCATCAGGTTAAGGTTACACAGACCTTAACTTAAGTGATTGAATGAAAAAATAGCTCTAAATAAATGTATACAATATATACTAAACTTTCGTTTAAAGGGATTGATGCGTCATTTTAGGAGATTGATTTGAGTCTTGAATATAATGCATATAGTCTTCAGAAGTACTAGAATTGTACGAAAATCACATAATTCCTTTAAAAATACTTCAAACTAGGTATTTTACCGATTATTTCTATATATGTCTTTTCTATATATCACAAAATATCTTAAATTGATGAGTCGTCATGTTAATATACAAACACAGATAATTCTGGACACACATGGATTTGAGGGTGAGCTGTGAACACTATTACTGATTGGCTTAGCTAAAAATTCTAATTTCTGAGCCTAAAGTATGATTAGTCAAAAAGAATGGCACATGTGTACCTTTAATGTTGATAAGACTGTAAAAAAAGAGGCAATGTAATGTTCTGTAAAAATGAGTAAAATACCACAATATTGTCCATTTCTACAGAACATACAGAAAAAAACTTGTAGATCTTAAACAATCCAAACAAGTTTCATCATAGTGAGAAAAAAATATCATTCAAGAGTCTATTTATCCAAATCTATTTACCCCATTAATAATTCAAATGAGATAGTCTGGATTATTATGGAACATGTCAAAATGTACCATATCCTATTTTAATCAAATTTTTCTTTACACTTGGGACTTTACTGTACACTACCATTTGGATGACCACAAAATTGAAATATTTTAACTTAAAATGAGCCTTTGTTCATCACTGAACTTACCTGGTATCATAATTATACAAAAGAATCCCTTTATAATCCAATAAATCCATAAAACTAAGTAATAATCTATTAAACTAAGTAATAATCTATTAAACTAAGTAATTTTGAAACCTGTGTGTTTCAATAATTATTTAGTTCACTGGATATATCATTTTATATAGAGATTCTATTCTTTAGTCATGACGAATATATAACACTTGTTGACCAAGTTTGATACTTGAACTTTTATGTCCATTCTAAGAGACAGTATCCTTTTTTGATACATACATAAAGTTATGTTTCACAGTGTGTATATTAGTCAAGGTATCGTTTCTATCTGGAATGTCATCTTTAAATGGAAATTCTTGTAACATTCTGTGTACTTTTTATATTGATATAAGATTATTACTATGTTTATCTTTTACGACAAGCCGACTCTAATAAAAGCAAGATTTGTATGGAAGAGGAGGAAGTCATTTAGACGGAGATATTCTTGCAGAATTCAAGACAGTGTTTCAAACTAATTGCCAATAAAGTCAATCCGACTGAATTCCATTAGAAATTGGGAAGGCTGGCTAACTATCAATAGATTTTCTTCTCCTAACTTTGATTACTTTCATTTTATTTGTCTGCTGATTTTCTATTCTTTACTCTTATTTCATACAATCTAACGACATTCAGTCTCGGCAAAGGGTTAATGATTAATTTATCTCTTTGGCTTCCTCCAAATAAATTCAGTTTTTAAACAGAGAAATATTGACATAGCACACTTACTGTGTTTGCAGATTGGCAATTCATTTTCTTGATTGATCTGAAATTTGGCATCCTACCTTGTTGTTTTAGACTGAGGAGATCTTTATATTCTTTCTTAAAGGTCATGGTTTGGGAGTTGATTTCTATTTTGAATATATGTAAATAGTCTTCAGAAATAGTAGTTAACTGACACAAAAATCGCATAATCCCTTCAAATATACCTCCAACTAGAAATTTTACTTTCTATTTCTTGACACATTGTATATGACTTGAGTGTTAAAAAAAGATTAGTGGTCATTTTAATTCTGAGACTAACTTGGATTTGAAGGCACAAATTACAACACTATTACTGATTAGCTTAGCTACAAAATATCCCATTTCTAAGGTACTGTAATGAGATTAAATGAATGGTGAACCTGTCCCATTAGGTATTTAAAATGATACTACGTCTTAGAATAAACATAAAATTTAATTCTCAAGAATGGTCAATAAGAGTATATATTCATCAGTGAACTTACCTGGTGTCATAAAGTTACAACAGAATCCCTGTAAAATCTGGAAAATTGGAAAATTCATAAAATTAAGTAATTATTGAATCTTAATATTAAGCGTTTTTCAATAGTTAAATGCATATTTATGGATAATAACTAAGTTTTTTAGATTTATCGGATTATATAAGGATTCTGTTATGTTATTTATGAAACCATGTATATCTACTGATGAATGTATGCTCTAAATGGCCTAGTTTAAAATTCCTTTATTTTATGTTCATACTTAGACGTAGTATTCCTTTAAGACATGGCTTAGCATTTTGGCTTTGTCAGTTGGTAAAGCACATATTGCAAAAGCTAAATAATTAAAATATATATTAGCACCTTTGATCATTCGCAATTAATAACAAAATGGCAGATGGTCAGTATTGTTTGGAGAACCTCTGGTGAAAAATTCCAAAGTTTTTGTCACTGTGTACCATATATAATTTACAAACCCAGTTTGGAAAGCCCTTTTGCGGGTAAAAAATGTGCATTATAAAAGCAAATATACGGTATACATTACTTCCAGCTTAGTAGAGGATGTTACAAATCAAGTTTTGATTATCTATATAAGGCTATTAAAATTTAATCTAATCAGAACCAAATTTGAGTATATTCTCAAATGACAAACAGTAATTAATTGCATTAAAATAACTAGAGTTATTTAATTGAATTACATATTTCATTTCACATTCTGACTGGAAAACCTTGTGAGTGATACTTGATAATCAAGTTTATATTTCATATTTCAATGTCTAGACAATTATGGATGTTTTCTTGAAATTCATCTTATTACTTCCTTTGACGTTACGATGGTTTTTTTATGAGTTTTTATCTTGTTTGAGTTGAGGATATGATTTTGAAATGACACATCAATTTCGCTAATGTATCGGTATTACGCAGTATGGAAACACTATTGATCAATCTTCAAAAAAAAAAAGATAATATTTTTACTCTTGAAATATCTCATTGAAGCTATTGATTTATCAAAGTGTGCTGTAAACCACTTATAAACTATTCTATAAAAAGATGTAAAAGTAGCACCTTCTGTCCTTCATGCTTAACTAATATCTGTAATTTGAGCTACTATCAGTATAAACAGTCTCTCTCTGTATAAAATACTTCTACTGGTCCTATTGATTTACTGTGGGATGAAATGAAATTATAGCTTGTAGTTGATATCTTTATCAGAAAATCCAGTTGAATATATACTAAGACTACTAATACTAAAGTGATGCAGAATGATTTCCATACTGATGTCTTACCACAAATTAGAATTATTTGACACAGATAGGTGACTGCCCTTGATGTACTGAAAATGTATCAGGAAAGTGGGCGTATTTTTCTAGGCAATATGCTGTTAGTGCAGTATATTATATTAGTCAATCAATTTTAGGCCCAGCCAATTTATTTTCTTGCTTTACTGATCCTATGACCTAAATTTTTCCAAAAATCAGAAAAAAAAAACAAAAACAGAATCAGCTCATCTGGAGAAAAAAAACAGTCTTCATTCCCGATGAAAGCAAAAATCGTCATAAGAAACTCTCATTATTAATAAAATATATGATTTGTGATTAAATTAATACTGAGAAAATGGGAATTCTGGCTCTCCTGCCATTTACACCATTTTGGTCTCTCTGTTTTTCTATTTTCCTTCTTCCTTCACAGATTTTTCCAGAAAAAATCTGTAAAACAAAAAAATAAATTGATCTGGTCTTACTGCCATAAGATATTACATGATATATGTTAAGTATCACTAGGTTGCATATCAATACTTTCACATTACTAGGTTCATAAAACTAGTTGTCCTGACTGAAACAGATCTAGCTGAATTGAAGAGTATAAGTTCCATTAGTGAATATGACAGCAGTTAAATTAAGCCTAGACAGCCTTTGTATCTCATATCAAAAAGAAGCACTTGTATTACATTACCTATCATATCACATTGCTTTGTAATTATTGTATGATTGGCTGTATCCAGCACTATTTTTTATACCAGTCAACACAAATTAGGAATATAGCTTTGAAAATGCAATATAAAATCACTTCTAAAGAACTCCATGAAACACAGATATAATGCTATTCTCATGGTGATCACTTTGTGATATTATGACTGGATATTGGACCGAATAGTTTTGTTTTTGCTCTAAAAACTGACTGTTTGCTGAATTGGCATAATGTTAATAGTCATCAAGAATCATAGCATGGTTCAGATTGCAATAGATTAAAATGCTTTCAGTTAATTAAACTTAAGTAATTAGGAATAATATTATTCAAAAAGAAATATGATTGTGTTATCTATGACTAATAATGTCAATTTCTTAATGAATTGATGTTATGATTTCATAGTACTAATGTCACACAGTCTCTAGAGAGAATAGGTCATTGACATGATATAGTAGGTCAAACACCTTGGACAACATAAAATATAGTCCATTACTTTAAAATGAATTTGGAACCATGGCAGTGCAAATGGATTATTTCCATTAATGGATTAACTAGTTAAGTAATTAACTTTTCTTATGTATATACCAAGTTATGGTCATAACTTTTCCAGCTGATCCATGTTTGAACCTCTTGGTGTTGATGATTTCTGAATTATCTATACCACAAGCACCATTGGTTATTTCAAAGAGGTATCACTAATAATAAACATGATATTTCAAATAGGTATCACTAATTTCAAATAGGTATCAGTAATAATGGTCATGATATTTCAAATAGGTATCAGTAATAATAGTCATGATATTTCAAATAGGTATCAGTAATAATGGTCATGATATTTCAAATACGTATCACTAATAATGGTCATGATATTTCATATAGGTATCAGTAATAATGGTCATGATATTTCAAATAGGTATCAGTAATAATGGTCATGATATTTCAAATAGGTATCAGTAATAATGATCATGATATTTCAAATAGGTATCAGTAATAATGATCATGATATTTCAAATAGGTATCAGTAATAATGATCATGATATTTCAAAGAGACATCACTAAAAATGGTCATGATATTTCAAATAGGTATCACTAATTTCAAATAGGTATCACTAATAATGGTCATGATAGTTCAAATACGTATCACTAATAATGGTCATAACATTTCAAATACGTATTAGTACTGTCTGTCTTCATGACCTTTTTTCTATTGTGGCATTTCCATGTGTGATCTACATTTTCATTTTTTGAAGAACAGAATAAAATTTAGATTCCTTCAATGTTGATGACAAAAATGACAAACTTAAGTTTTGAATATTGTGATATGTATACATTATAAATATTGATCAATAGAAACTTCCCACAGTTTGAACTCATAGGATTTTATTGATACATTTAATGATTATAGTGAAAATTTGTATCAATTTATGATGTAAAAGCTTTATGTATTATATCCCGTAGCTTTTAATTCATTAATGATACTATAATATTTAACCCAGATTTTATTGACAGATTTTATAGTGTCTGTCTAGTATTGCACTATCTATATAATTGTGTATCTAGATACATGACCATTGACATTACATGTATTGCAAGTTGATCTACAATAGATACATTTTGTGATTTTATTGACAGATTTTATAGTGTCTGTCTAGTACTGCATGTATCTATATAATTGTGTATCTAGATACATGACCATTGACATTACATGTATTGCAAGTTGATCTACAAGAGATGTACATTTTGTGATTTATGTTGCTTGTAAAAATTGAGAGACACTGGTACATATAATTTTGCTACCAGCTTAATTCCTAATGCAATTATACAGTTTTATTCTAAATGCTGCATGTCAAATAAATATGCTCTGAGAGATTTCAGAGTAGGAAAAAGTTTGGAAGAAACTTATGTTAAAATAAGCAAAATGGAAAAATCAAAGCATTACAGTCCATGAAATTATTTGTTCAGATTGTAGCTGCACTAATTGTCTTGATGTATGTTGTGCAGATATACACAAACATTGTGTAGAAGTAGATTTTGTTGAGCAATGTGCTGTGTGCATGAACACATAAATATGTTGTTTAGGTATACAGCAGGTACTTCGTAGATATACACAATATACATCATGCAGTTATAAGCTCAAAGAAATGTATTTATACATCATTGTAGAGACTTAAACATAATATTCAAGATAAATAAAATACTTGCACTGTTCAAATAGTGCTGAAAACATCAAAAGTAGATATTATATAAGGATATAGAAATAATAAAATTCTGTTTTGATATTTCAATTTTGAAGATTTCGTGGGCGACAGCTTAAAACTTTGTATTACTTTATATGATGCGAAATTACTTTTCAAGAAAAAAGCATAAAATTTTTGTATGCATATTTGGTTAGAATCTTATTTATTATTATCTTTTTTTTTTAATTCTAGGTTTGGCTAATATCTTATTTTTTTTAAGATTTATTCTATTTGGTTAAAATTGCTTTTTTTTTTTTGTGTTTTTATTCGTTTGGCTAAAATCTTTTATTATGTTTTGTAGGTTTTTATTCTGTTTGGTTTAAATCTTATTTATCATTTTTGTAGTTTTTATTCTATTTGGTTAAAATCTTTATTTAGTTTTTATTATATTTGAAAAATAGTTTTTGGCTTTTATTTTTTGACAATTTAAACCTGATGTAATAATTCGAGGTTTTGTTGTTGTTGTATATTGGATACCAATATCTTTATATGCTGTTTTCTATATTTCAGAGTTATATACCTGATCCATTTAAATTACGAGAGTTTGTGAGTACCACTCCGCCTGGAAATGAGAGACTATTTTGTACAATGATTAGGCATGGTGATGAAACGTCTGGTGGACATTACACATTGTACCTAGAATATCTGGGAGGTTTGGTGCCGCTGCTGAAAGGAAAACGAGCCAGCAAACTCAGACCAGACTTTGTGATATTTGATCCAAAAATTAAAACGACAAAAGGTAAGAGCATTTCTTTCAAAATTTGTCAGATCAGGTACAGTCATAGTCAGAAACAATGGTTTCATAGTCAGAAACAATGGTTTTATAGTCAGAAACAATGATTTCATAATCAGAAACAATGATTTCATAGTCAGAGACAATGGTGTCATAGTCAGAAACAATGGTTGCAATGTCAGAAACAATGGTTGCAATGTCAGAGACAATGGTTTCATAGTCAGAAAAAATGGTTTTATGATCGGAACCAAGTAGTTTCATAGTCAGAAATATTAGCTCTTCCAATCAGTAATAGTGTTTAAAGCTCACTGTTGAAATTAAGCCTTTAAATCCATGTGTGTCCAGAATTATCCGTGTTGGAAAGTTAAAAAGATGAGTTGTCTTTTCTTGAGACATTGCCATAAAGAAAAAACGTCTTTAGAAATAGGAAAAGAAATTCCTAGTTTATGATATTGTCATAGGAATTATGCAATTCTGTACATTCAAGTACTTCAGAAGACTATTTATATATATTCAAGACTCAATTATACCTCCTCCCCCCCAAGATGGTCACGTGTGCCTATAAAATGTAATGCAGATAAGATGCATTAAAAAATTTAACAAGTATGGTCTTATTTTTAGGAGGGGCAAAGCATCTCAAAAATTGAGTAATGGTCTTATTGTATAATCTGAATTCAGTTATTGTATAAAGACTGCTTTATAGCAGGCTTTTTATTTAGAATATATCACTTTGAAGTAAAAAGCAATCTATCAATTCTGTCTAGAAGATAAAAAAGAGAAGTGTGATTCAAGTTAGTTACAAAAATGTAATTTCAAATCTGTTCTCAAGGTCATAAAAAGAGTCAATATTGCCTGTTATAATTATGAACCATTTCCATACATAATAAAATTTCTTTTTATTTCTGTTTTATTTTCTCACCCTTTTGAATTATTAAGTGGATTTTATTTGTCAGTAATAAAATGAGAAAAAAAATTTGAATTGGATCATATAAAAACAAGTGGAAACAAATCAAAACTTTGATTAAATCTATAAAACTGAAGGAGAAGAGAGGGAATAAATTTTTGAGAGAGAAATGAGCAATTCTGTGCTCTTGCATTAATTCCAGTTACTTCAATTTTTCCTTTATTAGATAAATATTCAGAAAGTATACAGCTTGCTGTTTATTTTTTATACATTAACTATCTAGAGATGTGCAACTGTCTCTGTCTAACTAAAGGACATTTGGAATTAGCATATTTATGATCCTTAGTATTTTGGAAACCGTGAAAACGTGTGACTTTAAAAATAAGGCATTTCTTTTCTAATCAAGACACTCTAGGTTTCGTTATTTTTTTTTTTCCATTTTACCACTTAAGGTACAGCACAGTCATTTTGTGATCCTATATTCATTAAAGATAGGCCACCCTCTCAAGAGAATCAAACCAGGTTCTGTAGCCTTTGTATAATGTATTTGCATCATTCCATTTTGGTGCCAGACTTTCCGTAATTCCAGAAAAACTCAGTCTGTTCATGATTTATACCCTTTGTGATAGTGACATAATCTGGTCATGTTTGTCTGTGATTACAGGAACCATGTTGGATTAGAATTCAGAATGATGATAACAGAAACAGCATGAGCCTGTGAAACACTATCTAAAAAGATTAGAAAATCTTGATTTTTCATGTGTTTCAGTAATGTCTATCTTTTCTAATAAAAATTCCAACAATCATTAAAAAAAACTTAAAGCAATAACCTGAGTAAAACACATCTGTATGTTGTTTAATCCAGGAGACCAGAAACAAATCAATATGGTTGTAAGATATCTGTACCATTCATATAAATGATATCTAGCTAGATAATGTTATTTTTTGATCTTTTATTATCATTCTGCACGATTTTCTTGAAAGGAAATTGAATTTTGTGATTCTTTCCTGTACAATTTTCTAATTAGTCCAGCGAGACATCTCGAGAAAAACTTTTGTACTAATGAGCAGAATTTCTTATCTTTTTTCTTCTTTGACTATTCTAATTTTTTAATGTTATGATGAATGATTCTTTTATGTTTTTTTCAAACTTATTCAGAGCTTTTTTTAATTGATCCTTATGTAGTTTAATTCTTTTGTAGTTTTGTGATAAATGATGTTTTAAGATTTACTTCATTAGATTATGAAATAGAATAAAATAACATACAGAAAATTTGACAAGAATGAACTGGGTTTTTTTTTTTTTTCATTTGGTATCTGAAATAATTTTTTTTTTCTAAGAAATTCAAAGTAAATAAAAAAATAAATTAATAAATTAAAGGGATGGATGTGCCATTTTAGGGGGTTGATTTGAGTCCAAATTATGTGTAAATATTCTTCAGAAGTACTAGAAATGAACGAAAATCCTTCAAAAATATCTCAAACTAGGAATTTCTTTTCCTTTTCTATAGAGGTTTTTTCTATATGACAGTGTCTCAAGAAAATATGACACGTTATTTTAACATTCAAACACAGATAATTCTGGACACATATTCTGGCTTATATTTTGATGGTGAACTGTGAACACAATTACTGATTGGCTTAGCTAAAAAATCCTGTTTCTAAGACCAAGGTATGATTGGTCGCTTAAGGATAAACAGAATGTACTGCAATCAGTTTGAGCATTGGAATCAGACTTCATTTTCTTGGTTACATTGAAATGATGGTTGTGGGTTCAAATCTTGTTAGGATATGACTTTAAATAAGCCTTAATATTCTAGTAAACCCACTTGTAAATGTGTCTGGATAATCTCAATAAGATCAAACTAAGATACTGTTTGGCTTAGGAACAGTTGGTAGACAAGATCATTGTGAACCTTAATTGTTATCCTAGTAAAAAATGGTTCTGTTTTTATTTCTATTTTGTCATGATAAACATGGCTCATTATTTCTTCCCTTGTGAAAGTTTTTTTTCTGGTTTCTCCATGGGGTGATGATATATTTCACAATAAACATGCAGGGAAAAAATATTAGACTGCAGTGTAATTAGAATTAGATTACAATTGCGTTTCGTGTTTAATGTAGATACATTTCTTGATAACGATAATGAATGGTGGGATATTGGCTGCAAGGGAACTGTCACAATGGTCTACTGTGGGTTCAATTGTATCTATGGCACCATTCTCGCTACACCTGACAAGAAACCAGTATGCAGATGGAAGAAAATCTTCTTTAATTGTTAGGCCGAAGTTACATTAGCGTAACAAAATATAGTTCTTAGCTATATGAAATAATTTTATTGTCACATGACCTAATATTTGAAAGTAGTCCGATGTATCCGCCACCTGCATATGAGGTTATTAGGAATGGTCACTGAATGGGTTTCACTATCCCACAATGAATCATTGTTTGCATGAAATAAGTTCTACATGACACATTTTAATTGGTTAGAATTAATGTCATAAAAACAGGTAGAAAACTTGTAAGATGACTAAAGTATCAACAAAAAAACATAAATTTTCATCTTATTTTTTTTTGATTTGTATTACTATTCTCCCAAAAATATCAGAAGATTGGTATAATGTATATGTTGATTTCATTTCAGTTGTTGATCAGAGAACAGAGACTGGTGGTAGGTGTGGTGAAAGTAGTAGTAATGATTCAGACACAGATATTTCAGCAGAGGGGTGTGGATCACCAAGAATGCAGAGACGTAGACGGATTAAACAGTTCCGTGCAGAGAAAGTGGAAAGAAGTATTACATTCCGTACATTAGATGAACTGTTATATAATGACAATCTTCCAGAGGTATGTTCACTAAGTTCTTTTAGTGGTATAACAGCTCAATCATTAGGAGCATTATTCACCAAGGGCCTTATTCTCGAAATACTTAACTGATATAGGTTCTTAGTGTTTTGATCAATCATTGGCCAATCACTATAATCTGTTTTAAATTTATAATTTCATTATCCAATGAGATTACTCCATTTCTTGAAATCATGATTTTATCTTTTATAAGTTTTTGAGAAGAAGGCTTCTGTACATCAAACAAATGATGGTCTTGGGTTTTTTCCATCTCATCCTCATAAAATCATCTTTACAATCTTTAATTCTTACTCTTATAAAAGCCATTTTGAAACCTTAGAAAAACAAGATTACATACCAGATTCTTTAACATATGCTAAGGATTTGGATATAGATAACAACGTAAAGAAAGAACAATTCAAAAAATAAAAAGCTTTATAAGAAAAAGCTGTACATCAGAGGTACCTGTAACGAAGTACACACATCCTCCTTCTTCTCCTATCAAATCTTACTATTTCTATATAAACTCTAACATGTTCCAAATACAAATAAAGGGACACCCTTGATCTGGTGTGTATAGTCTGTGGGTATCTTCATGACCAGTCTTTAAAGGGACAGGTGTGCCATTTTGGGGGATTGATTATAGTCTTGAATATATGTAAATAGTCTTCAGAAGTACTAGAAATGTACAAAATCACATAATTCCTTTAAAGATACTTCATACAATTTTACTCTCTATTTCTATATATGTCTTTTCTATATACCACAGAGTATCTTGAATTGACGAGTCCTCATTTTAACATTCAAACGCAGATATTTCTGGACATACATGGATTTGAAGGCTCAAATTTTGATGGTGAGCTGTGAACATTATTACTTATTAGCTCAGCTAAAAAAAAAAACAGTTTGTCAGACTAAAATATGATTGGTCAAAAAAATGGCCTACCTGTCCCTTTAACATTGCTTTTGAATCTTATGTTGGGATCTTAAGGATGATACCAAAGGATATGACCAACTTGTCTATCATCAAGAAACAGTAGTATATATGTACTATGCTTATGTAAGATTCTTGGCGTGATGGATAGAAGTCGGCCCATCGTCACAGAAATGCATGCTTCAGGTACCTTAATAAAAATAAATGTGTGTCACATATAAATTTCATCTGACAACCTTCCCTTTGGAAATTGCTTATGTTTCTTCTAAAATGTCTTCAACCAAGCCAGTTTTAGAAGTCTATTATGTGTTCTAAAGATGTAATTTACTATGTTGTTTATTGTGTGGGAAGAAGTCAAAGTATCATTAACCTCTCTAGAAATATTGAGACATAAGAAGTAGCTGGAGGGTGTTTATGATTTTAAACATTATTAACTTATTGACTAATAGAGAAAATAAAGCTGTGTCGACAGCAAGCAATTAATTAACAGTCTTAAGAAGATTATTAGCTCTTCACTATGATGGCCTTCAGGGAGTTTTAACTTGAAAATAGCTAAACCATTAACCTCTCTGTGGAATCACTATGTATTCAAGTTTGTTTACGTGTGTTTAGACTTTCTGAATAGTGTGATACAGTAATAACAATGTATCAATGCATGAATCAACAAACCTTTCATTGAATAAATATCTCATGTTAAAGACACATTAAGTTAACGAAATGAATCAATGTCCTATTAACAGTTTCACTTTACATGTTTTCTTGAGATACCGGTCAAAAAAGCACAAAGAATGAAAATATTAGAAAAAATCTCTTATTGTTTAAGGAATAACAAAATAATAACAGTGAGTATCTCAGAATAAGTTGCATGAGACTGGTGCTCAAAACTTATCACTGCTATTTTTATTTGCAACTGGAGATCGTTATTGTGTGAGGCCCTTTTAAAATTTTTGATACAGAAATATAGCAATATTAAAACAAAATCTAAAACATGTTGTTACTCAGAGTGTAATCTTCAGACAACTGACCTATTTCAGCCTGAAGTTTGTCAAGTTTTTTTTTGATACATAATTTTCTTAGATAAATTTAGCTAATATATCAGGAAGTTCAATTTAAGAAGTAACAAAAAGCTGAAATTAGAAAGTTCAATTAAGATTTTGTTGACTTTCATGTTAGCAATGTTGACTTTGATTGATTACATTGCACTATTCCAATAGTACAGTAGTAATTTACAGAGTGTGGCATAACAAAAACATATCACTAACCTTGTGTTTAATTGAATATTGATAGAGTTGCAAGATTTTGATGGACATTCTGTTGTTTTTATAACTAATATGGTGTATAAAAGTAGAGGAAACTCGCTTAAGAATCATCCTGTCTGTATATGTTATATTGGGGTTTGAAAGATTAGTAAAGCTACGTTTTCATATTAGTGCTGGATCAATAAATTGGTGAATCAATGTATCGGGATACAACATTCCATGATACATGTATCGTATCAGAAGGTCATGTATCGATACTTGACGATACCTCTCATCCTTAAAAGAGTGGGAATTTTTATGGTGAATGGAATCACAATTTTTTGCACTGACTTGACTGAAAGAGGAAACTATTTATAAGACAGTGGACACTATAAAACAACATTTCCAAATATTACAGTTATAATTTACTATAAATATTGACTTTAAATAAAAATATTATATTTTTTTTATCCCATTCCCCATATCGCGATACGTAATGCATCATGACCTTTGTATCGTTATGTATCAAATCGTATCGTGTCATGATACTCAGCACTAGGTTATATATAAGTGTAATTTTCTTAAACTTTTCTGCAGACAAAATGACAATGATGCCTGAGAAAACCTAATAATGATCAAATGTTCTTACATTAGAGACAAAATGTATTATGTTCAAATGTCATGATGGAAAAAGGCAAAATGTCATTTTCGATGTATGGTACAGCTGACATATATAAAAATTCTATCAGATAGTTTTTACTTCCAATGTAATTATTGTTGTCAAATTACTGTTTCATTTCTGAGAGATGTATTTCGTTTTCGAAAAAAAAAATTTTTCTTGAGGAAATGAAATGTCAGATATCAAATATGGCTTCTTATGCAACTTGAAAAAATGGCTGCATATTGATGTACTTTCATATTTTATTTTCTAACTTGTCATTGCAATCAAGTCTTTAGTATTTGCCTCTCGGTGATTAATACCTTTACTAATATTAGTATAATGAAATTCCTAATGGAAATTTTATGTAGATTTAGTAAATATAGTACTAAAACTATGATTAGTGTTCAGACAACTAATAAAGACTGAGATTACTAAAATGATACCTATATTGTTTTTGATGGTGCTCATGACGTTTTATGACATCTGAATTTTTGTATGGTAATTCTGTTACGTAATGCATCCATTAATGTCACTTGGTAAAAAGAATAAAATTATGTCATGTGTTTTTCTGAGATAGCATCAAGGTTACTTTTTCTATGGCTACTCAGTTGATGCTGAAGTCATCAATCAGATCTTATCACCATTTTTTTTTTTATCTTTTGTGAGGTTCTATGGCACAGTCGGTTTTTCATTATTTTTGATTATGTCAAGCAAATGGTGGCTGTGGGTTCTGATTTGGATCGGTGTGTTAAAATCAAAGTTTAAGTCAGCTTCACTTATAATTCAAGTCAACCCAGCTGTAAATGGGTACAGATGATCCAGGAAAGATCAATGCCTAGAGGTTTGGCCAAGGACCAGCTGGTAGAAAGGATCCTTAACTGTGAACCTAAGTTGTTATCCGTGTTATATATAGTTGTTTCTTTCCGTTCTTTCTTTCTAATTAGGATCTTATAGATACAATCCTTTAAGATAAGTTGTTTGTAGTTATCTGTTTCATTAAAATCCTTTTTATGGTCAATGTAACATATCATAGATGAAACAGCCTTTGAAGTTCTCCAATTGGAATATATTATCTTTCCAATGTCAGTAATGATTTGAAGCATGTATCCACCTACGTATATAATATTTAGACAAGGTTTGATGGTTTAAAGATGGGTTCCCTTATCTTCATTTATGACAGACTGTACATACATGGACATTTAGTATTGGTCAAATCTTTTAATTATATGCAATAAGAACATATTGATATGATTAAGAATACATGATAATTCATTAGAAACATCAATTAATCAAATAGTTTGCTGAATTTGACACTAAGCTATAAGGAAATCCATCTTAAAGACTTAAGAAAGTCGGGCAAGAGAAATTATGTAGCCTACTGATTGACAAAATTTACATAGGAAGAAGAACTTTCATTTAGGACACCCTTGATATGGTGTGTACGGTCTCATGAAGACACCCTGACTACATTACCTCGTAGGCTGTCACTGGTTAAGCTTATTTTATAAATTTACTTACTCAGCCACAATGATATAAATGTATGATTTTCAGTAACCCATGGCATAAAACTCAAATTTGATCTCATTTGTCTTTTCTGTAGTGTAGAAAAACCGAACTGAAAAACAGATAGCGAAGAACATGCCTTCAATAGATCTTGAATATATTCAAATGAATTTATCGCGTGTCTAGAATACATGTACTTTCCAATTTATTCAAGAGCACATGAGATGTTGTCAAGTTTGGGATTGTTTCAGTTTATTCTTAGCTCTGTGATTTATGTGTTAATTCCTATACAAGACTGGCAACTTAATTATTGGACTGACAACAATTCCCTCATTGACAAATCACTGAAGATTGTAAACAGAGATTGTTCAGTCTAGTTTAATATATATCAGCCAGATTAATATCTTCAAGTCACTGTCCTATTTTGTAATACTAATTAAGATGGACTTATCCTTTGGTTGTCTGAGACACATAGTGTCACATAGGACTGTTAATCTACCTTTAGCTGTGATCATATTGCTTGATTAAAGTGCAGTGTTCAGGTCATTGGTCATTCTATTTGACTGGACATAGAATGGACATCTGATTTCAGTCAAATGCGTTT